AATTTTCTCCTTAAACTTTTGAATCCAAGCAAACCAGTCCCTCTTCCACCCTTCCTTGGCTATGGAATAGTAAATCCCCAGAATTTTCACCTCCTCTACCTTCTGCTCATTCCCACCCTCCCCCTCTTGGTCTGTTTCCATGGGAGCTATCTTAAGCTGCTCGTCCTTAGGGTGTGCACCAGGCTAGGGTTAGGATTAGAAGAACATGGTGTTTTGGCATGATTTTGATGCTTGGAATTCGTTTAGAATTGGCAGAAATGTTGAGCTGTGCATAAAAAGGAACTCAAGGACGAATTTTTCAAAATACCATTATGTTTGGTGGTATATTACGCCTATATTAGGGTTAGGGTGTGCACCAGGGTAGGGTCAGAAGAACGAGGTGTCCTGGTATGATTTTGATGATTGGAATTTGTTTAGAATTGGCAGAAATGTTGAGCTGTGCAGAAAAAGTAACACAGGGACGGATTTTTCAAAATCCCATTATTTTTGATGGTATATTACTCCTATATTAGGGTTCGGGTGTGCACCAGGGTATGGTTAGGGTTAGTAAAACGGGGAGTCCTGGCATTATTTTGGTGGTTCGAATTTGTTTAGACTGGTCAGAAATGTCGAGCTGTGCAGTAAAAGCAACTCAAGGATGGCTGTTTCAAAATCCCATTATTGACAATGGTATATTATTCCTATATTAGGTTGAAATTTTTTATTTAAATAAAAACATACTACAAAAATTACAAAAAGGCACAGGCTTAGGGTGTGCACCAGGGTAGGGTTAGGGTTAGAAGAACGACGTGTCCTGGCATGATTTTGAAATTTGGTATGTGTTTAGGATGGGCAGACATGTTGAGCTGTGCATAAAAGGCAACTCAAGGATGGCTCTTTCAAAATTCAAGTATTTTCAATGTTGTATTACCCCTATATTAGGGTTAGGGTGTGCACCAGGGTAGGGTTAGGTTTAGAAAAACGAGGGGTCCAGGCATGATTTTGGAATTTTTTTAGAATTGTCAGAAATGTTGAGCTGTGTATTAAAAGCAACTCAAGGACAAATTTTTCAAAATCCCATTTTTTTCGATGGTATATTTCCCCTATATTAGGGTTAGGGTGTGCACCAGGGTAGGGTTAGGGTTAGAAGAATGAGGTGTCCTGGCATGATTTTGATGTTTGGAATTTATTTAGAATTGGCAGAAATGTTGAGCTGCTTAGAAAAAGCAACTCTGGGACAGTTTTTTAAAAATCCCATTATTTTCGATGGTATATTACGCCTATATTATGGTTAGGGTGTGCACCAGGCTAAGGTTATGGTTAGTAAAATGGGGGTCCTGGCATTATTTTGATGGTTGATATTTTTTTAGAATGGGCAGAAATGTTGAGCTGTGCAAAAAAATCAATTTTAGGACGGTTTTTTGAAAATCCCATTATTTTCAATGGAACTTTACCCCTATATTCGGGTTCGGGTGTGCACCAGGGTAGGGTAAGGGTTTGAAAAATGAGGGGTCCTGGCATAACCCCTTTGTTAGTGTTACAGGTATGCCCCAGGGTAGGGTCAGGGCAGTCATGGTGATCCTATGGCACATGTGCCACATCGAGCACGCAATGCTCTCTCCGTCGGTCTGCGAGCCAATTCGGGTCAGCATCGCCAAAGCAGCCGATCATCGGTTAACAACGCAGTTATGGGCAATGACCGTCCTTGGGAAGGAGTAGCCGTGCCTGGTTATGACGTCTCGAGCTGCGACTCATTGGCCGGAACGTGTCTGAGCTTTCTCTCATTGCACTTCCAAGTATATATATTTGCTGGGACTGGCTTTGAGTTGTTTTTTCTGAACTACAACCTCAGTTTTCACATTTAATGTTAGTTTTGGCACGTTTTGATAAATAAGTGTGTTTTGGGTTGCAGTTTGGTCACTTACTCTCTAAAAGGTTTGCCATTACTGATCTGGAGTTTCATGTGTGGAGACTAGAAAGGCCTTCCCCACCAAGTGGCAGATACAGCTGCTGCCTGAGGCAAGTCTGAGCTGAGGGCCAGTCCGCCTGTCCCCGTCCCATAGTCTCCTCTATTGAAGGCAGAGCTAGCCTTCAATAGAGGAGTGAGTTGGCCCTGGTAGGACACAAGTGAAGAAGAGGCAGTATGACTGGACTGGTTCTCTGCCGCAGTCTGCAGCCTTTGGGTTGATGCTTCATTGGTGCTGTTTTCTGGAGGCCTGGATGTGGAGCAAGAGTCTGCTTCATGCTCTGCTTTCAGACAAAGGAACCACAGAGAGTTGCCATTAGTGCTGATGTTTTCCCACTGCAGCAGGTGCACTTAGTGAAGGCCTCAGAGCCCATATGCTGCTCCCCTGCAGGGAAGGGAATGAACTTTTTGACTAAAGTGAGGGATAGAAGGAAATATTTTGCCCAAGAGTCCTGGAAGAACAGAGGAGTAGTCCTTTTCACAAGCCATGAAAACCACAGAGCATCTTGCCAATGCTACTCATTGCTGCGCGAGCCATAAAGGAACTGAGTGGGAGGTGGAGGCCACATGCTGGGGCATGGGCAGTGACAAGCTGAGGGCCACTTAGAGACATGGAATGTAGAAACAGAGGGAGTCAGAAGGGTCCTCCCGGGCCATCTAGTCTGACCCCCAGCTCCAGCTGGCTCCGCTCATGACACTTAAACTTCTGCACAGCTCTGAAACACTGGGATGGCTGTTCAGTTCTCAAAGGCACATAGCCCATATTTGTTAGTGAGACTACAGAGAAGAACCTAGCCAGCTCCTTGGTTCTGTATAGATCTCAGGTCAACAAGACATTTAAGAAGATGGCCAAAGTCAATAGCTGACATGAAACCCATCTTATTACCCTACCGGCTCATTTCCAATGCCAATCTCTGGCAGAGAAGGCTTTTTTCTTTACTGCTATCATGTCCGCTCAGAGTGAACCACTGTTGCTGTTTGAGGTGGTTAGCAGGTAGTTAGCTCCGATCTTTGGTACCCTTACCCTAAATTTTGACCAATTTACTAAGTATCTTGCAGATGCATTTGCAATTGCTTCCAAAATAAATGATGGCATTTTAGACTAGAATCAGAGGGGGTCATTGACAGGGCTCCAGCTAGTCATGTTGCAGCCAGTTGGAGCTGCTAGACTGTCTCCCTGGCTGGGTCTGTAAGGCAATTAACATCTCAGCTGAGGAGTGGTATAGTAGTTTGGAAACCTTGGAAATAGGCAAGAGTATTTTCATTTTACGTTCTCATTTTTAAAAACTCTGGTTCCTAGCATGCCTAATATGTACTGCCAAGTGCCAAATTGCCCTTCCAGCCAATGCATTCAGCAAGTGGGGGCACGTTGGCTTCAAGTGTTCCTAGGTGAACTTGACTGTTTGGGTGAGCAAATGTGGACTTTTTCCGCTGACCCAGCTGGGGGAATGCAGCTCTGCTGGTCCTCCTACTCCTCTCAGGGTTTTTTGAGGCCAGTTTTCTTACCTGATTACTGTGGTAGCATTCTGGGATACTTTATGAGGAAGGGCTGGGCAGGCAGTGGTCTGCAATGATTCTGTGGAGCTTCACCCTCTTCTACCACCACCCCTGCTGGGAGATTTGCTTTCAAGGTGTCCTCAGTGTGCTGGCTAAAGGGGCTTCGGTGGCTGCCATGCTACCCTCCCAATGAGAGGGCACTCCTGTTGCTTTTCCCTGTGGTGGCCATGATGAAGAGTGTTTCCTGTCAGCTCTCACTGCTTTGCTAGCTAGAACCTTGACTGGAGAAGATGCATCCCTTTGAAAACAGTCTGGTGCAAAATGCTATTGAGTCCTTGGAACATTGGAGTATCTTATTCCACCTGTAAATGTGCATTATGAATTTGTTTCTGGGTTTGTTTAAAATGTTTCCAAGTCCTAAATAGTTACCCGGTTCTCTGAGTGACTGCTTAGTCCCAGATTAATGGGCTGTAGCTCAGTGGAGGAAATCGTGCTCTTTCCATGGTCCAGTTCTGAGATCTCAAGTCCCAGGCCTGGTCCTGGAAGGGAGGGACCTTCTGCAAAGGAAGGGATGCACTAATAGAAGGTGCCGCTGGCCAGTTTGGGAGAATCTCCCCCCCCCCCCACACACACACACACAGAGAGAGAGAGAGAGAGAGAGAGAGAGATGCACTCAGCATCTGAAGAGCTGGAAGGACTACCAGGGGAAGGTGGGATTAGAGAAATCTATTTCTTTCAGCACAAACCAGCTTAAATCTGAATCTACCCACCAACCTTCTGGCTCCTTCCAGCTTTATTATTCTATGATTCTATGACCCTGTAACCATCTGACTCTCTAGACAGGAATAAAAAACCAGTTCCCTGGGCATCCAGTTGGCTAGATGGGTCGGTGGTCTGACTCAATATAAGGGCCTCGGTGGTGGTGCCAAGGTGTGGCGGAGAGGTGCTACCACCCACAGCATCCAAGGTTATACTTTCTGTGCAATGTCTGAGTTATTGGATCCTGGCAGGCAGACTGCCATTGGCCTTCCCAATAAGTTGCTTCATTAGAGCCATGGTAGTCTCTCGGGGCTTCTTTGGGAAAGTATGCGTATCAGAAAAAGATCTGGATTATTTGTTGCTGTTGTTTGCTTGTGTAATTGTCATGGCTATGGAGGGAGACCTCAAAAAATTTGGACAATGCCTGGTGAAACTTCAGAGGCTAGTGGGGAGTTGCTGAGATTAATTTGTTCAGGGAGCAGAGGTAGGGCTTCCGTGTCCCAGCCCAGCTCCTTGCCCAATTCATGGATCCTGCCAAAATGTAGGATTTTACCTCAGGCTTACCACAGAAGTTGAATGGAACAGTCAGATGCTCAGTAGCTTTACCAAATACTCAGACACAAGTCTTAATGCTTCCCGAGGATCAGCTTCCCAACCAAGTGTACAGACAGACAGCTGTATGCCTTTTGCGTGTGTTCAAATTGCATTGAAACAGCTTGCAGGGTGCAACTGAAAATGTGTGCTGCGTGCAATGCCGTAATTCAGTTCCAGTGTATAAAATATGCCTGTTTCTTTTTAGTTTACCCAGCCTCCGTACATTGCTAGATGTTAATCATTTGCCTGTAACAAACATGAGGATTGCCAGGACCTTTTGTTTTACCAATGAAGGACAAGCTTTGTATCTTGGTTCTCCCACAGAAGTCCAGCGACTGAACTACAGTCAGGAAATGTTCGATAATCTTCAGGTGAGTCTTGAAACACTGACAGGCAGGTTGTGAGAGCTGTTATATGGTTCAGAACCATGGAGTTCCCCTTCAGAAACTGTTCAGCAGAAACAGATTTCCTATCTGTATTCTGAGGAACAGTCCAAAATATGACTTGGACACCCAGTTCTGAGAATGCAACCACAAAATGCTTCCTTCTTTACACCGCAAATTCTTTATAATCAAAAAATTATTGAATTTTTTCTAGTTAAATTAGTCCTGTATTAAGTTTGAACAATGCTGCAGAGGCAGAAATACTTGCCGAGGCACCCTGTTTCTTATTGCTCATGGAGAAAATGAGTTTTGCCTTCTCTAGCACTGAAACCCTATTCTCATCTTATGATCACATGTTCAGTGAACACAAGGAAGGGAAATGGGATTAGATCTGCTCTCCTGCCTTGACTCTGCTAATTCAGCAGATCCTTTGAAGTCTGTCCTTGGAATCAGGAACTCCTGAATGTACAGGAACCATGCAAATTCTCAGTGGCGATTAACCTTCTGCTCATGCAGGTATATAGAACACAGAGCCTGCTGCCAGCTCCTGCTGATTACACACAGATGAGACATGTAGGCACAATCCCTCTCCTCCACTACGGGGTCCATGATGCCACTGTTGTCTGTATCACCCCTGCCCCCCAAAAGGGGAGCGGTGGTTGTTGAAACGGAGCTGCTAGCTACCCATCCCTGTTTGTTATTCGTTGGATGATGGATGGGTAAAAGGACTAGCTAGCCACAAGGTCTCTGTACCATTTTCTGCTCTAATGGTCTAAATTTAAAGCTGCAGCCTCGGTGAGTGGCATTTTCTGAAAAATCCCCTGCATCCAGAAGAAATGTCTAACTGTTCACCCCTGGAGATGTCTTACCTAGCAAGTTGCAGAGGGCCTTGTGTGTGTGTGTGTGTGTGTGTGTGTGTGTGTGTGTGTGTGTGTGTGTTTTCTGAAACAAAATGGAGGTTTTACTGATGGCATCCCTGTGGGCCACCATCCATTTACAGTGCCAAACAAATGATGCTTTATTATTTCAGTTTTAAAAAAGATGGCACGCCACCTCCAGCCCAGTGGCTTATACTTGAAGGGAAAAATACTTTTGGAAAGTCAGTCCTCATTGCATTATGGTATTGTGGTTTTTGAAGTATGCATCAATAAATAAAAGGCAATCAAAAAGGGAAGGAGGAAAAGAGGGATTCGGTACTGAAATGTGTTAAAGTAAAAGATGGCCCTTGTGACTTGCTTGCTTTCTGCTCTGTGGCTCTGCTTAGGAGTGTTTTGCTTTGCTTTGTTTTTGGCCAGGACATGCTTGGGGAATTGTTCACTCCCGTGGAAACCCCCGAGGCTCAGTACAGAGGCTTTCTGAAAGGTCTGTTTGGTGGGACTGGTGGAACGCTCGACAGAGAAGAGCTCTGTAAGTGTGCGTCATTTTGACATCACATCATGTGCATTAGGTCAGACATGAAACTGGGGGAAAGACAGGTTGTTATTTATAACTGTAGTTCGTGGAGTGCTCATCTGTGCATTCACACATAATGGCTTCATGCCTGCATGGAGCCTCACTGTGGTTGAAGAATTTTTGAAGAGAACCCACCTCATCTTTGTATGCATGTCCCTAACAGGTTCCTACCTATTTCCTCAGCTCCTTGAGATTGCCAAAGGCAGCCTTGAAAAGACCTGTAAGAAGAACCCTGCCGGATCAGTCCAGCGGTCCACCTAGTCCAGCACTGCACACAGACACTGGTTTCCCAGCTGTGCACCAGACCCTCCCCGCCCCCCAAATAGGACATGAATACAACAGCTCCTGCCCAAATTGCCTAGCAACTGAGGTCCACCAGTCTCCTGTTCGTGATGCTGAGGGCAACATGCAGCCATCAGGACTAGCAGCCACCGATACCTTTATCCTCCATGAATTTGTTCCCTTTTGAAAGCAACCCTAATTGCCAGCCATCACTGCATCTTGTGGACATGAATTCCATAGTGCACTACACAGCAAAGGTCTCCCCACTTCCTTTACCACGTCATGTGGTCCTGAGGCACCTTTCTAGGCTCCACAACCCCAGATGTTGCAAAGTGCCTCATGGAGGACTCATTCCAGCAGCTCCTCGATCATTTAGGTGCACCAACCAGAACCATACACAGCAGTTAAGTGTGATTGCACCATAGATCTGTATAAGTAGATGCTGGCAGACTTGTTTCCAACTCCGTTATGTCTAACATGCTGCCACAACAGAAAAGGCCCCCTTCCCAGCAGCTGCCTACCTGACTTCCCCTGGCAGGGGCTCCTTCAGAAGGACTAGCACTTTGAACGGGCCCAGACATGGAAAGACAGCCCATGCAGATGGGGGAGTGCTGGCCTAATATGATCGTGTTGGCCAGTCTCATTAACACTCTTGCTGCCCTGCGTTGGACTAGCTGAAGTTTCCAGACGATTTTCCAAAGGCAGCAGTAATCCATCAGAGTGGTGCCCAGAGCATGGAAAACTGCAGCTAACCTATCCCTGATAAAGTGATAGTGCTGGCGATGCAGCTGCTGATTCCAGCAATGGAGGCATGGATGGAAGAGGCAAAAGTGGTCCTGCCAGTCAAAACCAAGGGGAGTGTTGGTGACATTGTGGTGCGTGCTGGCTGCAGCTGGGGCACAGGCAGAGAAGCCTCCAAGCAACAAGCCTTGGTCTGGCAGAATGCATTGGCCCCAGTCCAGAGGAACAGCTTTAGGGTAGCGAGGATCATCCGGATAATATTCCTCCTCCTCCGTCCCTACACCAGCGTCATAGTTCCTCATAGTTGTAGCCATACTAGTAGGGCAGTAAGTCCTAAGCAGAGCGTCTGTCCAAATCCAAGTGTGGAAAATGGGATCTGAGCCACCTGGCCTCGCAATCCCTCTGACATTAAGTGGAGGACCCTGAGGCAAGAGTTCCTCTCCAATTGAATGTTTGGGGACCACACAGGAAGGCCGACTCCGTAGCTCAGTGAGTGTGTGACCTGGTGCCAGAATCAGAGCCCAGGTCGGAGTTAGCCTTGTGGCATAGACGCAACCAGGCAGGATCCTGCTTTGACCAGGTTGGTGGTACTGGCTCTGTCGACAGGCAATGCACCAGAGTCAGTGAGTCCATTACTGGGGGAGCAAGTGTGGTCAGAGGCGCTCTCCATCCTGACGCAGACAGGCTTGGCGTTATATCCATGGCTGGACTGACCACCTCCTCCTCAGTGTTCTTCTTCCATTCCGTAGAGGAATTTTGCACAAAGGCTTTTTTGTCTTCATGCGGAGAGTGTTCCAGTGAAAGCTTCAAAGGCCACCCAGGTGCGGGTGGGTTGGTGTGGCATGGATCTTGGGCTAAAGAGGACAAAGTGGACCCCGGTGTCCTCAAGGCCATGGCAAGCCACAGAGGTCTCTAGGCCTGTGTCATAGGAGGCATTTCCCCTGACTGGTCCACTGCATCTAGGACATTTTTCCCGAAGGATATTTTGATGCCGGTCTAGGCAGTTGCACCTTTCCTGCTTTGCAAAGCCTTGACAAGGAACCCGGGCTTCACCTTCTATGCTTTTCCAAGACAAAAAAGAGACAAAAAAGAGACAAGAAGAAAGGTGACAGATTAAAACACAAACACCTCAGCCGTTCACTCTTACTTTGGTATAAGAACAATGGACAATGAGAGAAGTTTCCAACAAGATTGCCACAATCATGGTTGAAAGACGACTGAGAGAATAGGCCAAAACCCATTAGGTGCATGCATGCTTGGATAGTGGGAAATGACTCTCTCCAAAATTCCCCTGCTAGAGAAGTTTCCTGAACAAGGTTCTATGTAGGTGCACAGCTCATAGATTTGATGAGTTCATAGGGAAAGTTTATTTTCAAAATAGACTGAAAGTAAATTGATGATCATAAGATGTCAAGCTACTACCCTTTTTGAAGCACATTTTGAAACGTGCAAGACTGTCCCACCTATATAAAAATGCTGTTGGTAATCGGCTGTTACGCATGGGTGGGCGGGCAGAGGAAATTCTTCTAATCCTCTTCCGGCTTCCATTTCCAGTTGGTGAGGCTACAGCAGGAAAAGCATCTCGCAGTCTTGCTCAGCACATCCCTGGGCCAGGGGGAGTTGAAAGCATGAAAGGAGCTGCAGGGGGAGCGATTGGAGATCTGGCTCGTGCCCGCCTCGCTCTTGACGAGAGGGGACAGAAGCTGGGAGAACTGGATGAGAAGACCGCAAGAATGATGGCAAGCGCAGAAGCTTTCTCCAAGCATGCACATGAGGTGGGTGTCGGCATGAATCTGTTCTTCATCCATGTCCAGAAGTTTATTATGTCATGGAGTTTATTGTGGCACAAACCTGTGTGTGGTAGAGCCCACTTCAGTATTATTTTATTTATGTAATGGATTTTTTATTTATCTACTGAGCTTTCATCTTGATTTTCAGACAACTTTTGTCTCCCAAAGCAGTTCATGATGATAAGTGAGAGGCCAGCCCTGCCATCCATCTTACAAATGAAAGACACACAAGGGAAGGGGAGAGGAGGAAACAGAAAAGAGGGCAATCGGTTTTTCAAGGGAACCTTTTTCACAAAGAATTTCATCTTACCGACCAAGGGCAGAGGGAATCTAGGCAGCCCAAGATACTCAGAAAGCATCTGAAGAAACAAAGGAAGCCCCTTAGAAAATCCCCCAGGCCATAGTTGGACAATTCAAAATGCTACAAAATATTGAGCAAGTGTTTGACTTTGTATTTAGCCACAGCCTTAAGATGGTGTACAAGAAGAGATAGCAGACAGATGAAGTGTTCTGTCCATTGTCTACTCACAACCGACTCCCACTGATTTCCAGTGGGGCTCAGCAGAAGAAGGGCACAGGAGTGGTCTCAGTTGGCGTACACTCTACCGCAGCAGCATCCAACCAACCTGATACAATTTTGGGCAATAACTGTTTCAGACTTGGTGGACTGTACCTTACAGAATCAGATACTCTGCTTTAGAGACACATTTTTATGCTTCAGTTAAACAAGCAGCTTTTTTGCAGAACTCTCTCAGGCTTTGCCCTTTCTCTCTTCCTTCCTAATCTTCCTAAAAAGTGCAACCTATTCAGGTTGAATCCAGTAGGTCCTTCACATTGTGACAGGACCTCCCAGCATTTCTGACCATCGGTCAAGCTACCTGGGGCGAGGGGAGTAAAATACTTGGAGGGCACCAGGTTGGGGAAACTGCTGTTCTAAGTGTTATACAAGTTTCATGCTTCAGCCAGGATTTATGATGTTTTTGAATTTCTCCGAGCTGTTCACAACAATTACAGCTCTGTTCTATATTTCTTTCTCGCATTTGCCATTCAAATTCTTTCCCCCATCGATTCTTACAGCACTGCCCTTTTTCTTAAATCCCCTCCCCACATTCCAAATACTTTGGCTCATTAATTCTACTGTGCCCAACATTACTATCACAATTAGCTTCTTTCCCGTGATTCTTCTTACAGAGGTCCTGATTAAGCTGCCTAAACTCCTCTTCATTCTAAATGCCTTGCCTTTCTTTTCCAACTTCATTTTGGTGTCTCCTGCTTTCAATAAATCCAGAAGGCCCTCAAACCCAGGGCAGAGCATATTATCCCTAGACCCTATTTGGGTCCATCTATTTTAAAGTGCTTAAAAAAAAATCCTACTATGTGGTTTCTGAGCAGCCAGTATTATTTGCCTTGTTGCTATTATGTGCCATCAAGTCGCCTCTGACTTATGGCAACCCTTCGAATGTCAGCCCTCCAATGCCCTAACCATAACAGCTCTGCTCTCATAAATTCTAGGCTGTGGCTTCCTTTACGGAGTCAATCCATCTCCTATTTGGTCTTCCCCTCTTTATTCTGCCCTCGACTTTCTCCAGGGAGTTTTGCCTTCTCATGATGTGCCAAAGTATACCTGAGTTTTGTCGTTTTTGCTTCCAGGAGAAGCTCTGGCTGGTTTTGATCTGGGTCCACTTGTTTGTCTGTCTGTCTAGGGTATTTACAAGGTGCTCCTCCAGCACCATGTTTTGAACACACCAACGTTCTCCCTGTCAGCTTTCTTCACTGGACAGCTTTCACACTCATACATAGTGATCAGGAATAGAACAAAGGTGTGGATGATCTTGGCCTAGGTCTCCTAATTTTTTAAACACTTCCCTCATTTTTAAAGATTCTTTTTGATGTTCCATAGCAACCCACTGGGACTTCATGAAATTCTCCACAAGTAACGTGTAATCTTTTCAAGAGCTCTCCATCAAAAAGGGCACAGTGATATCATCATCAGTAAGAGTTAGTCCAACACTTTGGGATGCCATCAAGCCTGGGGAGGTTTCATATATAGCTATTTTCCAATAGGGTTCCTTCGATATGAAGTACAACCACAGTTGTGAGCAAAGTTTGTCCCAAACATGTTTGTTACCCAGGTCTGTTCCATTTGCTGCTCCTTTGCTCTTCTGGCCACACCTGTGGTGCCACAAAATGCCACGGCAAGCATGCAGAGACTCTTTCAGACTGAGGGTAAAATTAGAGCAGCTCTCAGCAATGAGGGAGGCCAAAATACCAGCCTGAGGGTACAAGCCTGTGAATTCCTCCTTTGTACAGAAGCTTCTGGGGGGCTTCTTAGTATCCAGCACCCTGTCAGGCTGCTGGTAGCAGAGCAGAAGGATCAATAGAGGCAATTTTTGCCTCTCTGCCTTCTGTTGTTCTATTTTGTTTTTCCATCACACAGGCCTCTGAGTTCATCAGGCAGAGGCTGAATGCCTCCTGTCAGATCTCCTCCATACTCGTACCCTCCAAGTTTTTAATGCCTTGGTAACGCAGGCAGCTTGGTTCCTCTTGAGAGGTGGTGGAGACGGATTGCCTCAGAGGAAGAACGCCAAAGAATCCTATCGTCCCTGAGAGACTCTGGAAAGACTTTTAACTCTTGAAAATGGGGGAAAATATCCCAAAATATCCAAATATCTGAAGTGATTGAGAAAAGGGTACCTGCTGGATTTTACCTTTTCAACAATGACCCTTCCAGGGCATCCCTGAAGGCAGGTCTTGGTCTTACATCCTTGGCCTAAGATTATATACCCTTGTTCCGAATTTTACACCTTTGCTAATGCAGATCATTCCAGATCTTGTCTACCTTCCTTCTGGGTCAAGAACTCCTTGACTGCCACACCAGTATTTGGAGACTTTCTAGGAAAAGTCTGTCCTGTCTGCAAATCAGAAACGAATACTGACCACAAGCAGCCAATGGCAGCCACCAAATGACTCTAAATATGGGTACATACTGGACTGTGCAGCAAACGGTCAGTAAACACCTTAAGCATTTTTGTGCCTCTTGAAACATGCTGTCTTTTACCCTTGCAGGTAATGCTGAAGTACAAGGACAAGAAATGGTATCAATTTTGATTTGTAATCATGAAACAACATATAAGTGTACAGCAAACAGAAGTCAAAGGACTAGGCTGTATTCTCAAGGCTCAGTGAAAAAGACAGAAAGAGTTCTTCCTGCTTAAACTGGTTTTCCTCTTTCAAGGAGAAGAAAAAAGTTTTTGGAGACTGGTGAATCTTTGCACTCAATCTACAATTAATCTTTTCCAAATGAACTATCATCTTTAGCAGGTAATATTTAAATGGCCTTAGGAAAGAACTGTGGGAAGGACTGTTGCTGTTTAAAATATCATGTACAAACTAGATTGTTAACATAGTTAAACTGATTAAAACTTTGCATGATTAATTTATTTCTTATATAACAAAGACAAAAGCAAAGCATGCTGTGATTGAGGAAAAGGGATTTATTTTTAAGTTCCATGATGTAATGAAGAGGAAAAATGTTCAAGCATGTTGCTCTTCACAGAAGATGATCTGCATTTCTCACCTTTGACACTGCATTTCTGAAGACAACCTTAGTTTGAAAACAATTGTTCATTTCATTAGTAGAAAAATAAAGCAACATTAAACCTGTGGCCAAATTATACTGCTTTATGTGCTGTTTCCTGAGCTGTCTTTCAAAAGCCATTTTTACACTCTTCCCTGCTTTTTCGAAAATACTTTGTCTGAGGAAGAGTTGAATTAAATGGTTGACAAGTTAAATTGATGGTTGAACTGGCCTAATAATAGATTTGGGGTCATAAGAATAGATACTCTTTGCTGGAATTTTAGGCATCATAGTTGCTTTCCTCAGTATCACTACTGGAAAACACAGCTAGTAAAAACTATAGCCCACACTATTGCAAGAAAATCTAGTCATTTTACAGAAACAGAAATACAGTTTTTCTTGGTAGAAGTGAGCTGGTGATTTACCCTCTTCCAGCTGAAAGTGTTCCCAAGCATTTTCAAATATCACCATACTATGCTTTACTGCAGGACCTGTAAAGCATACCGTTCTCACATTTGGAAATCTGAGACGCTGCTGTGGGCACCACCACAAAATGAAGAAGAATGGCTGCTGTGAGTGCCTAGCTAGTCAGAAGTGAGCTAAAGAGTGGTAGTCTTGGAGAGAAATAGGCTAGAGACTGGAAGGCAGGCGGAACCACTGAGGCAAAGAAGTCAGTTCTGGTTCCTGACTCCTAACTGAGCAGATCAGAGGAAGCTGCCCCAGCTGATCTATGGACCATTGCACACAAGCAACCAAGCTCCCAGGGAGGGAACCAACAGAGCGAGCAAAGAGGGACAGCTAACAGGAGTCTGGTGGGGAAGTCAAGGGGAGGTCCAGGTTTTTAATTTATATTCTTTGGAGGGACAGAGACTGGAGAGGTTTGCAGGCACCCTTGGAGGTCACTGTATGTGCTTTCCTGCCTCCAGTGTCTAGTGTGCTTTCCTTCAAAACAGGATTGCAAAGTGTCCCAGAACAATCCTATCAACTGGATGATGGGCAATGATGGAAGCTGATGAAGATGATGGTTCCACGTAAGTAAATGTGTAAAGTGACATGCATTCAGAAAAAAAATCCAGCTTCACATATACATCAATGAGAGCTGACGTGGCAGTGAACAATGTGGCAAAAGTTCTCAGGGTTCCATTGGATTGTAGGCGTGTGTTAGGAATCCATATTGATGGTGGGAATCCATCAGATTCCCTTGGCTTGGCTCCCTGGACTCCTGTCTGCTTTCTTCTGAGTCTGACTGAGTGTTTACATGGGCAACTATCCAGAAATAAACCTCTGCAAACAGTGCACAAGCAGCATCCCTCTTTCATGCACATGATGTGAGGCTTTGTTTGTGCTACAGAAGAAGGTTGCACAACAGGAGTTCTGCAAGTGTTTGTGAACTTCCTTTTGGCTCGGCTCACTTCCAAAGCCAGGTCCAAGCATTAGAAGAAGTCCAACAAACAGAAGAGAGCTGGGTTCGAGGAGGATCATCACAGCCCTACTGGACAGTTCAAAGAAATGTGGACCCATGGCATAGCAGCTGTGCAGAGGTCTAACCAGTGGAGTCCCACAGTGTTCTGTATAAGGACGAATGCTTTCTAACCTATTGATAAATGATCTGGAATTAGGAGCGAGTAGTGAAGTGGTCACGTTTGCTAATGACACTAAGCTTTTTAGGGTGGTCAATACCAAAAGGGATTGTGAGGTTCTGCAAGGGGATCTCTCCAAGCTGGGAGAATGCACATCATCGAATTGGCAAATGCACTTCAATGTAAGCAAGTGTTATGTAATGCATGCTGGGGCAAAATATCCCAACTTCAAGTATACACTGATGGGATCTGAACTAGCAGTGGTTGAGCAAGAATGGAATCTTGGGGAAGTGGTGGACAGCTTGAGAAAAAGGTTGGCCCAGTTCTCAGCGAATGTGAAGAAGGCAAACTCCATGGTAAGCACAATTATGAAAGTAATTATGAGCATAATTATGGATTCTTAATACTTATCATTTATTATAATTACTATAATTATGAATGGAAGGGTCTGCTTGTTGGGGTAAGCAATGTTGTAGGGAATCATATGGTTAATCTTCTCATCTGTGTTAAGGTTACAGGGTATTCCTCTGTGATGTCTGTATTTTAAAATTTTGATGCAGAATAAAGTGAGAATAGACACATACATTAACTTTGAACAGACTCCCGGGGGTGACTTCCTTTGTGGTCTCTGCTCTGTCTCTTTAAGCCACATGTGGCTGAAAATGCCTTCTCTCAGTAAACTCTTCTCCCTCAACTGTGGAATTGTCTAAAGGGGCACATCAAGAGAAGACAATGTCTGGACACAGTGTCATGGGGACAGATGCTCCTCTAGGTAGCTGAGTCATAAGCTGTATAGATTTGGTGTTTTTGAGACCTGGAAGGGGATGCCAAACAATACTTCAGCTGCTGGGAGAAAAATTAACTTGACAGAAGTATCACAGAACCTCTTGTTCAGGATCTTGAGCCAACATTTACATTTCAAGCTAGAAACTGAACTACAGGAAGCGCCAATGTGGACATTTCCTAAAAATTATTTGAGTGGATTCAAGAAAGATGATTCATGTTTCATAATCAAAGTAAAAAAGTCAAATACATAGCTTATTTATATTATTATTTCTTCTGTGAGGCAGTGTGTTGTTCTCATTTTTTCAAACAAGTCTCTAAAGAAGAAAATCTGTTTATTATAAATATAATAATACATTATATTCTCTTATGATAATTTACAAAGCAAACAATTTGTTGATTAAAAAGCTAAGAGGAAACCCACAGAATTGCAAGATGCACCACACAAGATTGAAAATGAAAACAAGAAAGATAAGGTTCCTTTCTTCAAAGGAAGTAAACAAAATGAATGAATTGTACAGACATAGAAGAGGCAGACTTTCAACCCATTAGGACAAAAAGATTTTTACTACAAGATCATCTTTTTAATCAAAATACCTCACCCAGCGGCTCTTTCAGACATAAACCTTCCAGAAATCTTGCACTCATCAACCATGTACTGCACCCTCCACTGTGCATATTGTGCAACATGTGATTAGGGTCATATACATGTATGTCCAATTCCCAAAATACTTAGCTCTCAAAAACCTGAGCTATGGCTGCCTCATGCGCCAACCACATTTGCACATCACGACTCAGGCTCTGAAAGAGCAAGTCAGCCTGCTGGAACACATTGTCTAACGGGTATCGAGAAGTTCCACCTGTGGTTGTCCCCAGGCAAGCCAGAATCATGAATCTGGAACAAACCATGGCTGAGCAAAGAACTCAGAGCTCCTGGTCCACCTTTCAGGACAAGCAATACATGGAAAGCAGGTCTGCACTTTGTTTAGTCACTTGTGGGAGGAGCCAATTGGAGGCAATAAATTTGAATTCTTTAAAATTCTGCCTTATTATTGAATGTGAATGCACCCAGACTGAAATGTTTAAAAAATCAACAAACTGTCATTAATTTTAAGTGCTTGGAATGTTGCTAACAAGCCAGTTAAATAATGAATTCCTAGGCTTTCATGTTATTAATATTTCAGTAGAATTAATTTTTATACATTGCTTTAAAAGTTTAAACCCATCAATATAATTTCGAGTTGCAGTGTGACCTCTTAAATATGCTTCAGTTATTTCATTTAGAGGTTAAAATGGATCTGAGAAATCAAGTGCAGGATCACCTTTAAACCATAAATTTCCAAGTTGTTGGTTGCAAAAGGCAAAGGTCTATTTCATGTTTACAAGTCCAACTCTTGCAAGTCTCCCCAGCTAGTTCCAACTTTGACTTTTACCAAGAGTTTCACTGAAAGTTTTACCGAATTTTCCATCTCATGTTTAACTATCTGTGCAACCTAAAAAAAAAAATCGACAGACACACGGACATGGAAGAATCAGTATCAGCACAGAGCAACAAGGGTCACACGGTGTAGTTCAGATTATCATGTATGTAGGATTTGCTACTCATTACACATTTGAAGAAACTTCTGAAGAAGCGTGATGCAGAAGGTGGGGGGAACAATTATTCAGACTTGCTAAAGGGGTATTACAAGGTGCTGAAGAAAGCTGGTCACAAGAGGCTCTGCAAGAAGGAAGCCCTGCATGATTGCTAGCAGCATCCCTCTTCTGTACCACCTCCGGCCAGCTGTTTGGGCTGATGCAGAAGAAGGTTGCCAGTTGTTTAACGAAGGGTCCACAAATGTTTACAGATGTCCTCTTGGCTTAGCTCACTTTGGAAGACCAACCCAAACACATAAGTAAGCCAGCAAATGCTTAGAGGGATGGATTCCATCCCTGGTTTCGGTTCATCCTGACCCTAGCTCTGAACACAAGTTCTGTGTAAAATGAGAAGTGACAATGTAAACCTCAGCATGTGGACCTGGATTGCCTGACAGCATAACCTGCAATGGTTAGCTACCCATGATGCGTTGTTGCGTCATGCAAACCAACTTCCCATAGTCTGATAATCCATGGCTTGTTCTAGGGGTCATTAAATAGTCACCCGAACCCAGGAGAGGAGCTGCAGCATGGATTACAGGTTTTGACTAGCAAATCTCTCATAAGAGCGGTGAACCCACCACCACATCCCGCGATTTCACCCATGCCACTGCCAGTGAAAACCCCTCCACTGATGCTGAAGCAGTTCACCAGCAAAAAAGCAGTTTGTGTGTTTTCGTTCCAGAAAATTGCACAAATGTGTTCACAGTTTAACTGTTTTTGATGGTCTGTCCAAGAGGGCTTTTATGGCTGTGTAATCTTGTCTGGTTAATTTCATGGGATGTTTCATTTGCCAAAGGGAATAGCAAAGTGGAGTAGGTAACATACATGAAAACTGACAAGACAAGATTGTTGCCATGGATCAATTAATGGATTTTCAACTGAAAAATACCAAGGGGAGGGGGCAAAAGTATGCAAGGGACAGGATCCCCCCACCCTTTCCAATAAGATGCTAGTACTTGTAAGTGTTGAATTGACACTTCTCAGTGCACTCCAGCTTTTCAACACTTCTCTGCATTTCCAGCTACTCAAGAAAGGCTGGGTTCTACGAATACCCCAGGGCACCACTGTGGACTGCAGTCCAGCAACAAGCCTGAACAACATACTATTATAACATCAAACTTCTGTAATATTCACTGTAGTCCATACTGGTGAACAAACAAAACTCCATCCCTATATACCTGCATCATGCTGTCTTTTGCAACCTCATATAGAAGTTCATCATGCAGCTGGAGTATAAAGAACCCTCCATGTTTGGGATATATCAGATGCTTCTTTTCTGCCCTTTCTGATTTTTCTAGAAAGAACAAAGCATAAGCAATGCCTCTTTAAACATCTTCATACAAAAATCAAATGAATGGTTATGATATACACACATATCGCATTAATGGTTGTATGACTACTGTAGGACTAAAAAACAAAGAATAGCAGCATTTTCTGAACAGCTCTTGATAATTAATGAAAGGGTCTCCAATCCAGGCTGACTGAAGCATCTTGTCATCAGAGCTGCTCCACACGCCAGTTCCCTCAAAAATAAAAAACTTGTTAAATTGTTATGAGGGAAGAGATCAGAAGATTCTAGAAAGAACCACAGTTTGGAAACCAAGAGACTCACACAATGAAAATCATGGGCATCTTGGGGCAATGAGTTAGTTCTGGTTGGTTTTCTCAGAGGGTCTGCTTTACTTTGTGGAGACTGGAAAGAAGCAGGATGGCAGCTAGATCTGAGTTCATATATGGTTTATACCTCTGTAATTGTTTCTTGAACCTGTATAGCTACTTAGTATAAGAAGGGCCATGAGATGAAAGGCTTCAACTGGTCCAAGGAACTCTGTTCTAGTTTGATCAGAAATTCATTATCACTAAGAGTGTAACTGATGATTTCTATTTCTGGAAGGCTTTATGCATAAGAAATAGAATCAGTAAGCCATCCAACTATAATGGTCAAGTTCCTTTGTTTTCTCCAAGACGAGGCATTGAAAGCTGTCATCAACGTTTGCTGGGATTCTCTTCATGGAGTTCCTCAAACATACTTGTTCCATGGGACTATCAGAGACAGGGTGGTATTTTGTCTTCCACCATCATTCATATTAGCAAGAGAAAAGGGCTTGGCTGAGAAGGAAACTCTCTTATATCTGTCTCTAGGGACTTGGTAAGGTAATAATGGTGTGCTGGAAACAATTAAATTACCTGTATGGAATCCTCAAGCACATCCCCTTTGGCTTGTTTTGCTGGCTGAAATCAAGCAACATTGGGCCAAGGCAGAAAATCATCTAGGGAATGATGGGAGACGCCCCTTCTGATCTGGTTCAATAATGGGCATGGCTTCCCAGGTCCCATAAGAGATGAGGTCCCCCAAGATAGTTGCCTTCCTTCTTGAGAAGGAAATTTCTTTCCCAAAACTTCTGTTCTTGGCAAAAGTAGAAGTTCATTCCACCCACCACTTGCTTTTCTGGACAATAAGAACATTGCAAGGAAAAAGACAGGAGATCCTGGGGTGCTCTTCCCGTTTCTACTGTGCAGGTTCTTCTGCTTTATATTGTTGGTTCATATTGCCGACATTACAGACGGTATACATAGGAGACAGAAATACCCTGTCCTGAAACTAGAGGAATTTAAATAAAATTCCCCTTTTCTTGACAAATATGTAATTCTGTGAACACTCTGACCCTCAGTCACTTTTATCAAATAATGTAGGGACCTGTGCATTAAAGCTCCTCATTCACAGGACTCTGTTCTTTATCTGCTTCAAGGTTCTCAGAACCATCCTGGGTTGAGTGACCAGGATGCTGACAGGGGACAAAGAAACAGTGGCACTCTCAGCATCTATTTTGGTTCAGTTTTTTCCCATAAGAGAATTGGTGGCCAATCTGGAATATGTTACTAACATGGTGTAAGGGTAGGATTGCACCTTGAGACACCGAGATGGTCAGCAAATATCTAAATATTTTAAATATGTTCCAAGCTTCTGGTCCAGATGAATTGTTTCCTAGGCTGTTGAAATAGCTAGTGGATGATCAGCCAGAACCTCTGTTATCTCTGAGAAATCCTGGAGAATGGTAGACTGACCTTGTTCCATTTTTCAACTGGGGTAACTTCCTTGATAAATTATGGGAATACTGCATATTCATTTCAGCAAGTTATTTGAGAAAGTGCCCCATGATATTGTGATCAGAGAGCTAGTTCAATGTGGGTGGAATGGCAGCACTAGACAATACAGCTGCCTTGAGAGGCATGTCCACCATCGGATCTTTGTCAAACTGGGGAGAGGTATTGCGAGAGGAGCTGCAGAGCTCAGTCCTGCGTCTGTTCTCTTCAACATTGATGAGAATGACTTGGAGAAAGCAGTGGAAGGAGTGCTTATCGGATCTGCAGGTGACAGAACTGGGAGGGATGACTAATAAAAGAAAACAATAAAAATGTAAAATCATGTTGACAGGTGAGAGAACTGGACAGAACAAGCAGAATGGAATTTAGCAGAGTCAGGTGCAAAATTCTTTATTGAGGAAAGAAAAATCAAACTCATAGCTATAACTTGGGGAATACTTGACTTAAACCAGTACATTTTAAAAGGATCTTGGAGTTATAGCTGATCAAGAGCTGAACGTGAGTCAGCAAAGTTATGCGGCTGCAGAAAACTGGCAAATGCAATGTTAGGTTGCATCTAAATCATGGGGAGTAATAGTTCCACTATACTCTGCATGAGTCAGACCTCAGATTGTATCCAATGATGGACATCACACATCAAGAAGTATGCAGGTGAAGTGGAATGAATTTGGAAAATGGCAGCAAAGATGCTCAGGGGACTAGAAACTAAGTGCTATGAGGAAAGACTGAAAGGCTTAGATAGGTTTAGCCTTCAGAAGAGGCACCTAAAGGATCACAGGAGAGTGCTGCGAGCTGCTTTCTGTTGCCCAAGACTGTGGGACACAAAGTTGGGCTTTGCATCAGCTGCAGGTACAGCAAGACAGATCGCAATGGAACATCAGGCAAAACTTTCTAATGGTCAGCACACTCAGGCCATGCGTGGGGATATCTGGCCTGGAAAGCTGCTGGCTTCTCCACTTGCTGGAGTTTTTACTCCAGTCAAAGCACGTCAGCTCAGATTTGAGAATGCCTGGAAAGAAAAACAGCTGTGTCAGAGTTTACTGAATACACACAGTGATGAAAGACTGGTGTAGAGCATCAATAAACAGGCAAAAGAAAGATGTCCCTTTGGTCACAGGGATCCTGATGTGGCAAATGGTGCTCCAGACCACTTGTTACTTGGACACCTTCAGCATTGTTGGTCCCAAATGGAAAGCTGAAGGGCCCTCTCTAGCCTTGCTTCAGAGACTGTCACAAGCTAGCCCCCTTTCCTCCGAGGAAGGACGGGAAGGGAGAAGCTCCAGTTATCTCAGCTAACTTTAGCAAAATGGTCTCTCAGCAATGGGTGAGAATTTACAGGGCCTCGCAGCTGATCATGCAAAGATGGGCATGATAAAAGACAAAAATGGCAGGGACCTAACAGAGGCAGAAGAGATTAAGAAGAGGTGGCAAGATTACACAGAGGAACTATACAAGAAAGAGCTTAATGTCCCTGATAACCACAATGGGGTGGCCACTGACCTCGAGCCAGACATCATGGAATGTGAAGTCAAATGGGCCTTAGGAAGTCTTAGTAACAACAAAGCTAGTGGAGATGACAGTATTCCAGCTGAGCTATTCAAAATCCTAAAAGATGATGCAGTAAAAGTGCTACACTCAATATGCCAGCAAATTTGGAAAACTCAGCAGTGGCCACAGGATTGGAAAAGGTCAGTTTACATTCCCATCCCAAAGAAGGGCAATGCCAAAGAATGTTCAAACTACTGCACCATTGCACTCATTTCACATGCTAGCAAAGTGATGCTCAAAATCCTACAAGCTAGGCTCCAGCAGTATGTGGACCGAGAACTACCAGAAGTACAGGCAGGATTTCGAAGAGGGAGAGGAACTAGAGATCAGATTGCCAACATATGCTGGATCATGGAGAAAACTAGGGAGTTCCAGAAAAACATCTACTTCTGCTTCATTGACTTCATATGCTAAAGCCTTTGATTGTGTGGATCACAACAAATTATGCCAAGTTCTTAAAATGATGGGAGTACCAGACCATCTTATTTGTCTCTTGAGAAACCTATATGCAGGTAAAGAAGCAGCAGTGAGAACTAAACATGGGACCACTGATTGGTTCAAAATTTGGAAAGGAGTTTGACAAGGCTGTATACTGTCACCCTGTCTATTTAACTTAAATGCAGAGCATATCATGAAAAAAGCGGGGTTAGACGAATCAAAAGTTGGAAATAAGATTGCCGGGAGAAATATCAACAACCTCAGATATGCAGATGTTACCACTCCAATGGCAGAAAGTAAAGAGGAACTAAAGAGCCTCTTGATGCGGGTGAAAGAAGAGAGTGCAAAAGTTGGCTTGAAACTCAACATTAAGAAAACTAACATCATGGCATCCGGTCCTATCACTTCCTGGCAAATAGATGGGGAAGAAATGGAGGTAGTGACAGATTTTATTTTCCTGGGCTCCAAGATCACCAGATGAGGACTGCAGCCAAGAAATTAAAAGACGCTTGCTCCTTGGGAGGAAAGCTATGGCAAATCTAGACAGCTTACTTATATCACCCTGCCGACAAAAGTGCGTATAGTCAAGGTTATGGTTTTCCCAGTTGCAATGTATGGCTGTGAAAGCTGGACCATAAGGAAGGCCGAGCACCAAAGAATTGAGCCCTTTGAATTGTGGTGCTGGAGAAGACTCCTCCAAGTCCTTTGGACTGCAAGGAGATCAAACCAGTCAGTCTTAGAGATCATCCCTGACTGCTTTTTAGAAGGCCAGATACTGCAGATGAACCTCAAATACTTTGGCCACCTAATGAGAAGGAAGGACTCACTGGAGAAGAGTCTAATGATGGGAACAATTGAGGGCAAAAGAAGAAGGGGACAGCAGAGGACGAGGTGGCTGGATGGAGTCACTGAAGCAGTCAGTGTGAGCTTGAGTGGACTCCGGGGGACGGTGGAGGACAGGAAGGCCTGGATGAATCTTGTCTGTGCGGTTGTGATGGGTCAGACCCGACTTCGCAACTAACAACAACAACATTATTCTGTATAAAGCCAGAGAGGAACACTTACCTGTCCATCCTTTCTGAAATATATTCTCCAAGTGTCCAAAAGATTTTACTGCTGAAGGCAAAGCTTCTAGTTCCTTCTGAATATTCACTGTAGCTGTTTTGACAATATCTGCTGCAGAACCCTGGACAACAGTGTTCACAGCCTGCCTTTCCGCCTGAAAGTCACAAAAGCACAGACTAAGTTGATCTGTCAAAGGCATCAGAAGTGTAATTTTAAATAATCAGAAACGTTGGAATTAGGAATGAGCCACACAAGATACTTTTTTATTTTTGAAAGCAGATTTAAATAATAATTTGATTTTTGCAAACCAGAATTTCCTAGTCATTCTCTGCATTCAAACCAGGATGAATTGGTACAGTGAAGCAGAGAACAAAGTCTTTCAGAACACTATATTCCTATTCATTATAAATAAATTTTGAAGTCAAACTAATTGCAAAATAATATAATTCATAGATGACCCATGCTGATAGCCTCCAAGTTAAATTATTGCAATGTGCTCTACGTGGGGCTGCTTTTGACAATGGTTCAGAAAGCGGAACTACTGCAAAATGTGGAAGACAGATTGATAACAGGCACTGGAAGGTCCAAACATGTGGCACCAATTCTGGACCACCTGCACTGGCAGCCTGTACATTTCTAAGCATAATTCAGTGTGCTGCTTTTACTGTATAAAGCACTGCATGGCTTGGGACTGCCACACCTGACAGAGCACCAAGGGAGAGGATCACGCCTGGAGCGACCTCCCTAGCAGAGCTTGCCTGGCACCAACATGGCCAGGTTAAGGCCTTCCTCTGCTCTCAGGCACTTGGCTGTGCATAATGGGATCTCAACCAGGTACTGGGATTCCTTACAGCTGATGATTAATATTGTGTGTGCATGTGTATGTTTGTGCATGCAGGTGAGGCAGTTTCCGATCTGAACCTTTACCTGAGCTCAGTAATAGACTGCATGAGGGCCAATAAATTGAAACTCAGTCCAGATAAGACGGAGGGACTCTTGGTGGGTGGAATGTCTGACCAGCGGGGGGCCTAGACAGGGACACACGCCCCCTAAAGGGCAGTGCCTGTAGTCTGGGGATGCACAAAAGTGAGTTCAGGAAACAGAAACAAATGCAATTCCATTAATGAGTGGAAGAGAGCGTGAAAGGTGATCTGCAAAATGCGAGTGGAAAAATCCATACATCCCTAGCTTCTGCCACCTGAAGCACTGTGCCACTCACAGTCAAGAACTGGCCCCCTAAGCCGGTCTGGCAGCCCCCCAGCATGCTGCATCTGCTGCTCAGGCTGGGAAAAAAGCAAAGCAAAGCAAAGAAAAGCACTCCAAGTGTTTTGCCAAGCAGGAGATCCTCGTAGAAGTTGCTGACCTGTGTTGCTAACCCTTTATACCTGGTTTCAGGTCAAAACCTTTTCATTTTTCCAGTATTTTAATTGTTAAATATGATTACTTAATTTTGCACTGGTTTTTATTTATATTGTCATTGGTATACCCTGGATTAGTTGTTATTTTTGCATGCTGTATTATTATTTATTGTTAATCGTTATGATGTTTGCATTTTGATGGATGATCTTGATGTCCTATTGACATCAAAGTTATTTATATTATGTTTTGATATGGTTTTTATCCTTGTTTGGACACCATTCTGAGAACTCTTGAGCTAAATGAGTGGTACATGAAATAACAACATCAACAATTTGCTCCTACAGAAAGTAGAAGAAGGAATGAGAGGATCGGCGATCTTTGACTTGACTCTAACGAACAGGGGTGATTCTTGTGGATAAAATGGCTCTTCGGGGAACTTCGAGGGGACGTGACCATGCCATACTTAATTTTTGATTCTATGAAAAGCAAAAGCTGAGCATAGCCAAATGCATACCTTGGATATTAAGAAAGTCAACGTTAATAAGCTCAGAACAATGAGAAGAAAGTTTCCATGAAAAAAACTTAGTTATCATTCTTTGCAGGGAGAAAGGGAGTCCAAAATGTGTGTGACTTTTAAAAAAGAAAATTCTAAAGGTGCAATTAGGTGGCCACAGTGTGAACAGAACACTGAACGAGATGGAGCCTGGCCTGACCCAGCAAGACACTTGTGCTCTCTTCTGGAGGCCTGCTCTTGCGCATGTGTGGGCACGACAGCTAACACAAAACATTCAAACATGAGGAGTGTTGAAACACTCACATGACCATTTAGGGAAAAAATGGATAGTTTGCAGCTGTGTGCACACCCTAACACCATCTATCTTAGCCATAGTCTCACAGAAATAAGAAGTCTGGACATATGTTATTAAACATGATATGAGTTTTTGATTTAGCAAACCTCTGGGCTGGATCATTCCCTCTCAAAGGCAAAGAGCGGAGCATGGTAAGTTAAGTGCACATGCTGCATTTCAGACAACCTTCTGTGTACCCACAAGAGAATTTAATTGTTTTATGAACTGTGGCCACATCATTTATAAGTCAATGTGTGACCACCATGCATGCACATGTGCAATATGATATGTCTCCATATCTGAAAATATTCACTAGCCTTCCATAATACTGGTGTTTTGGTGAAATACATTCTTATGGGCTATTGAGAATTGTCAGGCGAAACACTGTAGCACTGCTGTTCTTGCAATGTGAAGAAAAGGCATTTTAGTTCATGACAAACCTTACAATATGAAGGTTGTCCAACACACACCTGAAGTGGAAAAAAACAGTCTGTGTTTGCAAACTAAACATCTTAGTAAAACGAACAGGCAACGGTCATTTAACACCAAGCCAAAAACACTGAGAGCGAAAAAGGAAGCATGGACAGCTGATTATCCTCAGCTAGGCTTCCGCATGTTCACAAACTGTTTCTCAGAATACCTGAGCCTTCTTGTAAGGGTTTAACTCTGTAATTGCTGGCAGGTATCTCCGCCGCCCCGCGATTGTCTGTACAAACCCATTCTGGCTGCATTTCTGTACTGTCTCTCTCAGGAATTTCTGAACACCTATTAAGGAAGTCATAGTGTTACCAAATTTCTAGTTCAGCTATTGGTTCATAAAATAAGTAGGAATTCATCATTATTACAAACATATGCATATTTTTCATAGTAGACATTTTAGTGTTAATGTTTAAAAATCTCCAACTCCCCCAGCCCACCAGCCACGTCTTCATTCATGATTTTCTTTCAATCTTAAAATAAAATTAAAGATTAAGGACATTCCATGGAGATGGTACTCACAATAAGAAACATATTTAGTTTTTTTTTCAACTTGCAGGATCACATCAAGCAAAAGCAGTGGTGCAATAGCTTAGTTGTGGAGGCAGACCAAAAATGCAAATGTGTTTCAATGAGCAAGAACAAAAATAATGTTCAGGTAACTTTCATTTAACCAGTGAGAGATTTGTATAAAATGAGGAACAAGATTTCTATTGTGAGCAGAAGAAACTCTGAAAAAGACACTTGAAAGCACCTTAAGTAAATAAGATAATCTTAAAGGAGATCAACCCTGACTGCTCTTTAGAAGGTCAGATACTGAAGATGAAACTCAAATGCTTTGGCCACCTAATGAGAAGGAAGGACTCCCTGGAGAAGAGCCTGATGCTGGGAACAATAGATGGCAAAAGAAAGAGGGGATGGCAGAGGTTGAGGTGGCTGGATGGGGTCACTGGAGAGGTGGGTGTGGGTTTGGGTGTTCTCCGGGGGATGGTGGAGGACAGGAATGCCTGGAGGAATATTCTTCATGGGGTCATGATGGGTTGGGCACGACTTTGTGACTAACAACAGCACATTTCCAAATATCTTCCAAATTTTTTCATATAATTCTGTTCCCATGTCTAATAAAAGTACATACTTGCATGACATTTCCAGTATTTTCTTTCTGCATTTCAAAATGTTTAATTAGCCTACACATGGCCGTGTAATCCAGAGGGGCACAGCTTGCAGCAGTGATGCCTCCTGGGGTTACTGGGAGGGGTTGTTACTTCACAGCAGCCAACCCTGCTGGTTCTGTGCCACTAACCATGGTGCACAAGCCCCCAGCACCAGGCAGGAGCGGGGGTGGAGGGGGCTTTAGCATCTCCCTCTGTGACACCAAGGCAGCCTCCCCGTGTCCCTGAGCAAGCTTTCACAAGATTATGGGGTGAGAGTGGGGCTGAGGTCCCCCTCATTGCCCTTGTGCTAATGCATGTAATATGCATTCCACATGTCTCTTGAGATGCTTATTTGCGGGGGGAAGGGATCAAACCTCACATGTTTTCTGAAGTTTTAACAACACGATACAGTCTGGCAAAGATTCCTTTCTCTCACATGTCTAGTTTTGAAAGTTACGTCAATTAATATCCACAACTGTATGCCACCAAATCGTAGGTTATGGAATAAATGACTTGCCGGCACTGAAACATAACAGTGCCGGCAGATAATATAATTATTATCCAGTGCCTTTCTTCAGTTACGGGTCGTTGTGTCTTTCTCTTGCACTAGCCAATTCTGAAACTTAAATGCGCCTCCAACTTGAAATAGCAGGGCACTTTTGCAGGATGTAATTCTATGCTTTGGTTACTACACAAACATGGCCCTAACTCCAAGTACTCACAACCCAAAATAATTTATTTTAAAACCATTAGGCTTATTATGCGGACTGTTCTTTTGGAACAGAAAAGCTCTACCAGGAATTTTGCTTAACTTACAATATACTTGGTAAGTAAGATCACCAGATTGTAAAAAGAAGGCATAATCATCAGATACAAGCAATCTTTACCTGGGTATCTGGATTTGAAAGATTCAATGTAGTACAAAGCATCTGTTTCTTCAACACCCATCTGTTCTCCCAAGGATTTAGCTCCTATTCCATAGATGATCCCATAGCAAATCTGCCAAACAATGAAATTCTAGTTCATTCCAGCATTAGCCAACAAAGATACAAACATGAGAAACGCAGTTTTCCTGCAGCTGATATTTATATACTTGAATATCTCTGTTTTACCTTTTGGTCCTAATTTTTACATGATCATTAGAATCATCACACCTCTGGGATACAAGTCTGTCCAAAATTAGCCTCAGAACATTTCAGAGTTTTGGCCAGGAAGTGGCACTTAATGCTGCCCTCCCTGAAAGCAAAAATCACACACATGCACATGTCTCATAGAGGCAAGACAAGCGCCTTCTAGCTCAGTTCTTTCTCAATGGCCTCTCCTGGAAATTGAACACAGTGGCTGGATTATGGGACTGCACCCTGTAATGCCCACTCCCAGCTGTACTGTGGGGAAAAGGTGAAGAAGACCAAAAGCGGGATGGAATGCCATTTCCACCTGGGGGGTGACTTTGTCCAAATGGGAAGCCAGACTTTTCTGGCCCCCCAGACAGTATTCTAAACTAACAGAAGAGCTGTGTACATGCTTCATGGTCACACTGGGGCTTTCAGTAAATCCCATGAGGATTATTACATCAATTATTTAATTCCATGATTCTATACGACAGCAGAACCAGTTGCCTGGAGAGGCGGTGGGCTCTCCCACACTAGAGACATTCAAGGGGAAAGTGGACAGCCATCTGAGTGGGCTGGTGTCGACTGGTGCCCTGCACGAGCAGGGGGTTGGACCCAAGGGCCTTCTTGGCCCCGTCTGATCCTGCTATTCTGATTCTGTGATTCCAAGTCACAGAAGCATGACGTACACCTTTCAAGTGGACATTGATGCTGAATGAACCTTGAGAGAAGACACGGGAAGGGCAGCGTGCGGCAGAGAAACAGGTACTCTACGGTAAACTGTACTGAGCAAGAATTTACTGTCAGAAGCAACAACGCAAGTGAACCTTGTTCAGATATGCACACAGGATTTTAGTCATAGATCTATGTTCTAAATAGGCATACAGGTTGTCATGGAAAATGAGAATCATAGAGAGAGGCCACTCACTGCAAGAACGAGTGGAACAATCCTGTAGAGACTCAATCCCTGGAAGAAAGAGAGATCCTTGCATGCCAGAAATGTGATTTTGGAGCATGTGGAGGCATGGGATCACGGCAGCTTCACTCATCAGGAACACGGGCGGCTGGGTCTACAACAAGGCCATAGACTGCATGGTGTGAAGGCTCCATGGCCCATCACACATCATCTAGATAGCCCAAAAGTTACTCCTGGGCTGAAGTCAGCAGTCATGGTGCATGCTGGGATGTGGGAGATGGGCATCTGCCCCACCAGCTTCTCTGCCTGCTCTCAGATCTCCGGCAGGGTTTCACTTTCATTCAGCTAAGCTCCATGAGCCAGGAAAGCCACCTGTTTCCAAGACTACCTGCTTGGCCTGCTGCCTTAAGCCATCCCCAACTGCTTCAGGATCCATCATCTTCCACTCAGCTGCAATGCTTCTGAACACATCCGCACCACCATTCAAGGCCTGGAGAAGCCGTGCGTCATGACACAAATGGGCAAGGATCCTCAGTTCAAGCTGGGAGTAATCAGCAGCCAAAATTACGCCACCTACAGGCAAGGAAACAGAGTAATTCCTCAAGGACACATTTCCCTTAAGAAGTAAAAGTACTCTGGCTTCTGCCTTTATCTGCAGCATATGTCTGTAGGTCCCCGCACACAGCCTTATCTATGCAGAAGACAATACCAGACAAGAAACATGTATCAAGTGCCTTTCATACATCATCTTCCTAGTCCAGTATTCCCCAGGCTGTGGACCAGGACCACCCCCCGCATGGGTGCCAGCTAACCCTCAGGGGCTCTCCATACTTCAGGCTGCTCAGTGTCTCTTAGCCTGACTGCCCTGTGCCATGGATACACCTGTAGGGACGGCAGTGGGAGCCAGTCAGAGAGCAAGGCTGATATTCTGAATAACAACAACAATGTGCAAAAAATGGAAGAGGAAAGGGATGAAAAAGTGAGAGAGAGAAACTGTTATAGGAAGAAGTGAGTGTCAAAACAGCAGGAGGGAGGGAGTGTGAAAGAAGAAGGAAATGGAAAACGAGACGAGATAGGAAAGAAGGCTTTGAGAGGAAGGAGGACAGGAGCAGACAGGAGAAAAGCCGTAATAATCTCTACTTCAAACAAGTGTCCCTGAGCACGACTGGAGTATGGGCTTACCGCAGTTTATAATCCTGGTTTGCCTGAAAATGCAAACCATAGTTTGCCCATACAAAAGAAGCTGGCAAGAGATACAGAATGCAGGGAGTGGAAGTCATGCCCAAGGGAGGGGACAGCAACAAATGAAGCCCAGACTCTTCAGGGGTTGCTACAATGCATCCTTTGTTTGAACAGGCCCGCTGCATTGGCGCAGTATATGTGAATAATTCTGTACATCCCTCCTCTCGTTTTTTGTATTATAGTAACTCTTAGGGCAGCAGCGGGCAGCTTCTGATGGTCTGTGGTCCAATTTCCCATCCCCTGGGATCTGATAAGAGCCACTTCTTTCCCAGAACTTTGGTAGGGAGGTGGGGGAAATTTTGATTTCCCCTAAAAACAAGGTGAATGGAAAGGACATGCCTTGTTGCAATGCAAAACTGTGCTTCCTGGACACTTCAGAAACCTTGATTTCCTTTAAAAAAAGAACCATGTCCCTCATGCACCTTGTTTTAAAGGAAAATCGCCAAATTCCAGTAGCACATTTGGCAGCCAAGGCCACAGAATCAGCTGGTGGGGGGGATGCCCAACTCTGCCCTAGGACAGCACACTGTCCATGATGATACCACTTTCTGCCTAGATTCGCATCACTCATGGTCCTATGTGTGCTGAAGTGCCCAAAAGCAAAAACACAAGATGTTACCTGGAAATGGGACAAATGCATGTCTCATGCTAACAGAAAATGGTATTTCTTTCCTTTCAGTTAGATTGTCAATCTGATTCTTAAGTCCACATGGTACCATGGAATGTCTTCTACCTCTGTAAAAAACATATGCATTAAAAGCTGGCCTTTAACTGATTTCTATAAAATACATCAAGATAAACACAATATCAGGACCCTTTCTTTAATTCTATAGGCATTGCAGGCTGTCACTTGAAAAGGAACAGGCTATTCTTGTAACCTGGAATTGCTAGTAAGTCAGTGTCATGGCTTGATATTTTTATGGCACAAGACTATGATTGCAGTCAGCAAGGAAAAGAAAGTACCAAGCACCGTGCTTCTGTATGTTCTGTCATCTTTCCCTCTTTTTAAATTTTGTGGCATATGTTATTAATATGAAGATCGTATGTTGCTGACAGTGAATCACATATTTTACTGACTGATAGAGCAAATAATGCATCAAAAATACATCAGAAGCATTATAGAAAACAGTGATGAAGTGCAAATGAAAGCAATTGAGCAAAAATCACACCAGTGAGCTAGTCATGTCTTTTGCCTACTGCTGTTTGTAGACCCAGGAAATGGGGACAGGACATGGGCCCCTTGCTGAGACCAAGCAGGCCTGGGATTGCTCGATGCCTTGAGTTCCATGATAAGAACAAGCTGGAATATCCACATACTGATAAATACAACAGCCAGTATGTTGAATGTCATACACTAAATTTAGTACGCTCTTGTCCTTCTAGGAACATGACTGGAAAATCTAAGAACAGAACTAAAATGAAGATGAGAAAATCATTAACAAAATATCCTACATTTTTACCTGCTTCTTAGAATACTGAGCCCCTTCTGCTGTCTTTGGTAAGGCGGGCTTTCTTCAACCAGGACTGGCATTTCAATGTCAAAGTCTTTAGGCACATTCTGTATATTTGGCTCTCTGAAGCTTATGCGACCTAAGAGCAAATGTAGGACAAGGATAAATGCAGGCAGCTTGTGGTAGCACAAGATAGTCTGGAATGAATATGGAGGCACAACATATTTAAATATGAAAGCTGAAAACAAGGTAGAGTTAACCAATCAAAAAGGAACACACATTGCTTTTGTTCTAACTGGAAAGTCTGGCATACGTTCACACAGCAGCAAAAGTGGAGTTTCTGACTCTCGTGTCAGGAGACGATGAGGAATGAAAGGCGGCAGATGAAAGGAATAACCACCACTCCCTGGCCTGGCAGGCTGCTTCGTGGCATACCTGACCCTTTCTGGCTGCTGGCCACATGCCCACCTCACAAAACAGCTGCTTGCTAAAAGCAGTGGCAATAGGGTGACAGGTGATCTTCATGAGACCTGAAGCATTACTTGCCACGTGCCAGCAACAGGTGAAGAGGCTGGAGACAGAATCAACTAGAATCATGCCCCTTTCTCCATTGGTGCATTCACCCCTTCTCTACTTAGTGGCTTTGCTCCCACTGCTACCTGGCTACTTCAATGGAGCAAGTCCCTGCCAGGCCCCAGGGAAGGGAAAGTGGGGTGCTGCTCACCCCTCCTTCAATCCAGTTGCTCTCTCTGAGCTGGTTCCACCTGTCTGAAGGGGAGACCAAGCTCCTCTGCCAAAAGAGTTGCCACGCCTGGGGAAGAAACATTTTAAGCTCTCCTTCCCACAGGCTGTCTTCCTCACTGAAGGAACCAGCTGGGTTATCTTGCTGTCTCTCTGCCTGGGCTGAGGACAGAGAGGTGGAGGAAGAGAATGACCCAGTCCAGCATGCAGGTGTGCAACCTTACTAAGGTTATAAACCCCTTAACTTTATGGCAGAATCACTACCTTGATTAAACAAGAAAGAAGCCACACTAGAGAAAGAGTTAGCATAGGCAGCAGGATTTTAAGGCTTAGGTTAAGGAGTGAGGCGAAACCCATATTTACACAAACCTGGTTTTTCAGGGAAAAGAGGGAAGTAGCCACAGACACTTAACCACTGTTTAAGAAGAAAATAATGCACTGCACACTTTACTTTTTGTCATGTAGCCAAGAATGTAATTGTCACAATATGCAGATTAAGCAGCTTTGCTTTGGACCTGTAGGTCTCAAGAGTACAGCAGGAAGAAAAAAAAGTCTGTTTACTTCAGCAGAGATGCAAGTTCAGAAGAAAACTCAAAATCTCCTTCCAACCTCCCCTTTGCAACAGGCATTTTTAATGACAGCCATTGCTTGGGAAAAGTAGGGAGGCTCAAATACCAGGTGGCTTCTCAGACCAAAGGTTACTTTATTCTTACACTCTTGAGAGAGGAAGTTTTCTAAGTCTCTTCAACAGAGGTAGCAATTAAGTTACTCCTAAAAAATTAATTCTGAATTTGAAAGATGTGATCAATTATGGGCCAGTTCTGGGCAAGCTGCTAGAATGGGAGACTGCAAACCAACTTCAGATACTTTTAGATGAAAGATGCTCTAGCTCCAATTCAACTGGGCATCAGGCCTGTCTGGTAGCTCTGTAAAATGACCTCTGCCAAAGGAGCAGATGAGTGTGACTGAACTGGGACATGTCGCTGTGGTCCCACTACTACTTGGACGGCCAATTCCAGAAAGGGATTGATGCATGGCTTCCTGTCGGTTCTTCTGTGGGCTTTGCACGCCTCCATTTCATCCCCCATTCTGTTCAACATCTACCTGAAATCACCAAGAGCTTACCTGGAGATTTGTATTGAATGCTCTGCTGGTGGCACCCGGCCCTCTCTTTCATCTATATCAAGTGATACATTCCTGATCAGTGTCTATGTCTGGCAATGGGGGCCAATAATTGGAGACTCAGTCTAGGCAAGATGGAAGGGTTGGTGCCAGCTGGTTATTCTGCCAAATTATGTGGCCTTCAACCAGTTCAGGAGAGATCCTACCCCAACAGATCATGGTCAGTTTTGGGTGGTGCTTCTAGATCTCAGTAGTGTGATGTGCCTTTCATTTACTCAGGCTGAGTAAGCAACTGTGAGTCCAGGAGACACACGCAGCAATGCCAGTTGTCCATACTCTGATAGGCCTTCAGTTTGGATTATTGCAAAGTATTGTATGCTGAGCCACCTTGAAAACTATCCACAAACATCAGCTCAATCATATTCCAGGTGGGGTTCGAGCTTGATCCCAAGCTCATGACATGTTAAAGACTGAGTTAATGCTACTAAATCAATTATCACAATAATTGGAGGACTGCTGCAAGAAGTTCATTAACATATGAAACACATTTCTGAGTTCCCAAACAAGCGATATCAAGAAATATTGTTGTTGCAATACATGTAATTTACTATTTGGCTCAAAGCATAATTATATTGGAATTTCCATAAAATACAGAAAAATCAGACATCTTCATGCTCCTGCATCATGATAGGAAGCAGGACTTCAGGCAAGAGGGGGAAAGAAGCTAGAAGACACCATCAACCACCCTAAAGTAACAGCATGCATGTTGTTAGATTAACAATAAAAATAACTTATACAGAAATCCAGCAATGAGACTTTTCCAACTACAAGAAATAGCAAAGCTTTCATTATGGTTATTGTCCCACCTGCTTTGTCCCTTTTCAGTAAAGGTGGATAAATCAGCAGATACACTTTCGCACATTTTTTAAAAAGCTACCTGTAGCACTGTGAGTCTGAGACACAAGATAGATCCTTTCCATTCCCAATACAGGGTTTAAAAGCTTCTTCCTCTGCAGTGGAAATATTGTTTTTGTTATTGCATTGGTGATCTTTCTCCATTCTAAAATCAAGCCCGGTAAGGGATGCAATGCCTTCAGCTTCTCTAAAACATCCTATAGAAATTAAGAGTAGATCATGCCAGTTAGCTAGTTTCACATTCACACAGCTTATTTGTAAAGTCTTCACAGCCACGCTCTGGGGGAAAGCCTTAAAAGATCCCTGTTGGTTCAGTCAGGCTCGTATGGTGCCAAGAGCCCTTGGTGTGGGCACACTGCATGGGAGAGCAGAAAAGGTAGCACAGCTGTTAGGATGCTTGGGCAAAACATGCCAGTCCTTCCCCTACACGGAGAGAGGCTGTGGGTGAGCTGCTGAGGAGGATGGAATTGCTCAAACACTCATTATTCCTCTAACTTTTGGAAGTTATTTTAGGTTCCTGCTTAGTTCTGTAATCTTAATTGGTTTAAACTGGGTGTTTCATTCTGATTTACTATCTGAGCATGCCTGAGAAAGCCTTTTGCCTTGAAAGCCAGCATAATAATACTGGTAATAAAATCTCTCTCGGACTCTACCTTTTATCCTATAGGCTTACAAGTCTGCCTGCCTTCCCACTCAAAAGTAGGAAATCTCCAGGGAAAGCGAGGAGGCAGTCAGGCACTTCATCTCCAGAAATCAAAGGAGAATAACATTAAACCTGTCATGCTGCTCACTTAACAAGAGTAATTGTGCAAATTACTCCCTTCATTCAAGGCATCATTAACTTATGGAATTCACAATCACAAAGTAGGGTCATGTGCACTAGGTTAGTTTATTTATTTAAGGATCGGATCCATTTACAGAGGACAAGTATGTTGATTCTCCAGGACCTCTCAAGAACTTCTGAGGCCATCAACCATGGTATCCCTCTGGGGAGGTTGGCTGAGTTGGGGGCATTGCTGTATGGTGGCTCTCCTCCTATCTGGTGAACTGTCTCCAGTTGGTGCAGCTGGGGGATTGTTGCTCTCTACGCCATGGCCCTTGTGTCATGGAGTTCCACAGGGCTCCATTCTGTCCCCCATGCTGTTTAACAACTACATGAAGCCACTGGGAGAGGTCATCTGGAGGTTTGGGCTGAAGTGTCCTCGATATGCTGGCAATAACTCTCGTTCTCATTTAATTCAGGTGTTCTAAACTGGTGCCTTGGCTCAGAATGAACTGGATGAGGACCAATAAGCTGGAGCAAAATCCAGACAAGATAAAGGTGCTACTGGTGGGCAGCCCATCTGTCCATTAAGGAAGTTTTCAACCTGTCCCGGACAGGGTTGCGCTCTCCCTAAAGGTTTGTTGCTTGGGGGTGCTCCTTGACCCCAAGTTGTCATTTGTCACACAGGTGACCTCAGTGGCCAGGAGCACCTCCTATCAGCTCAGGCTGATTTATCAGCTATGTTCCTACTTGGACAAAGGCAGCCTAGCCCAGTCATTGAAACACTAGTAGCCCCTTGCCTGGATTTATTTGAGTAAGCCGTCCTGAGGTTCTTGCAAAGGACGGCATACAAATATCTTATAAAATAAAATAAAATAAATAATTACTGCAATGTGCTCTACTTGGGGCTGTCTTTGAAAATGGCCCGGGCACTTCAGCTAATTCAAAACAGAGCAGTGTGACTGTTAATGAGGACCAACGTTAGAGAACACATCACGTTGGTCCTTTGCCAGCTGCATGGGCTGCCTGCTGCCATCCGGACCCAATTCAAGGTGCTTACAGTAATACATAAAGCCCTAAAGAGCCTAGAACTGGGATATCTGAAGGAATGCCTGCCTCCAGATATCCCCATCAGATCCTTAAGATCTTCTATGAAGGCCCTTCTACATGCCCCTGCCCCCCAATGAAGAAAGCAGGGAAATGGCAAGGAAAAGGGCTTTTTCTGTTACCACGTCTCATCTCTGGAATGCTCTCCCTCAAGAGGTGTAATTGGGACCCTCACTACTCACTTTCCGAGGCCAAGTAAAGTTGCTTTTATTCTGTACCAGTTTTTAGTATAATTTATGGTTTTACTATGTATTTCTCACTGCTTGCTTTTATTTGTCATGTGCATTTGTCTCCTGCTCCATTGATATTATTGGGTATTATGATGTTTTGTATTTTCTTGTTTTTAATTTGTTTTGATTTTATTCTCTTCTTCATTGATTGTTGTTTTATGAGTCACCCAGAAAGCCCTTTGGCTATGAGGTGGCATACAAGTGTCATAAATGGACTCTGTGTTATAAAAATTTTTACATTTTGTATTGTCAAACCATCCCGAGACTTCGGTAATGGCACAGTCTAGAAAAGTTTTAAATAAAATAAAATAAACCAACCAAACAAACAGCCAATATAATGGCTAAATGGAGCCTTATTAGCAATTAGAAGGTCAGGTACATGACAGAAAGAATGCAAAAGAAAAACTGGTTCTCAGACATGCTATTACTGCACATTTACTGAAGCCCAATCAATCCTGATCCAGTGAGATTCTTCTTTTGCAACAATCATTTCATTTCTGAAAACTAGCTGCACTGCTAACTCTCTCTGCTGCAAGAAGGATGGTCAGTTGTTTAGAACTGGAAACTATGGAACAGGATTCCTCCAGTAGGTTTTGTACATGCCCACCCGTCCAAATTCTAGCAGACCAGGATAAACATAGGCCAAAAGCTATCACTGGTGAGAACACAAAATACAGGCAACTTTCACAGATTTGATTATTTGCAAGTTAGCCACCAATAATTCACTGGGATTTTTTTTTTTGGGGGGGGGGGGGAGTTTTGTGGTCTACTGAGGAAAATCAGACAATGCATGTAGAGTAGAAAATGTAAAGAAAATGGAAAAAAAGTTTATTAAGTCATGAGTGCATAAAATATATGTATCATTAATATTTTTATCATTTAGTACCATAAATATATACAGCACAGAGATTTATTAAGAAAAAATAAATTTTGTAAAAAGTTTCAGTGAACTAAAGAATTGTGAACTAACAAACTCTGTTCAGGGATGCCACCCTCTTTGTCTCAGTACTACCCAGCCTCATTCAGGTGTTTTGTCTCTTATCATGCAGTGCATCTTGCATTTCTCACTACTTTTTGCATCTTTATCGTGCATTAAAATATCAACTGTAACCATGGCTCCAAAGTGTAGTGCTTCTACTGCTCAGAAAGTGCTCCCATGAGGCAAAAGAAAGTGAAGATCTTACAAGAAAAGGTTAAATTATTAGATGTGCTTTGTACAGCAATTTCAGCTGCTGCGGTTGCCCACCATTATGGCATCAATGAGTCAACTGCTGTTTTTCAATTAACTGGAAGGTGGATGTTTCAACAATGTAGGCTAACACAGAGAAGGGTGGTGGGGAGGGAGATGGAGAAGCAATCCAGTACACATATGCTCAACAGCATTAAAAGATAAGGCTGAGCAGGCCTAGAGATAGTCACCATTTTCCTACTTTCACAGGCATTCTGCATGTGAAAATCCACGAATGTGGAGGTTCAACCCTAGTACTCTAAGGTTTCTTCTGAGTCAAAAACTTATTTTCACACAGTTAACATCATACCTTGGTTGTACTGAATTGTTTACCCAACCGGATCCTGTTTCCATTTGCTGTTGCCCTCCTGGTGTAACCTAACGTTCTCTTGCTCCTTTGCAATTTTGGTTCTCCATCTGTTGGCAACTTCTGCTCTAAGAACAACACCTGAAAAAGGACACAATATCAGTTGCATCTTTTTGCTTTCTACAGCAGGGCCGATCCCGTTCACTTCGCTCTTCTCCTCCAACAGCTACTTCTTTCAAGGACTGCCAAAGCCTTCCTAAATCACTGTCTGGGCCCACAGAACACAAGAACCTGCACTCAAGGTTGATTTTGAGCAAGAATGGAATAGTGAACTCAGTCAATGAATTACTGCATTGGCATCTATCTCAGAGGGGTTAAAACAAATCTAAGCTTACATCTGACTCAGCAAAAGCTTTCATTCCATGAATGTTAGACTCCACATCTTTAAAATAAAGATCTATCTAAATGGCTAACTGTTGAAAATATAAGCAGCTAATGCCTTGTTCATTCACATGTTTGGCAATGCCTAATAGTTGCCTATTTTTGAGAGGAGGGAATAAAATGGATACATTTGGGGAGAGAAAGAGCTTCAGTAGTTACTGATGTGCACATTCTTTTTAACTTTCGGCCACCTGTTGGGACTTAATTACAAGGTCAACATAAATGGATCCTCTGTACCCTTCTGACAACTAAACGACTAATATTACAGCACTGGAAAGTCAAAGGCCACCTTCAAGTATACAGTGACTTGGTTGACACGACACACTAAGTCACCAGCAGGCCTGAAACCCCCATTTCCTGAGAGGATTATAAATCACCTTGGACTGGCTTACAAACCACTCCCAGCAGCCATGGGTTGTTCTTGGGTTTAGGAATCCTACTGTGACTTAGCATCATGGCCTGAACCCATCAAGGCTAGTGACCCTTGGCAAGACCAGCAAAAAAGGGTTCAAGTCAATGACAGCCAGCAAAGTGATCAAGTAGCACTTTGTATAACTACTGTGAGTTTCTCCACCGTGTTCTTGCTAACACTCGGGCAGTAGGATTGCTCACAAGGATGGAATTCTCTCCAAATCTGAACTTACTCCAACCTGGCACTATCCAGGCTCCACAAACTTGTTGAAAATAATTGAAACATCCAATATCTATAGCCACCTTGAAATTAATTGAAACATCCAGTATCTATAGCATGTAATGGCTCAACACTCTCAGAAATCATTGTATATTTTAAACAATTGTTCATTAAGAGAGAAAACCTCGACTGTTTAAGAAGAACAGTAACTTCATTCCAAAGTTTTGCTGATTATTTCAGCACCAAAAACATAGCTTCAGTTATCACAATAAACTGAGAGTTCACTCTATTACCTCCGCGATCTCATCAGGAGAAGTCAAGGAGAAACTGTGGCCTGCCAGCTGGTATATCTGATTCTCAATCTCATTCAGTTTTGCTTTCAGAATGTGCTTCTGGGCCTCACCCTCTACTGTGCTAAAGCCTATACCATTGAGCTCTAGCAAGGCCAAACAGTATTGATTTGGCATCTCTACTTTATGAAACACATCTGTAATAAACAGCAACAAGTGAGACAAAACAGGTTAGTTCAGTGTCATGATTGAAATGTCAAGACTCTTGAATAAAAAATAAAGATCTTGCTTTATTTTTCTCCCTTATTGATGCTCTTCAGAAGTTCCCAATGATAGTTTGCCAAGCAAGTGATCAGCAGGTGTTTAGTATCCAAAGAATGAAAAGCAAACCAGCTAGAATTGTAGTAGAATTTGAAAGGATGAAAAATCATTACAAAATGAGATTTTTTTTAATAATCCCAGAATTAGGATCACAGTTCATCACACCTGACTGGTAGAGAAGCCAAATGAACTTCTGGTGTCAGGTTCAGGCAATTATGGCTTACATAACCATGTCACTCAGTACTCACTATGTGCAGATGCTAAGGAAAACTCCCCCTCCCCCATTCCCTTGAACATTGATATATAATGGGATTCCATGCTAAACCCATAGGAACTCAAATACCTATACAGAAGAAAGCCCTGTGAAATGTTGTCCATGAAAATATCTATGCTGTACTACAGCTTCCAAAAATATATACAAGAAAATATATTTTCCTACAATGGCATTCTTGTGTGCTTGGGGGTCAGACTAAATGCCTTTTAGGGATTCCTTGTAACTCAATGGTTTGATTTGCCTGCCATGCTAAGCCATAGGGGGTGCATTGTGTGTCATCTGAACCCCTGTTGCTTCCTTAAACCACCCCAACAACCCATGGCTTGTAGTGGGGTTTAGTAAAGGCCCAGTGGCTTAGCGTGCTGTCTGACTCCAGGCAACACTTGAAGCTACAGTCAAGCCATAAAGAACTTCTTGGCAGGAGCAGCAAAAAAATTGATGACTGCCAGTAAATTGCTCCCCCCGCTCTTCCTGCCTACTTGGTAGCTCTTGAATTGGTAGCTTTTGTTCTCTTAAGCCCAAGGGGTGGCAAGAAGTCAGGCTGGAGGGTCTGAGCAGAGGAGGAAGAAGAGAGCTGACTTGGGATCCTTAGACAGCTGGGGGAGAGCCTGAGGTCTCTCAGACTGGGAATATTGTGGACCCTCAGCTTTGAGCGGAGACCTTCCATGAAAGAAACAGTCATCAGGTTGGCATGCTATTTGTCTAATGCTCATGTAAAAATGAACTTAGAACCTGTTATACTGAAACCTACATTAGATTGCATGGTTTCAGTCTCTTAACACTTCTACCTTGCAAGTTATCCTTCTGCAAAAGAGTATTGACTTGGTTCATGATATGGAAGACAAGAACAGACTCAACAGCAGCCCTGTAGCGCCCAGAATGATCTGAACCAGCACTGAGTCCTAGGCTTTGTCTCCCTTGGCCTACTCCAATCTTGTCCAGTAAGAACAATTCCTGAGGAAGGAAATTAGCAACCATGTTGTGTAGGGAGCGCTCTTTAGACTCTGGATCCAGCAGCCAGCATGCCACCTGCAATGACAGAAATGAAAAGCACATAGAAAGAAAAAAGAATTCACTTTTCAGAAGAATGCAGTCAGGCTTAGGAATAAGAGCCTTTGCACGGATGGCAGACAGACTGGCTATGCATGTGTGTCCATCCCACCCTAGGTGATTCTGATCATTTCCAGAATTCACTGAGGGCTAAATCCTTTGACTTGAAAGGTCACTTGGTCTGGGTGCGCTCCGGAGAGAGAGGATGGCTTTGGTCAGTAATACAGTACTTTCCAGGCATCTTTTTTTTTTTTTTTTGCTTCACTGTTGCTTGCTCATCCTTGTTTAAAGAATAGTTGAGGCTGTGAAGGGACTGGGAGGATGGCATAACCACACCAAAGCTCCCCCAGAACAGCACAAAGGCCAACTGACAAACAATGCCATGGGACTGGAGAGACCACCTGCCTCCTCTTATGGCAGAAAGGGAGGCGCATATGTAGCACTTTCAGCACGTTTTAATATTTTTTATACTTGGATTTTATAGGTTTTGCAATTATTCTATTTGACACTATGCAGTTTGAAGATACAATGTAGTAAATGGCATTTTAAAGGGTTATTTGTATGGCAATAGGCCAATACCAAAACAGGTTCACTGTAAGACTGAGTACTATCTGTAACTAATAACTGTAACTAATATATGCTCTAAACAGAGAAGTGAACTGATATGGGCACAAATGTCTTACTCTGTTTCTAGGACAGCATAGCATAGGGGCAGTGTGAATGTGCGATTTATCTTGTTTCTTACTTGTCCACCCATCGTGATATTTACACTCATAGGTTGCCTATATGGGGCACTTCTACTTTACAAATTGAAGGAATTGTGGGAATGATGCAAAATGGTTAGTTCTGGAGGGCACTGCACCAGCAGGGGAACAGGTGCACTCTTCAGGCACCGTCCCGGATCCAGCACTGTCGCTAGAGGCACAGGTGGACTGTGCGGCATGAAGTGTAGGCTCATGTACTAACTCACCATTATCTGGACAGAGCTAGCCAAACTACCATGTCTTGGCAGCCTCCCAGGAGGCTGACTTTGAAATTACTTCAGTGGGTTGACTTTGAAAATATGTTGCCCAAAACAGGGCAGCATGATTGTTAAAGGCCAGTATAGAAACATAGAAACAGAGCAAGTCAGAAGGGGCCTCCCGGACCATCTAGTCTGACCTCCGGCAACAGCCGGCTCTGCTCACGACATGGCCACCATGTGCACGTCCAGCCTATCCTTGAACACCCGCACCGATGGGGCCTCAACGACCTCCCGTGGAAGCCCATTCCACACCCTCGGGGTCCTGACTGTCAGGAAGTGCTTCCTGGCATCCAAATGGAACCTTGGCTCCCTGAGCTTTGCTCCACTGGAGCGCATCCTGCCTTCCTCTGCAGGGGAGAACAGGTCTCTACCCATCTCCGTGTGACATCCCCTCACATACCTGTATGTCGCCAACAGATCCCCTCTGAGTCTCCTCTTCTCCAGGCTGAAGAGACCTAGTTCCCTCAGTCTCACCTCATACGGCATCCCCTGAAAACTGGCCACAAACCTTGTGGCTCTACGCTGCACTGACTCTAACCTGGCTATATCCTTTCTGTAATGAGGGTCCCAAAACTGAGCACAATACTCCAGTTGCAGACACACCAGAGTTGTATAGAGTGGTAGTAATACCTCTCTTGATCTACAAGCCACATTTCTGGCTATGCAACCAAGGGTGGCGTTCGCCCTCTTGACCACCGCATCACACTGCTGACTCATGTTTAGCCTGCAGTCAACCAGTACCCCGAGGTCCCTTTCACAAGTGCTGCTCTCCAGCCACTTGTCACCTAACCTGTACTTATGACAGCTATTCCTATGCCCCAAGTGCAAGACCTTGCACTTATCCACACTGAACGCCATCCTGTTGCCTCCTACCCACTTCCATAGTCTGTCCAGATCCTTCGGATCTGGAGTACCTGCTCCTCAGTTGTGGCCACTGCTCCAGTTTTAGTGTCGTCTGCAAATTTGATCAGCAGACTGTTCACCCCTTCTTCCATGTCATTAATGAAAAGATTAAACAGGATTGGCCCCAGGACAGAGCCCTGGGGGACCCCGCTTGTCACTGGCCGCCATCCCGATGATTCCCCACTAATGGTTACCTTCCGCTTTCGGTCAGTCAACCATGCCCTAATCTACCGGACAGTGCTTTGGTGTATCCCAAAACTCCTCAGTCTCTCCACCAGGATATCATGGGGCACTTTGTCAAAGGCCTTGCTGAAATCCAGGTATACCACATCCACTGCATCCCCTCCATCTAGCCATCTGGAAACCTTATCATAGAATTCCACAAAGTTTGTCTGGCAGGACCTGTTTTTGGGGAAGCCACATTGTGTGGCTTTCAGCCTCCCTTCCCTATCTAGCATCACTAGATCTCTCTCTATTATGAGCCTTTCCATTGTTTTTCCTACAATGGACGTAAGGCTAACAGGTCTATAATTCCCCATGTCCCTTCTACTACCCTTTTTGAAAATTGGGACCACTGATGCCACCCTCCAGTCCTCTGGAACTTCACCCATTCTCCACAAGGCCTCAAAAATGGAGGCCAGCGGGAGTGAGAGAACCCCTGCCAACTCTCTAAGTACTCTCAGGTGTAACCCGTCAGGGCCTGGCACCTTTGTAATGTCCAATGCCCTGAGGAGTCCCTCGACTTCAAGGGGGGGGGTGGTGACTCTAATATATGCCCAAGTCCCCAGCCTCATCTAATCTCCTATGCGGATATCCCCCGTCCTGCTTTGGGGAGAACACAGAGGCAAAATAGTCATTTAGCATCTGTGCCTGTTCCCTCATATCAGTCACTGGATCTCCTTCCTCCTTATTTAGTGGTCCCACCACTTGTCTCCCCTTCCTCTTCCTATTTACATGCTGAAAGAAGCCCTTTTATAGTATGATCCTATGATGCCGCTACTTTTCCATCTGTGCTGCCTGTCAGTCCATGTCCAGGCCCAGACTGCTTAGAGCTGGGTCTTCTTCCATATATATGCCCTTGGACCCTTAGATCATTCTCAGTGGTCCTTCTCCAGGAAGCTCTGCAATGAGGTCGGCTGCTACTAAGAAGAGGGCATTCTCTGTTGTGGCACCCTAAGTGTGCTCTTTCCAACACTAGGCCAAGATCTTCTTGTTTTCTCAGCATTTAGTCTATCTACCTTTTAAAATCTGCTGCTGTATTTTAATCATTGCACTGTTGCTGGGTTTTACTTTAGTTCTTATTTCTATTTTGCACTGTACTTTTAAAAATGTTACGTTGCATCTTATGGTTTAAATTGTTGAAACTGCCCATAAGATTCTGCTATTGGGCAGTGTAGAAATGTAATTTAAAAAGCCATCAATAAATAGTTATTAAACCTTTGGGTCCTCAAAACATCCTGTCAAAGAGATGTCACAGGCCTTCAGGAGAATCTTGTAGTGCTGAATGAAGTCATACACAGCAAGTGAAAATACTCTCTTGGATTCCTGTAGGCAGAGCCGAAGGTGCCGCAGTCTCTCTGCTATGGACAAGTTCTGTTCCAATTGAGGTGGTACCAAACTGGCACTGATTTCTAAGGAGACAGTAAAATAGTCCCTCTTACTGGAGAATCAAGGAGAGGTTCTAAATAAGCGGAGTAGGGAAAGAAGCCTCTATCTGTATATGGCCTGCAGCTCCACATATAAGCAAGGCAAAAAATTTGTCCTTGCATCTTGCCTTCTTAACTCATACTCTATCAGCCCCTTGAACTGTGTATTTAGTGGGATAGTAGAGCAAGTTCATTAGGAGGGTCCAAGTAACATCCTGTGATTCTTTATTCTCTCTTCCCATTCCCTAAGTCTCTGCCTTTTCCATTTTGCTTATTAATCCCTCCCTCGAATTACTCCACAACTTCCCATAACTTTGAATTTTCAAAGCTTCTACAGGGGAACCTTCAGCTTCTCTCAACATCCCCTTCCATCTCCTCATGCTCATTTCTTTTCCAGACAAACAGCTTTCTCATCTCCCTTAAGCAAAAAAAATCAATCAACTGTCAGCATTCTGTGAGCTGACCCAAAAAACATGAAATTATCGATACACTGCCCATAAAAACACTACCCTTTATTTAATCTAAAGTAGCATAGTGAGGTGCTATCTAAACGGACGTTCCTAAAGTGCATTCTTTTAGTGCACACACAGGCAGCTCGCAAGCCGTGGGCAGCCTTTGGCTGTGCTCCGTGCAGCATGCAGGGCCATGACCCACTTTCTTATGCCACCCATCGGGCCAACTTTCAGCCGGCAGAGTAGACACTGAGCGCTCGCGTGTGAGCGTATGAAGCAGTTTAAACCTCGCCACCTCCCAAGTGACTCTCAAACAGATTGCTATTGCCCCCTGCAGCACATCCCATGCTCACAGCAGCCAGGGAAGGAAGAATTAATGCTGAGAAGTGTAGGCATGAGTGCCTGTGCACACATCAGCATGCATATGTATGAGTGACCGCACAGGAATACCTCTGAGTCCTGCTCATGTGCCTATGCTCATAAATATTATTATTATTATTATTATTATTATTATTATTATAACATTTCTATGCCGCCCCTTGCCGAAACCTCGGGGCGGCTTACAACACGATAAAATACATTGAAATACAATAGCACATAATAAATTACCATTAAATACAAAAATACAAAAAATACATTGATTTACAAATATAAGATAAAAATTATCAGTATAAATTAAGTAAATAAAAATATAGGAGGAGAAAGAGAAGGAAGAAGAAGTTGCCCTGGCCAGATCATATGTTTTAACAATTAAAATGATGTTTAAATAAAAAGGTCTTTACCTGGCGCCGAAAAACCAGTAACGACGGTGCCAGGCGGACCTCTTTGGGGAGTGAATTCCATAGGTTGGGTGCCACCGCAGAGAAAGCCCTCCTCCGAGTACTTACTCTCCTAATTTCTTTCATGGAGGGTTCCCGGAGAAGGGACTCTCCCGCAGATCTCAAGGGGCGGTCGGGCATATACGGACGTAAGTGCTCGTTCAGATGCACTCACACACGAGTGCATGGGTCTGTATACAAGTGCGTTTGTATAACCCCATGAGTATGCATGGTCCCTGCCCCTCAAACAGATGTGGCCAAAAAGATTGCTCACTCCTGCATACTTTCTTACTTACCTATCTCCTCTTGAAGTTTTTCTTGCAATGAGATATAATAAGCATCCTTTCCGCCCCAACACACAGCTAGCCCAACTACAGAAAGGTCTTTGCAGGCTTTTAAAGAAAATCTGTCATCTTTATGCTGAATCTTCTGAAGAGTGCTTCCTACAAAAAGCACACACAAAGCTTAACCTCTTGTTAGCCCCTTGAAAGTGCAAGCACATTTAGATCTAGGATTTTGCTTACCCCTGTTGCTTCCCAGACACTCTGGGTAAAAAACTCTCCCTCCATAGCTTCCAGAAAGTGAAGGGACCTAGCTGCCACTGTCGAGTGTGTCTTCCAACTAATATCAGGGAGGGTGAAATCTCCCGTTATAACCATGTCCCTCCCTGGGATATCCTTCCAATCTGGGATATCCTTTCATGTTTATTAAATTCTAAGCCTGCAGACTGGGACTTCCTTGTTTTTAATCTGTGTACAACACTTAGTATATTTTAAGCATAATATATTATAGCTATAGTATCTTATCCAAACAATGACATTGTTTCCAGACATCCACTAACTGGTTGGGTTGATATCAAAACAGCTTGAAATATCAAATCCCAAGGGCATATTATACCTAATGTGTAGTGTTTCGCTTGCCTGGCACCTACATTTTACTCTCTGATGAGAGGCTATTTTTGCTTTCCCAAACATTTTAGGAACCACTTTTAGAACTTTCAATTTTTTTAATCCTTCTGCTGCTTTACACCTGGTTCAGGTACATTTTATTCTGCTTGTTTTATAACTTTTTATGTGTACTTTTAATGTGTATAAAGCCCAAATGACTTTGAATGCCTGAAACATGTTGAATAAGTAAATATGTAGCAAGTTGTTGGGAAAACTAATTAGAAGAGCCAGTTGCAGAATACATGTTGAAGCCCAACCAAACAAAGAGCCTGGCAGGCCACATACAATCAGACAAACTCACCCAGATCACCAAGTGTCAGAAGACTCAAGACTTTGTCTGCCCCAAATCTCCAGTACTAGGCACATTCATGTCGTATGGGACACTTCTGATGCTAAATATATTTTATCCATAGAAATCATTGCCCCACTGCCCTTGGAACCATCAATCCTCAAGGTTCAATTTTGAATGGAGTGGCTATTGAGGAGTTCTCCATCATGCATGCAATATATATGGTTTCTCCAAGAGTCAAATAAAGAACAAGGGAGAATTCAATGCTAGATAACACATCAGTTGTCAGTATTAGAGCAAGATGCACTGTCTGCAAATTGACCTCAGTCATAAAGTATTTTAAGATGGGGGTAGGAATATTGAACAACAGGACAGGTACTAATGACCCACAAGAGATGGCAGTCACCTGAATGTGCCTTTGGTGAAAAACCACAGTCACAGAAAAAGCTGGTTCCTTTAGACTAGGCTCAGCATCAGGGATAGACAGAGGTAGCCAGAGTGGGAGGATGCAGTTGCTTCAGTGAGCTTGTGATTCCATTGCATGCCTTGTGAATATTTGCCTTTTCCACCAGCACTACTAAATGGTCTTTTGAAGCATACATGACAGCAACTAATTAACACCTTCCCTTAAAGAACAAAGCTCTGTCAGCTGGATAGCTGAAGTGTTAACAAATGCAACAGAGGTGGAGAGGAAAAGGTACACAGGGTGCCTTTCTAATTAGTGAAGAAACTGTGTTGATTGTTCCCAGTGTATTTTTTTTTCTAGTATTCCAACTGCCTTTTGCTAGAAAAAGTTTTATACTAAAACTATGCACAGGCATTCTTCCTGTTAGGCACCACATTGTTCTAGAACCCAAGCTCTCAGTTTCTGATTAATCTGAAGATCATTCTTGATAGATCTGATCATCCAACCACTGATCTAGTGGAGAAAAAAAATAGAACTATTCCTACCCATTGCATTTCCAAGATATCTGGGCTAATCAATATGGAAAGAGCACAGGGTACAAACTCACCTTGTTTGAGCTTGGCACCAATTCCTGGTCTTTGGGACAGGAGGCCTTCTGCTTTTTCACAAGCCACAGAGACAGCAAATCTCTTTTTTGTCTTCCATTCTTTAATGAAAGTTTGGAACAGAGTCATATCATTTACCACATCAATTATAGTGAAATCTTCAGCACTGCAAGATGGTAGCAGATCTTTATCTTGGGACAACTGGAGTGAAAAACCTTCAGCTATAATTGAGTTATCCTCCTCAAATGACAGCTCATAATTTTCTCCATTTTCTTCCTTATGCTGAAATATTTCTGTTTGCTGGTGTGAATCAAGTTTATTGTTTTGTAGAAGCTGAGGACATGGAACTTTGTCTGCAGGATTCATACCTCCCACTTGTACATGAGTCACAAAAGGTGTGGGATCCATGCGGCTCACTGGAGGAAGAGACCTTTTTTCCCCATCTGCCCAAGAAACCGGTCTTCCATTTCTGTTGATTAGCAAACAAGCCTTATTCTGATTATCCATCCTTCTGGTTATATAGTTGCCCTCAAAATCATCACAAAAAGATAAGTTGCATTGGCCATGATAGGGGAAAGAGATTGTGTCTGAATCATCATTCTTGGAGAATGCTACTCTTGAATTGTTTCTTTCTTTTCTTTCCATACTATCTCGCCCTGGATTTTCACTTGTACCCTTTTCAGTGTTCTCACACCTAACAGTAACTGGCTCATCATTCAGACTGTTCCACTGGCACAGCATGTCCCTATGGACCTGTGGCACCACCACAGTATTTAGTCTTTCTGCTAAGTGGAAAGAATCATTACCAGAGAATACTAAGGAATCATCCTTGTTATACCCTGTTGACTCCTCCAGGTTACCAGTGGCATTTGTCATCCCCTTATCTGACACCAGGTCATGTTCTAGGGTGGCTTTGTTCGGAAGAGAAATAGCCTGCTGCTGTGGAAATGCCCCCATGACAGCTGTCTCACCATTATGAACAGCTTGAAGGCCATTAATGCAGCCAGAGTCCTCATCAAATAGCAAGCTATCACTGCTATTCAGATGGTCTTTATTTACTTCCACAGTCAGTGTATTCTGGCTGATAAAAGAGGAAGACTTCTTTGGAAAAATAGATACCTGCTCTTCTGCTAAGTTTGGAGTCTGATAGTCTCTTAAGAAGCTGTCTAACTGGGAGTCCATGATAGAAAAACTGTTTCTTTCAAGGCATGCTAGTGTTCTTGGGGATTTCTCAGTAAGCTTAATCGGAGAGATCCCAGAGTCTGACACATTACTATGCAATAAATATACATTTCCTGTTACATCCATTTTCTTTATATGGGGTTTTCTGCATGTTAGCTTGTCTTTAGCATGCACAGCATCAGTTTCTGAAATGCTAGCACACTTTGTACGAATGCACACTTTCTGTTCTGGGTTTGCTACTAGTTCTCTTCCTTTGACTCCTTGTTCATTTGCAGTTTCAGCTGTCACCTGATGCTGCAATAGCTTATCTGTTTGGGTATCCAACTGGAAGCTTTCTTCAAATTCTTTGTAGACAAAATCTAGGTCAAGTGAACAATCATTTTCAATAGATTCAGTATCCCTCAGGACATTATCAGCATGATTATCCACTTCATTTGTATTGGCAGCTTCTAATATCCCACTGAAATTTGTCACTTTGTTTTTATCCCTATTCTGCTTTAAATGAATTCCAACCTTTCTTTTCAATCGGTTTGCAATGTGAGCTCTCTTTGATGCAGCTTTCAGTACTAGCTTTGTCCCCTGTTCAATGCTTTTCGACATTTTCCTGGTATCCATCATGTCTTTCCCAGAGGTGTGTGTCATAGTTTTTTCGTCTGTGTCCAGATTCATCCATTTTCTTGCACTACAGTACATGTCTGCAATTCTTGCCTCTGTTTTAATCCTCTCTACTGGACTCTTCTCTTCAAGTCTGGAATTTTTTGAACTAGTATCTCGCAGTCTCTTGCTTTTTTGGTTAACATATGGCACGTTCATAGGTTGAGAATCACCAGTTTTGTCTAATAAAGTAACATTATGGCTACTTGTGAAAAATATGTAAGATGCATCTGATAGGAGAGAGGCATTAGGATTCCACGGCAAATGAGCCAAGTCCTGCTTCAACAGAGTTTTTGCCTCCTCCACAACAAGATGGGCTGCTTCACTCTCAGTTATTCCCTTCAGTCCTGAAATCCACATACAGCGTGTATTAAGCCGTTCCTCAGCAGCCTGCTCATCTTCATCTACTGCCCTACGAGTACTAAAGAGACAGGCCAATATGAACAAGAAATCATGCATTCATTTTAACATCATTTTACAAATCTGTCAAGAACAATAGTACTCTTAGCGTCTACTAATTCAGAAAATGGAGAACATGCAAATCAGTGCACAGACATTGACAGAGATGGGAAGGTAAAGTGGTGAGGTAAACCAGGGATGACAGTTTAGTGTTAGAACAGAGCTTCAGAGACCAGTCCCATTGGGCACTTGTGTTTTAGCAAAAAGTCATGTAATGAGAGAGTAATGCATCTAAAAGAAAGGAAAGAATGGGGGCACTGGATTGAAGCAGAGAAGGAAATTATTTGGTCTACACTTCCTTTAATTCAAAAGCAGCAATGAAAACATCATAATCTTATATCAATAGAACTTTTCAGGGAAAAAGTGATATTTTCCCAAAAGAGGTTAAATGGATTGTTCCTCTTAAATCCTGATACAATAATAAAATGCCATGGAATCTTATTGTCTTTGCCCCATATTAACAGTACTCAAGAAGTCTATAGCTTGAAAAATAAGCAATGTGTTTATTGGAGGCTATCCAGTAGCACTAGGCAATTATTATAAGAAAATTTGGAAAAACAGCAAGAACATTTGATGTTAATAATAAAAACAGCAAGACCCCCATATCCACTGGCTCAGTTACTATGTTTTCAGTTGACCATGGTTGACCATGGCCTGAAAGAGAAGTTGTAAAGAGTGGTGTAAAGTGCCTCCTATTAAATCAAATAAAAATTCTTGACTTGATGGGGAAAGAAAAAAATCATATGCTGAGGTAAGAACAAATGAAATTGTGAAAAAATCCACATATAGTATAATATAATGTGTGCTATTATCCTTGGCTTCAGGCATCTGCTGGTGGGGTTGGAACCAATCTGTGCAGATGCAGGGGTCCTGCTGTACACTGAAAAAAGAGACAGTGTACAAAAGCCATTTATATTATAGATCACACATTTAGTAGAGATAATAAAATTTTAATGCTGCTTTAGATATAAAAAAGACCATCAAATTACTCTTTTAAAAGGTGAAAGTTTAATGTTCTTTAACTTTGGAATACCAGTGACTATTCCCTTTACCATGACTAATTACCTTTTATTAATTTAAAAAATTAAAGGCAAGACAGAGCAGTTCCATCTTTATACTACATTTTGCTTTGGTTTTAAAACCATTAGCAATGTATTCAAGAAAAAGTAAGCTAAACAGTGTAAAATTAAAATATAGAACAATCAGTCTTTATGCTGATCATTTAGCTTTGGTATGAACAAACTTGTGCAATCTAGAATAAAATTACAGAAGATTGAAGTACTATACAGTGATGCCTTGTACTTCAGATTTAATTCATTTCAGGAGGCTGTTCAAACTCTGAATCGTTCGAAGTCCAAAACAACTTTCCCCATTAGAAATAATGGAAAGTGAATCAATCTGTTCCCAGACCCGAAAAAATATAAACTTAAAAAGCAAATATGCATAATTTAAGATAAAAATAACACAATTACATGCCAAAATTATTAATTAAAACTTGAAAACAATAAAATACATAAATATGTACTGTATAATAAAATAAAAATTGCATTTACTGTATTGCACAAGTGTTATGCAAGAGATGTTTCACAGTGAGAGATGACTTGGGGGCACAACAGATGAAATTTACATAGTGACCACATTTTTTTCACTGTGTGTGCAGTTCAAGCGTAGAAGCATTGTTTGAACCTTGGAGCGATTTTATTTTGACTGTAGTGTTCGTAATCTGGATTGTTTGAAGTCAGAGTCATTTGAACTACTAGGCACCACTGTACGTAAGCAAGCTGATAAGCAAGAGTGAGAATCTGATCCACAGCCAAAACTGTATCAATATGCTAACTTCAAGCCATGCTGGAACTGTTTCCAACCTTCGGAATGGTGCTGCATTTCTGAAAGCATTCTCCACCTCAGCAACTTTCGCTTTAGCCACATCAGCTACTGTGAGGAAACCAGCAGTATAAAGAGCTCTGGCAGACTGCGCATTTAGGAGTGAGATCTGGACAAGGCTGCAGAGCTCTCTCTGGATTCCTAAAGTAAGGCGACTCTGAAACTGAGAGAGCAATTGTTCCATATTGTGCCACCCCAGCCGGTTACAGAAAATGGTAATCATCCCTGAAATAGATAAAATTGTGATTAAGTTAAACATATACTGCATAAATTGCGCAGATATTATGAAGTCACCTTTTGAGAGATTATTGAAGCTTGTATTTAGAGGAATGTCTTTGCATGTTCATACTACTTCAAGCAGCCAAATATATTCATTTTAGTCTTTTATTACCTCAGTTATATCCCACCTTTTTTCTCCAGAAACGAGTGACTTACATTAATATCCTCCTTTCCATTTTAGCCAAATACTTGCATATCTTAAGTCTAGCTTTCCTTTAACAATATTATTGGCAAAAATGGCTCATAAATTAGAAAACCGTGGTTATACTTCAGGAAGGACATAGTAAAGGACCCAGTACCTTCTGTATAGCCTGAAGTGCCTGATCCTGCCTAATCTTGGAAGCTACGCAGGATAAGGCCTGGTTGACACCTAGATAGCTTACTTAAATGTTGTGAATCACTCAGGTAGCTTCAGCTACGGGCGGTATAGAGATATAAAGTAATAATAATAAAGGTGCGATATAGGATATCTGTGTATGGTGAGGGAACATTTATCTATTGGTTGTAGGATTTATCACAGGTTTTGTTCTAATTAAAGTCTTATTTGGCATAGCTCACTATTATTACCCTACTTATATTTCTGTTATTTCTTCAGAATCCACCATCACTGTACATTCCAACATTCTTCCTTTAGCTTCCTTTGAAAATTATTGTACTGCATCTTGTTATTTAATAGTTTGATAAACTATTTTTTCTGAAAATGGGGCATTCATTTTGCTATAATTTCTCCTCTCAGTGCCTCAAGACCATTCCTTCCCCTTCCCCTTGGGAATAGCACCTCTTTCTGGAGAACATCTAGAAGAAAAGGAGTAACCCTGACCCAGAGCCACCAAGAAGAGACTGGCAGAGGAGTGGTCAGACTCCATCATCAGGGTTATGAATGCACACAGCATAGTGGTTAGGCCAACCCTATCCAGGAATGGGCAGTTTTGCTGCTGTTGTTGTTTACATTTGCCTGTAGCTGAAGCTCTCAGTTGGCATACCAGCCTAGGCTTATACTAGGCACTGTTGGCCACAGAGGTCAACTGGACCTCCAAAGATAGTGATGGATCTAGAAGCACCCCCAAACTACAAAACTTTTCTCCTTGAGGAGTTCACCCCAATACAGAGCTAGTTATTCCCTTAATTCGAGGACCTGGGAATCACTCACCCACATTGTCTCCATTTTATTGGGAGTATCCCTGATCAGCTGATTAGCCCTCAGTCCATCTATCACTGTATTCAAGCACTAATTTAGGTTGTAAATGGTTGCTGCTCGTTCAGATTCAATGGAGGAATAGAGTTAGGTGTCATCTCCTAATGACTATATCCAGTGGCTTCATATAGATATTAAATACCATGGTAAAGAGAAACAAAGGTAAGTGAAACAGAACATACAGCATGATGATGAACACAACACCAAACTCTGAACAGCCTAGGAAATACATTTTGGGACTCAGGAGTGTCTGTCTTTTACCCCACATATGCAGGGTGGCAAATTGCATAACCAATCAACACCCTGCTTACTAAAGGATTCAAACACTGGTCCCTCAGGAAAGGTGGAAAGAATATCCCCATAAGCCTCTGAAAACAGAAATTCATGGTAAGACTAACTTCCATTTTCTTCAGAGCATCACTGAAAGTACTCCCTGGTCTCCCAACATAACTGAACAGTAAATTAACAGAAACAGTCAGTATTACCAACTTTAGAAAATGTTATGTCTAGAGCAGATGCAGAAGAATCTACCTTGCAGTGCTTAGAAAAGATGTGAATCTATGCCTATGTGGCAGCTTTACAAATGTCTAGAATACACAAATCTCCTTTAAAGGCTACTGAGGTACACCTCTCAAGGAATTTGCCCTGTTTCCCACTTGAGCATTATGAGCCTGCATAATAATCTCTCTTTCAGAGATGCAGGATGTTGATACCTTGCCGCTTCAGAGGGCCTTTGTATCAAAGGACATAAAAAGAGAGGTCAAACGCCTGTGTACTGAGGTCTTGTCCAAATTTTAAAAACTTGAATTAAAAAGTATATGTCTACTGATGGAGGGAGCTCTAGCAAAAGCAACCCTGCCCAGTTCCTGGCACAGATTATGCACCATGGCAACCAAAGCAATATCTGCACCATAATCAGGCCTGAAGCCAGACTGAAATGGGTTTAGATAATCTACATTATTCAGAAATCCCTTGCACAGAAAAGCCATGCCAGCATGGTTAACGTCCTGAACGCAAATGTACATAGCACTACATGGTACATGGATTTGGGTCCCAAAGTTTGCATGCATATGGAGGTTTCATTGCTTATAAGCATTGTCTTGCTAATAAGGTTACTTAGTCAATTCATAGGTCAGATGAAACCACTCAGGCACTTACATTTTAGTTTGCTAAATGTAAGTCTCTGAGTGGTTTCAGACAGTTTGCTCTTCGATCATTCCAGTTCGAAGAAAAGGAATCGACAGAGAAAGAAAACTACTCCAAGGGAATGCCACCAGGTAGCTATGCAGGTAGTGTCAATGTGAGAGGTTTGGATACTAGGACCACGAGCTACACTTCCTGGAAAATGGACTGCTGGTAAAGGATGCATTGCACCTTACAAGGACTGCAAAGAAGGAGTTTGGCCACAACACAAAGAAGTTTATCAGCAGGGCGTTAAACTGAATCCTACAGGGAGAAGTACACATGAGCTTAACAACAAAGGTTTATGTACCACAACAAAGACAGCAGTTCTAACAGTGCCCAATAATGATCTTCCAAAAATGTAGAAAGAAAGCTGGAGAATAAAGCAGATGGTCTTCAATGTCTATATACTAACGTCATGAGTAGGCAAAATAAACAGATGAAATCTTAACATAGGAGGGTGAGTACAACCTAATAGGTATGTAACTGAAACGAAGTGAGATGATTCCCATGACTGGAAAGCAACAATTGAAGGATAGAACTTGTTGAAAAAGAACTGAAGGAACAGAAAAGGAGGTGGAGTCGCACCATATGTTAAAGATACATATCTCTGCAGAGACACAGCAGGATGAGCTTAGTAGCCCCACTGGGAACATCTTGTTTAAAATAAATGGAGCAGTTTTACCAGCCATCCAGTCAAGGAGAAGACAAGTATGAAATGTTTGAAAAGCAAATTGCCAGTGTTTGAAGGAGGCATGATTATACGGGGACTTCAATTTCCCCAATATTTGTTGGGAGACTAATTCTGCCAAACATGGCCCCTCCAAGGGATTCCTAACATGTGTTGCTGATAAATTCCTCCAGCAGAAAGTGGAGGAAAGAACTACAGGAATTGGTATCCTTGACTTGCTACTAACCTAGAAAAGACCAGGTGGCAAAGTGGCAGCTACAGAAACTCTGGAGGAAAGTGACCAATCCATACTTGAATTCTTGATTCTAAGGGAAGCAAGAGCAAAATGTAGCCAAACATGTACCCTTAATTTTAGGAAATCCAATTTTAATAAACTAGCTTGATAAACTGGGTGGGAATTTTTTAAAAAGGAAATTCTAAAGGCAGAATTACAAACAATTCCAAAAGGAAAAAGGACAGAAGACAACACAAGAAGTCCATGTGGCATCATAAAAAGCTTAGAGATGATCTGAAAACAAAAAAGGACATGTATAGGGAGTGGAAGGAAGGGCAAGCTACAAAGGAAGAGTACAGGCAGGTAGCACAGAATTACAGGGATGGCATCAGGATGGATAAAGCTAGGAAAGAACTAAGGCTAGCAAGGGAAGCTAAAGACAACAAAAAAGTCTTCTTCAGGTATGTCTACAGTAAAAGACAAATGAAAGGAATGGGGTTCAGCTACTCAGTGTGGATGGCAAAATGACAACAGATGAAAAGAGAAGGCAGAAGTGCTGAATTCTTACTTTGGCTCACTCTTCTCCCAAAAGATCTACAACCTTCTTGGCGTAGGGGAAGTACAAGCTGAAGACCAGGATGGAAGCTCAAGACTGACAGGCAAATGGTCAAGGATTATCTAATTGGGTTGAATAAGGTAAAAGCCTAATAAACTCCATCCTAGAGTCATAAAAGAGCTAGAGGAAGAACTCTCAGAACTATTATCTTTGAGAAATCATGGAGGACAGGGAAGTGCCAGTTGATTGGAGAAGGCCAAATGTTGTTCCCATCTTCAAGAAAGGAAAAGAACAACAACCTGGGAACTACAGACCAGTCAGTCTGACATCAATTCCTGAGAAAATTCTGGATTAGATTATAAAGCAGTCAGCCTGCACAGATTACTAGAAGCCAACATGGATTCCTCACAAACAAATCCTGCCAGACTAAACTGATCTCATTTTTTGGCTGGGTAACCTCCCTGATGGAGTGCAGGAATGCTGTGGACATAATCTATCTTGACTTCAGCAAAGAATTTGGCAAAGTGCCCCATGATATCCTGACTAGCAATCTAGGTAAACGTTGGCTAGATGGAACAATGATCAGGTGGATCCACAGTTGGCTACCAAATCGGACTCAAAGAATGCTCATCAATGGCACCTTCTCAAACTGGAGAAAGATAACAAGTGGGATACTGTGGAGTTCTGTCCTGGGTCCTTTGTTCTGCAACATTTGCATTAATGGTTTGGAAGAGGAAGTACCTGCACTGAGCAGGTTGGACCTGATGACCCTCTGGCCCATGGGTCTTCAAACTATGGCCTGCGGGCCAGATCCGGCTCGCCATGCTGATTTATCCGGCCTGCCTCTGAGCGAATCAAAAAGCTCTGAGCTGGTGCAGGCGTATTCAGTGGGGAGATGGCCGTGATCGCGGCCACGCTCGTGCAGGGAAGACGGGCACAATCACAGCCGTGCTTGGGGGTGGGGGAGATGGCTGCGATCGTGCTCAGGGGGGATGAGGGCCGCAATCATGCCCACCTTTCCTGCACGAGCTCACCTGCGATCGTGCCTGTCTCCCTCCCCCCCACCAGCACAATCGCAGACATTGTAGCTATGTCCCTTGAATATGGACATGCTCTTCCCCACCTCATCTTGGGCTTCTGCTGCAGCTCAAGTGAGTGGAGCAAATGTATTTTAATTATTTTTAAAATTTTTATTTAATTTTAATTAACATTTATTATTAAATTTAATAAAAATTTAAATTAAATTAAATTTAAATGTGCAGTGTGCATAGGAATTCGTTCATATTTTTTTTCAAACTATAGTCCGCCCCCTCAACAGTCCCATTTAAAAAGTTTGAGGACCCCTGCTCTGGCCCATTCTAACTCTAATATTCTATGATTCACTGGTATTATACCTTATTTTTATTTTAATATTCACTGACATTCTCATATGGAAAAAAGGGATGAGGGGAGGATTTCATTTTGCCTTCTGATTTGAAGAAGAAAATATACCACAAAATATATGTAATTTAAAATCTGTAGATTACATAGTGAATAATTTGTTGTGGCTTCTTCTGTTGGGTTGCAATTCTAGTTGCTAAACTGATTTGTGATACTGAAATGGCATATTAGTAATTGCTCACCTGCATAAGTAGCAGCAGATTGCTGTAAAGACTGAAGTTGTCCACGGTTACAACCATATTTCTTAGCAACATTCATTAAAGGAACCTCATTTATTAAATCCAGGAGAGCCAAGCTTGTAAAAAATCTGCATCAGAAAATTAAGTTAAGGTAATGTTACTACAAATATTTATGCAGTACAGAATGCTGCTTTGTCATTAAAGCACAATTAAAACTTCTAAAAGGTTTAGAATTAGATGTTGAAAAACCTGAAGACTGATAAGGATACTGCAGTTCTGCTGGTGCAGACTCTTATGCCAAATCACTTTCGGTGTGATCCAACTCTGTCTGGAGGGGGGGAAAAGGGAGCTGTATGTACCTACTCTTGTGCAAACAGAGAGTATAAGAATGTACATCCACATTTGGATGTACTCCGGTGCACACTGGATTTACATCTGTAATTCCTAAGAGCAAAGATATCCAATACTATGATTCAGAAACATGAAAGACTCCACAAAAGAACCTGGAGCACCTTTACACATCTCTAAGATGTATTCTAATGACAGGGAGAAATAGGCACCCATGCAACTTAGCATGAAGCCAAATGTTAACCTTCCATAAGTCCCACTTTTAAGACCCATGCATCTTTTCATTTGCTTCACACCTTTCAGTAGCCAGGGAAATTACAAGGCCAATTGAAGTCTGCCCTTTTGTTCAATTTTAAAAGTGCGACAACTGTGGTGCTGCTGCAGTACTGTATAGCTATTTTTTCAGTTGCAAGAGAAGTACAAAGTCATCTTGGCCACACACATACACAACCATTCCTTTTTTGCATTTTATGGGTAAAATATGTGACTCTATTTGCAAACCAGAGCATCTCAAACAAGGTAAGACCATCTACCCCTGCCCATGTTACAATCTAACCCAAACAGCAATCAGATGGGGCCAAGGTACAACACCCAAAACAGCGCCATGCAGGACAATAAGTCACATATGCGTTTAAATACTAACAGAGTGTCTGAAGGATTTAATTAGGAGCCCCAGAAACAGATTGCGCCTATGGGAACTGGCATAGTATCTGGCTTGAGCACAGTATCTAGTTTAGGCTAACAATATTGACTGGAGCTGGGAGTCAGAGGACCAGAGAACTCTCCATGAGATATTTCCTACTGCCTTGTTGCCTAAGCAGCATGCTGATCTAAAAGATCTAACACTGATCCACAAGAGCAGGCTGTGGCCGTTCATACCAGCAGATGGAGGCACAAAGAATGGGAACTAAGGAAAGCCAATAGGGCCTTGTAGTTCATTGGACCCAGTGATCTTATAGGCCCCTTCCAACTCTACTATTCTACAATTTCCTTGTGAATTAGGACTTTTACTACCACAAGCACATCGTATGTCAGCTCATACACAATGGATGGGTTATGTTCTGTAGGCCCTTGTCTAAACAACTTCAGTATCTCTAAGTAAGTGTGGGAAGGGCACCTGAAAGTATGGAACAACACTGGGGAAGCCTCTGCACATTGCTTTGAATACTCCTGAAAACAGTATTTTTGAAAAGTGCACAAATAAAATAGAGATTCTGCAGTAGTGATAGAATTCAAGTGGCAAAAAAGTGGATTTGAGGCTTTTAGAGGATTACAGGCTCCGCTCAGGTGCAATGTCTATATATATGCTGCACAGAGAGCACAAAGAAGAACTGTTTTAGCCAGCATAAAAGACCAAGTGCTAGCTGGAGAAGGAACATCTTTTCAGAATAATATCATACAGAATAATTTCACAACAATAATGGCAGACCGAAACCTGCTTTTCAGGCCTTTATATAACCCATGGAATGTACCATTTTGAACCTCCTTCTTTTGAAGGGTAATCTAACCACATGCTGCTCTATGAATATGGATATGTGGCTTTGCACCACGGAGACCACAGGAAGACTACAGCATGTGAAGGTTGCCTACCTCCAGCAGGAATGCGTCAAAATGGCTCTGTATCAGTGGCATGTGTGTTGGGTACACAAAAATTTTCTAAAGGGAAGCTTGTCACTAACTGTGAGCTACTTGTAACTCTTAAATTCGAACAGCGGAGAGGACCGTTAAACAAAGCAACTGCAGGCAGGGTTGATTACCTGACAGTGTCAAGACCATCCCTAGGTACTGTGACATGGCCTTCACAAACCTCACCTTTTATGGATGGCCATTTGCCTGTGCTGCTTCTCTGTTCTAGCAATGACTTTTCCCTTCACAGAGCAGGCCAAAAAACTTTCTTCAACTCCAACTAGCTCTGCTACTCTTCTCATTGAGGCAGGCAACTTCTCCCACAAGCAAAAGAACAGATACCAATCGATTTTAGTCCAGTCTTCATAAACAGGAGTGACCTGAAATTCAGAAAGGCGGACACTTTGAATCCTACTTGTTTTTCAAATTGAGAGGGGGTTTTTTCGCAGCCTGGGTTTTCCAAACCTAATAAAGTAGCTTTTCTTTTTAGTTAAATTAGCCTTTTACCCCAATCTAGCACTAGAAAAATAGTATCTAGTGTCTGTGCCATAGACTGCAAGCAGACAGCCTTGTTAGATTTTGTATTTCCACCACTGGGGAGCAGTTAGTCCCAGTTTAAGACAAGACATCCATTGGAGTAGCTGAAGGTGAAAACGGTTCAAGGCATTGACTCAGTGGCTGTACTCATAATGCTCCTGAAGATGAGCCAAGACTACAACATCTGCTGACTTGACTTAAAATGTGAATCATTTGCCTCTTCAACTTTTGGGGAAGAAAAAAAAATGTGACAAATCTCTGGTAATTCTCCCTCCTGGCCATGCTACACTTCTGCCACCCCACAGTCCCCACCCCTGCATACAGAAAGGCATTTACCCTTTACCCAATGACACTGACCAACAGCCATGAAGAGACTGAGCTTAAGCATACAGAAGAAAATTAAAGTAAATAAGGTTTAAATAGGATTAGGGTTAAATAGGATTAAAGGGGTAACTAAAATTTCACAATATACTTTACACAAAACAATGTAAACACCTGGCTTTAACCTAATGCAGGGGCCTTCAAAAGTTGTCGGCCTGTGACTCCTATATTTGACTCTTGATTATGCTGGATGGGGTGGAGGGGAGCTGGAGCCTGAGATGAGAAAGGTCACAAGTTTCTCATCCCTGCCCTAACCTATCATATCTCCAGATGTTATACCTCAGAACAGGCATTACAGTGGCTCTTCAATGGGCAAGACAGGCTTGGTCATGACAAGAACCTTTCCACATGTGTGTCCGTGATTACTCCCATGTGTTTCAGGCACTGGGGAGTTATTATGGAGCTTTTCCTAATGTCTCCAGTGACATGGGTTCTTCATAAACAACCTCCCATCCCCTGCATTTCTCATATCCCCTTGTCACAGGAGGTTGATCCCACCAGCAAGTTGTCCAGAAATGAATGAAGGTGGATCTTCTGTTGTCTCAAGTGCCACAACTTCCACCATGCTAGCTAGGTAAATAGCCTAGTTAGGGGCGGAGAGAAAGTACATCTTCAGACCGTAGGAATTTCAACGGCCAGCACTCCTGACATTGGCTATGCTGGCAGAGGCTTTGGGAAGTTGAAGCCCCAAACATCTGGAGATCTATTTTCTGCCTATCACTACCCTGGAAGAAAGAGAGGAGATCTTCCTTTGCGTTGGATCTGCCTTTTACGCTTTTCAATAAGTATTTTAGTCATTGCTATTTAAGAAGGGCACCAAAAAAAGTTATTTCTTAACCTGTTGTCACCTGTTATGAAGCTGTGGCATCTGACAGAATTTCTCCTATTTTGAGACCTCAAACTGTACCACAAAAACACCTACCAAATACAGACAATGCAAATCATTCTCCAAGACAAAACTCTTCATTGCTCTCTGGAGATCAGCAAAAATTTCTAGTGCTGCCACTGGGGGAAAGGAGGAAAACAGGGTAGCAGAGCCAAGTTGTGTTGGATGATACCTTTCTGTCAAGAGAAAAAGAGGTATCATCAGAGGTAAGTGCAAATATTCATTTGGAAAGTTCATTTACAAAAGTACAAACACTTCATTGCTTATTTACAAAGTGCCCTGAGCCACAATATTATTTTGTTAGCATTGCTGCAACAAGTATCATATTTCTTTAAATACTTTAGGAGAAAAACCTTTCACCTTTACAGATCAAGAACTTGAGCTAGTACATTCAGTGATGATTTCAAAACTGAGACCAATGCAAAGAGTAACTAAGAACCTAAGGAGAGCTGCTCTGGTTCAGACCAAGGTCTGCCTAGTCTAGTGTTCCATTCACACCAATGGCAAGGGATGCTAAAACAAAACAAAACAAAACAAAAACAAAAAAGCCTTCATCAGATATGTCAAAGACAGAGGAAAGAAATGAGTGTTCACCTACTCAATATGGATGGCAAAATGATAACAATGCAGCAATTAAGAAGGACCTTTATAATTGCTCTTGAATACATGCTTAATATGAGTCAACATTGTGATGTAGCTACAAAAAGTACAAATGCTATTTTAAACTGCATTAATAAAAGTATCACTTCCAAATCACATGAAGTACTACTTCCTCTTCACTCAGCACTGGTTAGGTTTCATTTGGAGTATTGTGTCCAGTTGTGGGCACCACAGTTGAAGAAAGATTCAGACAAGCTGGAAAGACTTCAGAGGAAGACAAGGGACTGGAAACTAAGTCCTATGAAGAGTACTGAAAAGAACTGGGCTTAGTTTCCAACTCAAGAAGAGAAGAGTGAGGGGAGATATGATAGCACTCGACAAGTACTTGAAAGGCTGTCACAAAGGGGAAGGATAGGATCTCTTCTCATTCATCCCAAAGTGCAGGGCATGGAATAATGGGCTTAAAGTAAAGCAAGCCAGATTCTAGCTAGCTATCGGGGGGGGGGGGGAATTGACAGCAGTAAAACAGTGGAACTAATTGTCCTGGGAGGTCATGGGCTTTCACACTAGAGGCATTCAAGATGCAGTTGGACAGCCATCTGAGAGGAATGGTTTAACTCAAGTGTCCTACACTAAGCAGGGGATTCAGCCTGATGGCCCTCTGGCCCCTTCCAACTCTACTATTATATGATTCTATGAGTCATGCAGGAAGTGATTGTCCCTTTCCATCCTTCCAGTAATGTTGTTATGGGCTGCTGCCTATTAGCTACCTGTCTGGGCAGTGCTTGACAGCATCAATAATGAGGCTAGAGCTGGAGCAACAATCTTATTCCCACCTACATATGAGTATGTCCCATGCAGTTCAACTGAACTTGCTACTCAGATATGCATAGAATTGCCCTATGGATCAGGAACTGTGATTCCATCAGTACACAATGAGTATTTCCTGCTGCAAATCTTCATAGTTACAAGTTAACGAGAAAAACAGGCAAGCGAAAATTTTACCTTTACCCATATCTGAGTTCGAAATCAGAATGAACTCATTCTCAAGCAACCACTGCACACATGCCTCAATAGGTCCATGACAATTTTTTTCCTGCTGACTCCTGCAATCCTGGGAGTCTTTCAAGGTAGCCCAGAGAAGTGTACAGGAAGCATAATGCTGGATGTCATCTGGAGAGTCAGCCACTCCACTTACAATGATCTGTCAGAATAAGAACACGATCAAAATATTTGTTAGCATGATATAGCAATTAATCCAAAAGAAAAGCATTTGTGGATGGGAAGGGACATGCTGCCCTTCTAAAATTTCTAAAAGCACCATATCAAGAACACTTGTTAACAGCACACACACTAATTCTCAAAAAGGCACCCAGAGGAATAGAGATATCCACATAGAACTGAACTAGTAGTATAGATTTCCAAGGTGCTGGAATTACATAGAATTCCAGAGGGAAAAGTAGGAGGTAACTTCCCTTAAATGCCTGCAAAATTACTGCCACAAGATGAAATAACAGGGACTTGCTCAAATAATTTTAGAATAAAATTAAACAAATACAAGAAAAGCAGTTCTATTAGCTAGAGCAGAGAAATGTTAATTCATGTTCACTTCCACTGTGACAGCAACGGGGAATGGCTGTTGCTTTCACACCCTGCTTGCAGGTTTCCCAAAAGTATCTGACTGATCCCTGTTGCAAACAGGATACAGGATGATGTGGAACCTTGGTCTCATCCAGAGGGTATTTCTGTTACTCTTCCACAGAGAACAAAAGCAGAATGGTATCCAAGAAGAATATCTTTTCTTTTTCTTCCGCTCATTGTCAAAAGCAATAGCCTCTTCAGAGCAAGTTGCTTGGCCAGACACGTGCCATCTGCTGAAGTGGGTTCTGGCCAAGGATGTAAAACATCTGGAAAAAAAACTATGAAAGTTGTTTTGCTAGGTTTGTCAAAATGAAAAATTGGGGGAAAGATGGAAATATAGGCAATTCTTTCTTTAGCTCACTTTAGGTCTCTTCTTCTCCTTCCCAGAATTAGTGCTAGGCTCTAACCAGCATTTAAACATCAAGAGATACATTATACATCACCATCTCAATGAACCTCCTAATTATGAAAGAATGTGTTGCAAACTGAGGATGCCAAAAATATGAATTGAATCAAAACGTGTCACCTTGCTTGCCCAAAGGTATACATTAAACTGGACCCAGATTTGTGCTCTCTGGAGTTGCACTGGGGCTGCAGGAAGACAGTGATTTTCATAGACTCTTCCTTCCCCTGTCAGGCCCTCTGGTTCATCACCATCCTTGCTTCAGAATAGCATGGAAGGGGGCACAGGGGAGAAGGGGGAATTGGAGACAGGAAGATTCTGCTTGATCCCAGTTTCCTCGGCAAATCAAAGGCATCCTTCCATTTCTAGAGGGGCAAGTTTGAACCCACCACATGCTGGGGCTGACTTAAGAGGGTGAGCTGAGCACTTCATAGACTCATGAAAACCATGAGTCTCTTTCCATTTATCATCAGTCTGACATAAAGGGCAGGGCACTCAAACTGGTCTCTGCTTCAGGGTGTGAGGGTTGTCCTGCAGAGTGGTGGAAATCAGTCCACAGTCATGGTCAGCCCACTTCCTAATGGAGCTTGATCTCATGGTTCCGGTCTCTCCGTGCAGAAGCAGAGGACCCATCCACTCATTACATAAGAGACTTGCAGAAACTAAATCTGAGGCATCCCTGAATGTTCTGGGGGATTTGCCAGTAGCCAGAGCTAGCGATTTTCTTGAGGACTTTGTTACACTATGAAACAGCAAGGCACAAAATGATGCCATCAACACAATTGGTCCGGAGTGTTCTCTTCGGCGCTGTGGTGTCCAGATGACTTCCTGGTTTGCCAGGGAAATTCTGACAACAGGCCAGGAGAGAGTCGGTGCACTGGGGGCAAACACTTGTCATGAGAATAACCAAACATGCACAAGAATGCATAATCATGCCTACTGTGTGCTGCCTCCATCACATCCTCAAATAACCATTCAATGGAGCTCTTCTGAGTGGTTCATGGGTTGCCTTCATTAATCCAGTGTGGGGACCTAGGAGGCCCACTGTGAAAAACATGTCAAACACTTTTGAGAAAAAAATTGCCCACCTTCATGCTGACTGGAACATCACCTTTAATAGCATCTGTTGAGGTATCCAGTACATTGTCTGATCTTGCAGGATCAGTTTCAGTTTTTAATGCCTGAGGAGATAGACAAGATTCTTCTATCTTTGTGACCCATGACATGCTCACTTGACCCTCGCCTATCCATAGCTTCTTCAAGTTATAACCAGTTGGATCAGTAAAGTCTTGGATTATCTTGATCGATGTCTGTCTGGGTTCAATGTGGACCACCACATTCTTTCTTTTGAATTTCTGTGTAAGTGTGTACTTTTCTAATAAGTAGCACAAGTCTTCCTGCATTTCTATGGCTACTGTTCTTTTGGAAAAGTTATGTCCTTCAGTTGTTATATTCCACTTCTGGGAGTGGAATATATATTTATTTATATCTATTAAGTCATATTTATCTTGAATCAAGAGTTCAAACTCATTCTATTTCCAGTACTCTGAGCATTAGTGTAAATAACTTCCCTGAAATAATAATAAATAAATTTCCCTGAAAACCATGAGCTGCAGCTGTTCACAACAGCTGTTCTCTCAGTTGCCACAGAGGGCTTGCTACCTTTATTTATCACCTCTGGGCTTCAATTCCCAAAGGATTTGCTTTCAAGCCCTCCTGATCAAACTTGTCATTCTTCAAATAAACACATTCTTCTAAATTTCATGAGGTACATCCATCTCCTGCCAGCAGTCCTTCACCCAGAAAGTGTTCGCTACAGAATCTCACAGTCCAACACAGTAAACTCATAGCAGTGTTTGGCAATATCAATAAGCAGGAAGGGACTTGATGAGTGTCAGCAGCCATTTTATGACTTCTCCATTCCACGCTCAAGGCAACAGATCCGCTGGTATACATCCCAGTCTTTTCCTCACTGTTCCATAGAGCTCCACCATCTTCTTCCTGTCCAGCAAGGTCTGCTGTAGATCACCTCATTGTTGTTTATCATCTTTCATAGTACCTTTTATTACTCTCACTTTGCTTGCTTGATACCACCAATACTGCAGCAAATACTGCAATATGGAATGTTCCTGTTCAAAGTTCCAGCCAGCCGTGCCTTCTTGCCAGATACTCTATTATTCCCTTCCTCACTTTTTCCTTCCAACAGTTAGCCAACATTCTGTACCCATTCAATATGCTTGGGATTCATTGGACTCTTTGGGGCTCATTTTTCCTCAAGGCATGTATGCACTACAGTTCTCTCTATGTACAAATTTAACTATATAAGAACTGCTCTTTGGCAACTGAGCTTGTTGTTAGTATATTGGGTTCACAAACTTCAACTTTTCAATGTATGATACTTTCCTGTGTTGAAGCATGATTTTTCTCTATACATCGAACAAGACACACTTGAGTTCTACATTTAAAAATGCCAGAAATGAACTCCATGAGCAAAAAACATACACTTTATATATATAAAAAAATTCTGCTGGAATATAAATTATGCCTTTTTGTTCTTGAAAATATGAGTTTTTACAATGATTGTAAAGATTTATCTCACAGATTCGAAGACAGCATGATCAAAATATACCAATACTGCTGAAAAACACTGCATAATATTTTTCAAGTTAACAGAGTTCATTTTATCCAGAATAATGGTGTGCAGAAAAACAACTATACTGTAGAAAACACCAAATTTTTCTTCACCTGGATACCCTATAGCAGAAATGGGCAATTTGCAGCCTCTAAACATGTTTTACAACTCCAGTCAAACCTAGCCAGCATAACCAAAGGTGACGGTTGATAGGAGTTGCGGATAACAAGTTGGAGGGTCACTGGTTCCCATCCCCATTCTGCTCTATAGGGAGGCCCATGTACCTTATTTAAGCAACTTAAGCTCCAGATTTAGAATCACAGAATCATAGAAGAGTTGGAAGGGGCCATGAAGGCCATCGAGTCCAACCCCCTGCTGTTGCAGGACACCAGGTTACACCATCCCACTCAGATGGCTGTCCAATTTCTTACTGAATGTCTCTAGTGTGGGAGAGCCCATCACCTCTTTAGGCAGCTGGTTCCACTATTGTATTGCTCTGTGAGGAAGCTTTTCGTGATGTCTAGCCTGAATCTGGGTTGGCACAACTTGAATTGATTATTCCATGTCCTACATTCTGGCATTAGCAAGAAGAGATCTTGACCTTCCCCTTTGGGACAGCCTTTGAGGTACTTATAGAGGGATATCATCTCCCCCCTCAGTCGTCTCTTCTCAAGGCTGAACATGCCCAGTTCCCTCAGTCTCTCCTCATAGGGCAGTGTTTCCAAACCCTGGATCATTTTTTGTTGCCCTCCTCTGGACCCTTTCTAATTTACCTGCATCTTTCTTAACTCTTGGTGCCCAGAACTGGACACAGTATTCCATGTGGGGTCTGACTAGTGAGGAGCATAGAGGAACTACTTCTTCTTGTGATTTGGAAGCAATACTTCTGTTAATGCATCCCAAAATAGCATTTGCCCTTTTGGCGGCTGCATCACATTGTTGGCTCATTGTCCACAATTACTCCAAGATCTTTTTCTTGTTCAGTTCTGTTGAGCCATGTATTCCCCATCTTGTATCAATGCCTTTGGTTTCTTTTTCCTAGGTGGAGGACTTGGCACTTGTCCTTATTGTATTTCATTCTGTTGGTTTCAGCCCAGTGTTCAAGCTTATCAAGATCACCCTGTATCTACATTAGCCCTTCTCCAGTCATCTGGCACCTCTCCTATTTTCCAAGATTTATTGAAGATAATAGCCAGTGGTTCTGAGAGTTCCTCCGCTTGCTCTTTTATGACTCTGGGATAGAATTCATCGGGCCCTGGAGATTTGAAAGTGTTTATTCCACCGAGGTATCCCTTCACCATTTGTCTGTCAGTTTTGGGCTGCCATCTCTCACTTCCAGCTTGAACTTCCTCTTGATTGCAGATTTCCTTATGGGAGAAGACTGAAGCAAAGTAGGGTTATCTGAACTTTTCTGAAAATGAAATAAGTCTGTCATGCACTCATGTCCTGTCATGCTTCAGGCGCCCTTATGGGAGACTCCCAATGCTGAGTGGACTGATGAGTCGGATTCCTATGTCAAGGATGAGACTGTTTTTGAAATGGCTCAGGCCCCAGCTGTGGCTCAAGATCCTGAGACCCAAAGCAAGGCAGCAATGGGGGAGACTGGCCCAAGGGCCAAACAATGTTCAGAGAGAACATTGAGGAATTACAGCCTGAGGGAGGAGAAGTGCCATCGTAATTCAACGTCTCTCCAATGGAGAACTCCTGCCCACTGAAGAGGTAGACCCAGTCATTTGCCATCATCACTGAAAGGAGACCCAATTAGGGGCTCAAAGGGAGTGAAGGTGTGCCCATTTCCACAATGTCCCTCTTCACAGAGTGACACACAGAAAGGCTCATACGGGGAGCTTTGGGTACTAATCGCCAGACTGGGCTCAACAAACTGCTTGTACATGCTCGAAGACTTGAGTACATGATTCATGTGTAGAGGCAATAAAGAGCATTATGTAAAAGCAGCAGCTTGAATGCAGATGGCGACAGGGTCCATGAGTGAAATGCTCATGCCATTATTTCTATTTTGTTAACATACACAGTGGAAAGGCATTAGCCAGCTCCTTCAACACAGAGCGAGGATCCTCAACTGGTTCAATGTGTGAAGCATGCTGAAATCAAACTTTATACTGAAGGTGGATTTGAAGAGGAGAAAGAATGTCTAAAGACAGGTTGAGCAACTTCCTCAAACAATCTCAAATTTGTAAGTAATAAATATTAATATATGTCTTGTGAGTGAAGTTTTGTTCCCTTTGCACAGTGATGGCGATCCGTTTAGAGATTGAGTGCCCAAACTGCAATCTAAAACCCACTTATTTATCACAAAGTGCCAACACTGCAATAAAACCTGAATACTGAGGTTTTAGTTTAGAAAAAAACAACTCACAGCCAGTCCAAGCAAATATATATATATCCTTGTCAGCGCACTGACTGGCCATGCAAAAGCTTGGACAAGTCGCGACTAATGAGTCGCGGCTCTTGACATCATCACCTGGAGTCGCTACTTCTTTCCGAGCATGCGCATGGCCCCTATGTGCACTGTTATCCGATGTTTGGCTGCTGGGGCAATGCTGGGGTGACTTGGCTCACACGCCAACTGAGAGGGCCTTGCATGCCCGCTGCAGCACACGTGCCATAGGGTCACCACCACTGCCTTAGCATATACATTACATACCTCAAGGATTGCCCGGATCATACTGGAAGTAACTGCTTCTCCCTCACTGTTGAGCAAGCAGCTGCGCACTGGCTGCAGAGAGCCCTGAAGCAGAGTAATCCCTTTTGACTTCTCAGAGGGTTTGCATACCAGAATGCTCTCACCTACCAACACACAACATTTTAAACAGAGGTGGGAAAATTTTGCAAAGGTTAAATAACCACATTACAAGTAAAAGAAGTCACGTGCATCTTAAGTAGTTTATCAAATCAGTATTGAAAAGTAATAGATGATCAAGAGGCTACACAAAAGTATCTAACCAGATGACAAAGGTCCCCATTGTTCAGAGAAATGATCATAATTTGCTTCCTGACATCTCTGTTCCCCAACTTACTTTCTCCCAGAAACTTGCTTACTTTCTCCAGAAAATAGGGTGGAATAGGATTCTGACCTAATTCTGTTGCTTTTATTGTCCTAATTAATAAACTAATGCTTACATAGTTCACCAACTAACCAACATTTGGCAAATGGACCAAGGGGTTTTTTTAAATGCAAATTCAACACAATATCAGAAGGAAAGAAACAATAGGTGCAAAATACCAAGTTTATTGACAAAACTTGTTGCATTCTGAGCTAATATAAAATTGAAAGTAAGTATTTATCTTAGAGTTTTCACTACAAAATGGCTAGAGAAAAGTTTTAATATCTAAAGCTTGGGAACACTTCCAGCTTTTTGCAATTTTTCAAATGTCTATGGCAGAAAAAGCTGAAATGTTTTCTTCCCACTTTGCTGGGTGGAGAAAGGGTGGGCAACACTGGGAGGCGGCCTAGGCTCACCATTCCTCTCCTTGGAATTCAGTCTTTCTCTCATTCAGTAACTGAATCAAGCAGCAACCGAAATAAATAAATAAGCAAGCCCTGCAGTTTGTCACCAAATATTCTATATGATATACATTTGCATGCATGTTCTTGTAGATTTTCCTTGATTAAGCGTGCATTTGCACTTGAAATATGGGTAATATCATTGCGAGCAATGGTTTACACTTACTTCTTTGTATTTTAACTGCATTAGAACTTCCCTCTAAATGTAAACAAGTTGTGTCACATACACTTATCTTTTGTTAGCTTTGGTGCCACAATATGGAAAATTCCTTCCATTCCTTCACAGCTATACTCTATGGATCACTGTATCTGATCAAGTCAGTGCTAGGTCATGAAAGTTAATGCCAGAAGAAATCTTATTTCTCTTTAAAGCATCACAGGACTCAGTATTCTAGCTGTAAAAAAATCCAAACGAACAACAAACAAAGCCAGAAAAAAACTCCTAATTTCACTTACCTATGGTGTCTACTCCCTTCCTTCCGGCTCTCCCAGTCATCTGCTTATATGCTAAGACACTCAGCAATCTGCCACCAAACATAGGAGTTCGGATAATTACCCGTCTTGCAGGCAGATTCACCCCAGAAGAAAGTGTAGAGGTTGCTACTAGAACTCGAAGTATTCCTTGACGAAAAGCTACTTCAATTATATCTCTTTCATCAAATGTAAGACCTGAAATGTAATTAAGATTAAATCCATATTAGGAGCCGACCATATCCATCAATGGTAGCAACAGAATTAATCATGTCACAAAGTTAATCATGTTAAGGGAGAGTTACAAATTGCAATAAGATTCAAATTTGTTAAGTTTTTGGCTTTTGTGAAGTTTATAAAATGGGGATAGCATCATTTACTTCTACCTCCTTGAAATGAAATATAAACTATTTTAAATTATTTTGTTCATTATGGATGTAAATAAAGCCAATCTAACATAAGCCATATTATACACTTAACATTGTTTTGCAGTATAGGTAATGCAATTCCACTCATATGCCACTTCAATCCCCATTCCTGCCAGTTTTCTCCTCCAGAGTTTTAGATAAACTTTTTTACCATTGAGTTAGATTCCAGCAGCAAGATACAGACAGAATGTGTGGAAGTCCTCCACTGATAATCAAATCTGAAGCAAAATGAAATCAGTAGCATTTGATTTACTGTGACTCTTCTACTTGAAGAGTGTTGAAGTCTTCAAGCTGAAGTCATGGAGGGATGGACAGTACATATATGTTCATCATTCCCCAAGAGTCATCACAAGCCTCCTACTGTCACCCCTGCACCTCTTCTGAGCATAATTATATAAAAGCATACCTGCATGGTGAAAAGCAACACCCCATTTTATAGTCCGCTGAAGCACAGAATCCAAGCCAGAAGGCGAACGCTTTAGCAGACTCATCAACTCCTCTACTCTCCCTGTGTCCAGTATAACAGGTGAAAGGGTAGACATCTTTTGAAGGCCTTTAAATTGAAGAGAGTTTAATATATTTTTGAGTATCAGTCTAATTCCCTTCCATTCCTCAACCGCTTTACTCTTGACTCACACTTGTGCTGGAGATAACAGAACTCTCTGGCAATGATATCTGCCAACTTCTCACACCAGTTCTTAGATGGGCAGAAGACAAGAACGGAATGGCCATCGTGAACAGTCTCATAACACAGACTCACTATGTGATCATTATCATCCTAAATTGAAAAAACAATACTTTTAGCCAGTGAATTTCAGGTATCAGTGCAAAAGTGCTTCTCTTGAAGCTTTTTCAACCCTCACCCCTCCATAAGCAGTCTCATTTATAGATCTGTAACCTTCCCTGCAAATGACATAAGCCAAGAAGCCCAATATGTGGAATCCTTTTCAAATTGCACACAATACACTTTAAGATTACCAGTCACTTCATTTTCATTCCCTTTCTTAGCAGTTTCTTATCTTGGCTTATTATGGTAGAATATAATGTTGCTATTCAGTGAGCTTTCCACTATAGTCCTGAGATCTTGTATAACAGGACGGCATACAAAAGCTTTTAATAATTAATAAATAAATATAGTGCCAAGATCTGTCCCAAATATTTATTTATTTATTTATTTATTTTATTAAAACATTTTTATGCCGCCCCATTCGCCGAAGCCTCAGGGAGGCTTACAACAATAAATTAAAATAATTATAATCTTAAATTAAAAAAATATATAAACATTAGATTAAAAATACAAAAATACAATATAAAATAAGCCGCCCTGGCCAGATAAAATTCAATAATATTAACATTTAAAATGCCGCTTAAATAAAAAGGACTTCGCCTGGCGCCGAAAAACAAATAACGATGGCGCCAGGCAGACCTCTCTGGGGAGCGCATTCCATAACTTAGGCACCACCGCAGGGAAAGCCCTCCTCTGAGTACCCACCCTCCTAATTTCTTTCACGGAGGGTTCCCGGAGAAGGGTCTCTCCCGCTGATCTCAGGGGGCGGCTGGGCATATATGGATGTAAGCGCTCCTTCACGTAAATACAGTGGAAGTCGCTTCAGAATGTACATTGGATGAAGTTAGGATGCTTTCCCCCACCAATATGAGAGCCAGTGTGGCGTAGTGGTTAAGAGCATGAGACTGGGACTCAGGTGATCTGGGTTCGAGTCCCCGCTCAGCCATGGAGCCAACTGGGTGACTTTGGGCCAGTCACACACTCTCAGCCCAACCTACCTCACAGGGTTTTTGTTGTGGGGATAAAATGGAGGAGAGATGATGTAAGCTGCCTTGAGCCCTTTGTAGGAAAAAGGCAGGATATACATCGCAATATAAATAAATAAATAAATAAATAAATAAATAAATAAATAAATATTCTTGTCTGAAACTACTTAGGCAAGCCATTATTTTATCAGCTTCAGTCCCACATCCATAATTTGGAGACTGAAGGGTTGTTGCATAAGGTGCTTTGAACACTCAAATGTGCTATATAAAAGCATTTTTTTAAAACAAGTGGCAAAAGGTTGCAGTATGGAGTGCTACTATTCACCATTGTTCAGCCAGCCATGCTGTCTTCCAGAATATTACATCTCATTCCCCCACCCATGTGGTTCTCCATCTTCCATTCACCAATGGTCAATCAGCATTTTGTGGCTACTGTGCACGTTCAGTTCTCAGCTGGCTATTTACCATTATCACTATTACTATTATTATTAAATTGGTTTATTTTTCGAAACTCTATTTGTGAATTGTAAGCATGATATTCTAGAGCAATTCCTAGAGAAATCTGTACATGGGTATAAAGGAGTAAACATATTTATAACTGTACTATTAGAAGTTCAAACTTGTTAATTGTTGCTCAGATTGGAGGTGGAAAAAACCTGTCCCTCTGTCTACCATGTGATATACCTGCTTAATACATGACAAGCCTAATAATACACTTAGTTTGATCTAAAATTTATACAACAAATGCAGCAGCATACCAAATATGCACATTCTTAGCACTTTCATTACCTTCATGTGTAGTTTAGGTTTAACCTCTCTCACGACATTCATTGAGGAGTCATAAATCTTGCTGCCAATTTTCACTTGCTCCACAAGAGGCACTGGACGGAAGTCTGTACAGTACAGTTCTGCATTTAGCCAGGAGGCCAGAAGATCCAGATTGGGAAGGGTGGCACTCATACCTATAATTTGTATCCCATTAGAGAGAGAGCAGACCATGTTTGTTTCTCTATAAGGGGAAAAAAGGCACAAATGAGAACTCTGAACGTCAGCCCATTCCATTAGCTTTCACTGTCACAAGAAATGGTAGCTTTAAAGGGAGACTAAACAAATTTATGGAAGAGAGATCTACTAACTGCTATAAGCTAAATGAATACTTGGGCTGGGGGGCACCAAATGGAAGACAGCTGCTGCTTTTTGGTTCTGCTTGTAGGTTTCCAGGAAATGGCTGCTAGCTATTCTGAGAAACAGAATACTGGGTTAATTGGAATGTCAGTCTGATCCTGCAGGGCTCTTTTTGTATAGAGTCATCCTAGGAATTGCTTCTTGTCATCACTTAAGAGCCAGAAGTGCTTTTTGCTATTCAGTCAAGCAATGATTCACCATCCATAGAAAACTGAGTCTTCATTATTGAAAAAAATCAGGGATAAAAGCAATGTTAAGAACGAGTCCCTCGCCTCAAAAACAGGGGTGCCATGAACAGGAGACTGTGTCTGTAATGAAGATTTAACTGTGAAATGAAATTAGTAATTAGTAAATTAAAAATCACAGATTTCTCTTGGATTAGTTGTAATTGCACCTGTACCTCTGAACTATACTGTACTAAAACTTATTTAGTGCAAAATGGTCCTCACTCAGCCACAAAACTCCCTTTGGGCCAGTCACTCACACTCAACAGGCTTGTCGTTCTGCGGACAAAATAGAGCTATGGAAACCACCTCACCCTGCAAGAGCAGAGTGAAGGCAAGAGGCTATTTGGACAAGAAGCGTGCTGCACTGCACTAAGGGACATGCCCACAGCACTGTAGCCTCCCCTTGCCAAAGGCCTGTTAAGCACATTAGCTAAACATGCACGCCCCAAATATGTATTTTTTTTAATCAAAATTTACACCGTAATGAGAAGAAGAACTCTACTCACCTTTTCTTTGTTTTTACAGTCAAAAAACAAACTTTTGTCAGCAGGAGTTCCAATAGATACCCTCTTTGAGAATCTCCCAACATGTGCAACTCATCTACAACTATTATCCCTATGAAGGGGAGAGAGAAGAAAATAGACACCAGTCAGTTAATTCCAGGGACATAGTGCAGCGTATTAGGAAAAATATAATAAAACTATGGCCAGAGATAGAACAGACTAGATTAAATCTGAATAAGGCCTCAAGTACAGCTACGTGATGAATTTTACAAAGTATGGTTAATTTGTAGGCTAGCTGACCTAGTTTCATACAAATCAGAAACAATGATTGCTCTTAAATTTATGCAAATATTACACTGATTCTGAAATGCAGTTCCATCATCCAATCACATTCAATAAACATGACAGTTTTACACTCACTAAATATTAAATTTAATTATGTTTTCTTATATACAAGGAAGTGTTGCTTAAAAAGTTGTGAGTCAAGATGATCACCATTATCAATTTCAATCAAAGTTTAGTATACAGTTATAGACCCATCAAAAGACAAAGCAGGGCATCAAATACACTCCCCAACACAATGCTCATAATAAAAGGGTAAAAGATAAACATTATAATGATACTCTTCCACAGCAGCCCTATGGCCCTGTAGACAGCACCTATACGGCCATAGGATTTTGCAGATTCCCAAGTTTGATATCAGAAAATTGCTCTGACTTCAGAGCTGAACATCCATATTCAGGTCCCTCTCTGTCCCATCACAACCAGTGTGAAAATAACAGTGCTTGCTATTTTTCTAAGGACATAAAAGTCTTAAGATTAGAGAAAGGGGGAGAAGGAGGAAGAGGAAGAGGAGGAAAAGGAGACTGCCACTGCCAGGATATGCTGTTTATCGGTGGCTCTTCAGGCTCCTCTCCCTCAGAAATGCCACAATTGGATGGCCAGGATTGGCCATCTGGCTGCTTTGCAGAGCAAGAGGAGCATAAAGATGACCTTTCCCTCAGCACTCTGCATTGGATGCCCTAATCCTCTGACTTTGGAGGGTTCCAGGCATCCCCATTGGATTGTATCTTCAAGGTGCTAAAATTATTTTCTTAGTCTCTATAATGCAAAAGTTGGCAATTTTTTCAAACAAAACAATCAGGTACTGCTCAAAAGTCTTTCCTGGATATTTAATTAAACAGACGTGGATAATCCGCGTTTCTTATATTTACACAAGGAAAACACATCCCCATGACTGACACATTCAAATTTCTGTGCAGATATATAACGGCATACATTTAAAAAAAAAATTCAAGCAGTAGGATACATCCCAGCTTTACCATGTAGCAAGAAAAGATTTTCTCACATATTTCTTACTTTATCCTTAGCATGACTGAATGTACCAATTGCTTACCCAGTGAATCCAGCGTTTTCTCATCTATGAGTCTATTGATCAGACCATTGGCTCTCTCAATAGTACACACAGCAATATCCAGGGCAGAGAAATGGACAGCAGGGGACATATTACCTATATAACCTTCCACTCGCACACCTACTTCTTGGAACATAGCCTATATGCCAGAAACAATATATAATTATATTTTCACAGGCTTAGAGTAGTGTGCGCAAGACAGTTTTCTGAAAATATATTTAGAATAGTTTCCATTGGGGTAAATCTGAAGTGTGTCTCCTTGTCTAATTTCACGTAGGGTCACACAGAAGGAAAGACAGGTCAGCACAGACAGTGCTGTGTGATCTGACAAGTCTACAAAGTCTGCCCACTTTTGGCTCAGGCTGTGCCCAACGCTGGCTGCAGCCTCTCCAGGTGGCCCCTTCACCGGAAAATGGCTGCCCATCTCTGGACTGGGATTCGATTTAAAATGTTTTATCTAGTAAATAAACACTTCCAAGCACTAGTTAAAGCATCTCAGATGTTTTTCCAACATCGAAGAGTACTTGAATTTAAATATTTATTAAAACAATCCACAAGACACATACCAAGCAAAATGTTATGGCTCTGGGAGTCATAGGATAAATTGGATCTTCCCCTCCTCCAAGGAGGGAGAGAGGGAGATCTAACCTCAGAGTGGTCCATTTGATCTTGGATCCTTCCCTCCCAACCCATACAGAAGGCTCCGCATAATTTACTGCCTTAATGTCAGATGTCCTATGTTGAGGAAAGGAAAAATGGGAAAGATTGGTGGTGATCAAAAACTTCCCAGTCCTCACGCTCACCCCAAATAAATAGGCTTGTCCATTGCTTGCAGTAGGAAGTAAATGAATATAACCATCTCTCAAGAACAGGCAGCAGGAAGACCACTGTTCAGTCCTACCAGCATACACCCAGCAGGGCTTAGAATATGTCAGAGAAACATGCTATGTTGGAGCACTCCAAATTTGAAAGTTGGATTGCTGTGTTGATATATAAACCTTTTAGGACATGATAATTCAATAGCATACATTTTAATTGCATGCCTTAAATCTGCCAAGAAGGGAATGATGGTATTGGAGACTTAACAAACTAATTAGTGTGCCCAAATCACTCTATTTGGGGGATGTGAAGGTACTATATACTAGTCATCTAAGAATTTAATTATAAACTTGGGCAAATTTTGCATCCAATCATTGGTATTGCATTGTATGGGACTATGCAGTTTTTTGAAATAAAAACATTTCAGTGGAAAAAATATATCAGTAGAAAAATGTTTATCATATATCACTGCTTGTTACCATTTTAATACATTGACAGCAAAATCCCATTTGTGTCCTCAAATCTAAGGAGACATACTTCTGAGTGGCCATATAGAGAATTGCATTGTCAAGTTCGAACCATATTTAAGTGCTGAGTAGAATCATTTGAGTGGTCAACATGCCAAACCCTCTTATTTACCGAATCTGTGTACCTTAAAAACCACTGATGTATTCAGTGCACTGCAAGAACACAATTCTCTCCCCAAACTCTCCCAGAATTCTATACACCTTTTCTTCCAAAATGTCCAGCAATTAAGATTCTATTGATCAGATATCCTAGTTATCCCATAAAACATACCCTACTTACCTGTAGGTAATTTTTCTTTTCTTTAGCCACAGAGATGAAAGGTAGGATGAACAAGGCTTTTTTACTAGTTTCTAGAACTTTCTTCAGTATGAGTAATTCAGCAACAAGAGTTTTCCCAGCACTGGTAGGAGCTGACATTCATTGAAAGAAAAAAATAGTTTAACATTTAATATTGGACATCTAGAGACAATTTGCCCTCCCAGAACGTTTCAAGGCATAAGGTAACTGATGTTTTATCAAGCCAAAACACATGGAGATGCATGGGATGTGGCAAAGGTAGCAGTAGCCATGGCACTGTCAGCAGTTGCAAGCCTTGTACACGGGGTAGTGAAGGAATTTGGTAGCAAAGCTGGGCAACCTAGAGTACTTTGGGGAAGGTACTGCATGCAGGCCGTGAGTTTCCAAAACCTTTATTAAGAGATGTGGGATGGGGTCTACATTCAAAAGTTAATCAGCTTGGGTTATATCCAGTGGTGCTGCTCTATCAGCAAAAGTAACTGCTGGTGGAACAGAATTCCTCTTCCCATCTGCCATCTCCTGTGCATCCTCATGGAGCAGATTTGGGGTACATGGGGAGCTACAAGGAGAAAGGAAGAGAGGGGAAATCCCTTGTGTGTTAAATTCAATCCTTCATCAGAATGGAGAATATTACTTAACTCAGCCCAGACAGACAGACAGACAGACAGACAGACATCAAAAGAGATCCAGTCTGGAGGGCTTTCACTACTAACTACATACCAGAATAAACCAAGTTTTTTCCTTCAAGGACTTGTCCAAGCATCAAGCATTCTGCTTGCCACTGGAACATATGAACTACTCCCAAACCATGATATTTCTCTAGAACTGGTTTGGGAAGCCCCCAGTTTGCTAACAGCAGTTTATCAGCATCATCTTCAGGAATATCCACATGCTGATGTCCTAGAACAAAACAGAATACCAGATTAAGAACTTCTTCAGAAGAGTGGAGATTTAGACAGCTTACATGGATTGCATGGACAACAAGCAGCCTTGTGATTCCTTAAAAGATCAACAGATTAATTGCAGGTAAGTCAGCACTAACTTCATTGGACATTTTGTGTTATCCTCATTTGGCTGATATATGAGAAAAGACATAAAATATAAAAGAAACGAGAACCATAATACTGTAGGTCTCTGAAGTGTCTATACAGCAGCCCAAATGCACCTAAGACATTCATCATGCTGAAGCTAAGCAGGTCTGGGCTGGCCTGAGCTTGAAGGGGAGGCCCACCTGGGAACTGCATGTAGCCACACTGAGTTCCACAATAAGAGAAAGGTGAGATATAAATATAATAAGTAAATAAATGGGTGACCCTCTCAACAACAACCACAAGCAATAAGTCGTGCCTTGCTAATTTAAAAGTTACAGCAGGAAAGAAATCTTCAGTGTCCATGTACATCAAAACCACCATACAGCAAACGTACCGACATCTTCTGAATGGGCCCAATTTATGGCTAAAACAACTACCAAGGAACCATCTCGGGACCCAACGAGAGACAGGCAGCAGCTGCCTTGGTGCCCCTGGAGGGGCGGAATGGTGTACCTGAAAGGCTGAAGCCCCGATACTGGGAGCGCTCCAGACAGGGAGGGGGGCTCAGCACGGAGTTCCGCAGATCCCCTGCGCGGCGCGGGAAAGGGGGCAGCGCCGCGTCACCGAGCCGCTCGCCCGGCTTCTTCTGGAGGCCGCCCGTCGGCACCGGCGCCGCCATGCTCCCGCGTAATCATTCAAACGGCAGGAAGTGGAGCGGCTGCGCTCTCGCACTTCCCCTCGCAGCCTGGCCAGGAACTAGAACGCGCCTAACGCAGGCGGGCTGGGCTGGTTGCTGCGGGTCCTTTTAACTCTGCCCGGGCCGGGCGCGGGGGAGAGTGCCCTTCTTCCCCACGCCCGACAACAGGTATTGCTCTTAGTAACGGCGGCATTATTTTCTATGGATTAAAAAAGAAACGAACAAAAACAGATATAGTAGAAAGTATGCCTCGGTACAAATTAATGCGTTCCCACGAACGCTGGATTCGATCTGGAAGTCTGAGAAGATGGAACTAATCGTTGCCGTAACCTTCCGAGTGGACGCATTCGTTCTTTATTACTGTTAATGCAAACCAGCTTCCCCCCACTTCTGGCCTGCAGTATTTACGACCACACTATGTTGCAATGCTGTCATCAGCCGCCACATTCACAAAGAAGCCGCCACAACTTGCCACGTAGGAAAGCAAAGCGATGGGTTATATCTTCATTTGCAGAGTTATTATTAAGGTTTCAAAACTGAATTTCCCCTGACGAAAAATAAGGTCTGAATTAGAAAGAGCAAAACGTTTCTCTTTGCTGCGGCATTTTAATGCTAGTGCCTGTCACCGCTATGTATCGTGAATTTCTCTGTTCACTGGTCTTCTGCGTCCTAGAGCTTAAAAAATGGCCTCCAGTCTAGACCCGGAAATTCCCTATCCGGGCAAGGAGTAAATCACTCTTTTTCCGTCTCTGCGAGGCAATGCCGAAGTTATACAAAACGCGAATCGCTGCGATTTTCCAATGGACTGAGACTAGCCCCGCACTGGTAGCGCGAATCGTTCATAACATCCGTCGGAGCGCTACGTAGTACCTTGGAGGCAAACGAATTTATTTCCCTTTTTTAAAGTCAAGTGCTAGCAGCATACTTGATCTTATGTAGAATTATATATTAATTAGATTTATATCCCACTTTTCACTTGTCTAAAGAACACACAGCAGCTGACATTCTCCTTCTCCTCTCGGTCTTATCCCCACAACAACCCCGTGAGCTAGGTTGGGCTGAGTCTGTGACTAGCACGAAGTCACCTGGTTAGCTCCATGGCTGAGGGAGGACTAGAACCCTGATCATCTGGGTCCCAGTCCTGTTCTCTTAACCACTACACCAGGTGTGTGTGGATGGCGGTTATTATATATTAATACAAGCAGGGTTTTTAAAAATCTACTTACAGCATTTACCCTGCCTTTCAGCCAAAAGGGTTTAAAGAATGCAGCTCCTATTCTTAGGCAAACAATCTAAAAGATGTAGCACCAAAGTAAAAGGGGGTTTGGGAAAGAGGAGGAAAAATGCAAACATCCAGCACCAGGTCAAAGTTTCAACCTTCTGAAAGGCATTCTTTCTGGCTGGGAGAGGAAAAACGAGCTCCCTGCAGCTGTTCCTTCTCTGGCTTATGGTGTTTATTCTTGGAACAGGGGAAGGTGGTGCCCCAGTGGCCCTTGGATCTTTGATAGATGAATGAGATCAGACTCTGTGATCCTAGTTGGAAACGTTATATATACTGTATTGCAATTTGAACTACATACATAAATAAATGTAGAAGCTATTAACTATACATGCAAAAATTATTACTGTAAACAAAATATAAATACCATGTTTATTAGATTTATACCCTGTCTCTCTCTGTGTGTGTTTTGGTAATCAATCCAAAGCATGGTTCTTGCCTGTACCATTTCATCCTTAAAACAACTTTGATGAGGTAGGTTAGGCTGAGAAACAGTGACTGCCCCATGGCCAGCCAGTGAACTTCATGGCCAAGTAGGGACTAGAATGCATATCTCTGAGGACCAGCATGCTAACTGTCACACTACACTGGCTCTCTACAGTACCATATTATACTGTAGATTAGAATCAAGACAAGCATGTGACTGTGCTGATTAAAAATATGGTCCAGAGCAAGTATCCAGCATTCCTTAAATGCTAAGGAAATATATGTACATTATGCAATGTTTTTTTCAAATTGAAAGATGAAAACTATGCAGTTCTAATACAGTCTGGGTACATCATGCCAAAACTATGCAGTTTCCAGTTTCCAGTCTATGCAAATAGCACATCATGCATTAATTGTGTAATTTGTGCCAATTTCTTTAGTGTTTTTAAAGTTGCAAAAACCACAACACACCTTAGAGGTAGAAGTTTATGGGGAAAAAGTAACTTGGCCTGCTTTGATGGTTAAATTCAAACCAGATGGGCTTCCCAGCATCAAAAAACCCTTAAAATATAAAAGCATGCATATCAGGACACAAACCTGCAATTTATTCAATTTAGCTCATACAATCAGCCAAACTCTTTTATGTATGGCAATTTTTTAAAAAGTAGCATCCTGTTCAGTGATAGGTGGGACTTTACCTAACACACAGTTGATTATCACTCTTTCATCTGGAACCCTGAGAAATGAGAATAAATTAGGCAACATTCATGAAAAAAGTACAAAATACATGTTTCAGAATTACAGGGTCATCTGCTTTATATAGACACTTTATGCCTTAAAATTGAATTTTCAAAAATCTGCCCTGAAGTACTGTCACTAGAACATTAAGAGTGTAATCCAGTCTGGATGTTTGTGTGACTGCTGTGAAAAGGCAAATTCCATGTCAGGCATAGTTAGGAAAGGAACTGAACATTAAATTATTGGGGAGAGGGGGCTTCAGACACTTTTTTGTGATACCAGTTTAATTTTGCTACAGCGATTGTTGGACAGGTTTTGCCTCATTTTGCTTGTAGTATTTTGTAGAAGAGGGAATAGAACAGCTGATTTCTCTGCTGGGTTTTAATTTGTAATACAAATTCTGCCATTTATGTAAAGACTGTTAATAAAGTGCATTGAATATTTATGCATTAAAATCTAAAAGAATACTCATCCTACTGTAATGATTGCACAAATAAAAATTGCATATGCACAGATACAATAATACAAGCAAATTTTAATATACAAAATATTTGACAACAGTACTGTCTTTATCAAGAGCACTAAATATATATATATATATATATATATATATATGTACATGTAAAACTGCCTTCTATAGTTTTAATAATAAGAGGAGTAGCTTTTCAGAACCTCAGGCAGAGAGCTTTCCTTCTAACTCCCAACAATTGTTTCCCTTTCTAGGAAGTATGAATCTTTGCTGTTGGTTCATGATCCACAGATGGACTGCACCAGTGGCCCTACAATATTTGCATCAAAACAAACAGCACAGATGCTGGAGTAGGGGAGGAGGAGAGTTAGAGGGAGAGTATGTCTACTATATACATTTATGTTAGTTTTATACAAGTTGAACTGCAATATCTTCCCTTCACCAAGAAAAGCAAAAGTACAGGTGCTGAAGATTCACTTTTAGGGAACCTTCTTTCACACAGCTATAATCCTCAACATTCCACTAGGCAGAGAAATGACTGCTTAAAACAGCATGGCTACACTGTAGCTATGCCCTGCAAAAGACAGAGCCAGAAGTAAAAAAAAAAAAAAACCCACTTGGAGAGTGAAGGAAATTTTGGGTATATACATTAAGAAACTGAAACTCATGTTTCATATTGGGGATTAAAGTTGACCCCTGGGTTAAAATTATGCATCTCACATGATTCCTATAAAGCAGGATATTTGATGAAAAAATCTGCTTTCAACTTGCTTTTGCTTGTCTACTCCTTTTTAATGAGTTGACAAGCAAAAAGGAATATCTAAAGGAACATCTCCTTCCATATGAGCCTGCCCTTAGGGTCATCTGCAGAGGTCCTCCTATGAGAGCCCTCCTTGAAAGAGGATTTGGACTTAACAGGGAAGGAAGACAAGAGCTAAGAACTGTTTCACGTATACTTTTATATAGGTTGATTACTCAGCAACTGTTAATAAGCAGCTGGTGGGTGAATAGACTCTACAGAATAACCGTGTGTTGCAGGGGATATACAACATATCAAAATTCTGTTTATGGTTCACTCATGTGTGTGAATCACTATGATGTTGCCATCATTAAGAAAGGAGCATGCATGTGTGTGAATAAATTCTGATGTTCCTTGGAGTGGAGACACGGAAGGTAGAACTTCTAGGACAGGCTGGTCAAGACCTCCTGAATAGCTTCGCTACAGCCACTCAGCTCCATTTCATTGAGAACATTACTGATGTGCTCCACAGTGGCACCATGAGCTGCCTGCAGCCTCCATTGTCCCAACATCTCATATTGTGCTTCCCGTATATGCCGCTGTTCCATACTGATTCTCTCTATTGTATTTTCATTCAGTCCAAGGCGACGCACAAATTCTTTCCACCGAGACACTGGTACATGATCTGCTACAATATACAAAACTGTAGGACCTAGTGGGAAAGGAACAGATGAGAAATCAAGCAAGATGAAGTGATGATTCTCTCCCTGTATACTACAACTTGGTCTATACCAAATAAAATGTCTTTTAACATGAATGCTTTCCATCAACCATCCAGGCTGTAAATCTTTGTACATGTATTACAGAGGTAGTTCCCTTGAATTTAATGGATGTACTGAGCTAACATACTTAAAACCATGCTGCACAAAGCAAACATAAAGGTGATTTCCACATCTGCATATAAATGTATGTTTTTCATGCTATCTCTACTTGATCTTCAAGCCAGTCATTTGGAATGCGATATGCAAGCACACAGACCCAGGGTCAGTCATTTCAGACATGCTTAATTCTAAGCCCTCTAAAACATTTATATTAAGCTTTGGTATTTCTAAATGATACTTACCCTTTAGCTGCATTTTATTATATCTTGTGGCCATGATTTTGGGACAGAAAATGGCTTTGGCTGGAGGATCAGCTCTAGGAGAATTTTGGAGGAATGCAACCTGTTCATTCTCCTGTATATCTCAGTGGCTTTAAGATGAGCCAGAATCAACAAGATGGAAATAGTAAACCCTGTATTACTTGCAGAAGAACTAAAAATCTAGGAGATTAGGTTGTCTGGTACATAGCAATGCCAACTACAGACAGAAGACAGTTCAGCCCATTCTTCTAATGGTATAATAACCTAGAAGGCATCAGCCATATGAACACAGTGTGCACTGAAGATAAGCAATTCAGAAGGGCATGAGAAAACAGCAGAGGCATTAGGGAACTCCAAGCAAGTGCTGTCTGGCATGTTGTGAAGGAAGACCAGTCTCAGCAGCTTGAGAGATAGATGAAGCATCATATGTGTGCCTTCTCGGGGTCTGGGAACCAGTGGATATTGGTTCCGTGACATGTAGCTCCAGCCATACCCAGGAGCATAATAAGGATATGGAGGGGGAGGCATCATCCAATATGGGTATGGCTCAGATCTAGGAATGTCTCAATGGAAAGCATGTACAGAGTGTCAGGTCAAAGCAGGCTGTCAGTAGACCACAGGGACATGGTGTCAGTGGTCACTGAACCTGTGGTCCTGTAGCCAAATCTGATGGGACCAGGCAGGTGACCCAGAGGATGCCAGAGACCAGGCAGGTGAATCTCTTATTTCTCCCTTGGAGATCAAAGTTGGGAGTGGTGGCTGCATGTTAGGGACCTCAATGAGCAGCGGAGATCTCAAGCTCAATCAGACCCATGGAGATGGTCTCGGAAAGAGGCATATCAGTGGTTGGAGGTTAAAGAGTTAGAGAGGAGAAATATTCATGAGGAGAAAGTACAGTGAGAGAAATCTGAGACACAGCAAACAGCGGTCGAAACTAGACTGGGTGAGAACTCCACCCATTTACACTGGGGGAGAGGGCAGTTTTCTCGCCAAAACGATTAGTGCTGAGAGAATCTTCCCAAACAGAGGCACTGCACAGGCACAGCATCCATATGTGTGATGCACAGAGGCCATGACAAAGAAAAACTGATAACCTGGAAATCCCAAAATATCACAGACAACAGGAGAACAGTTGTAACAGCAGAAATAAACTATGGGAGCTGTGTGCAAGAGAAGAGCATGGCTACTAGTCCTGAAGACCATATGCTTATGGCCATATGCTACCATATGCAGGGGCAGTAAGTCTATATACACTAGTTCTTAGGGAACTTAGATGGAAGGAAGTTGTTGCACTCATGTCCTTCTTGTGGTTCCAGTTGGCAGCTGGTTGGTTACCGTGTGAACAGAATGCTGGACTGGATGGACACTTGGTCTGATCCATCATGGCTTTTCTTAAATTTTGGTGCCCAGAAAAAGCCAATTTTAATAAACTCAGAACAATGATAAGCAAAGTCCCATTGCGAGCGACCCTAATGAGAAAAGGAGTCCACGATGGGTGGGAATTTTTTAAAGCCATAATTACAAATAGGTCAAACAAGGAAAAGGGGTAGAAGACAACAGAAGAAGTCCATGTGGCTTCACAAAAAGCTTAGATCTGAAAACAAAAAGGGAAATGGAAGTATGGTCAGGCTACAAAGGAAGAATATAGGCATGTAGCACAGAAAGGCAGGGAAGGGGTCAGGAAGCAAGGAATGAACTGAGGCTAGGGAAGGATGCTAAAAGCATTAAAAAAAAAAGCTTTATTCAGATATGTCCAAAGGAGAAACGGGGTCAACTACTCAGTGTGGATGGCAAAATGATAACAGATCACAGAGGAAAGGCAAAAGTGCTCAACTCCTACTTTGTCTCAGGCTTCTCCCAAAGTTTGATTTATGACATTCCTGATGAACCAGAGAATGGCAGCTCAGAATTGATAGGTCAAGGATCATCCAGTTGGGTTGAACAAGTTCAAATCTCCAGGATGCAATTAACTCCATCCTAGAGTAATAAAATCACCTGCTTAAAAAACTCTCAAAACCACTGTCTATTATCTTTGAGAAATTATGGATGACAGAAGAAGTGTCATATGACTGGAAAAGAGCTAATGTTGTTCCCATCTTCAAGAAAGGCAGAAAAAAGAAGAACCTGGAACCAATCAGTCTGACATCAATCTTTGGGAAAATTCTGCAGCAATTTACAAAGCAGTCAGTCTCCAAACACCTTGAAAACAATGCAGTGATTACTAGAAGCCAACATGGATTCCTCAAGGACAAATCCTATCAGACTAATCCAATTGCAGTTTTTCATTGGGTAACTTCCCTGATGGACTGTGGGAATGCTGTGGACATAATATATCTTGACTTCAGCAAAGTGCCCCATGATATCTTGGTTAGCAAACTAGCTAAAAGTGGGCTAGATGGAACAACAATCAGGTGGATCCACAGTTGGCTATCAAGGCTGATCACTCTGAATGCATTATGACAATATTAAAATATTGCCATGGACTACCAGTCCAATTCTGGGATCAATTCAGGGTACTGATATTTTGCCTTTAAAGTCCTACATGGGCTGAAAGACTACCTTTTTCTCATGCAAACTGGACCTGTCTTCCAGGTTTCTTTGCTACTAGCTAAAAGGTGCCGTCTAAAGTCCATCCGGTTCTCTTAGGTCAGTCGTGGCTGAAGTCCAGAAGTTCAAATATGATTGAGATATATAAAGTCTACAGAATATATGATCTTATAAAGGAATTATCAATGTTTGATTAAATTACTTTAAAACTGGATGAAAGAATGATTAAAGGATTGTATAACTTTTGGGGGGGTATAAAATGAAAGATGAATGAATTAAAGAAATTATGATAGCACAGGCACAAAATGTTGGACAGAGTTACAGAAACGGTAAAAGTTGTGAGAAAGAAATATCAAGGTAACCTTAGTAATCTCACATAAAATTTATACAAATGTTTTATAGTCAGATAGACAGAGAGAAGTAAATGACTTATAGATAGTTCTTACTGTTAAGTTTAGTAGAAATGTTTTTAAACTGGTCATGTAAACAAAAATTTAAATCTGAATGCTTTTCCTTTTTTTATTAGATATTATTTTAATGATATTGATAAATAGACCATATATTTGATCTTATATGTAATTACTATGGCAAGGATTTTACGGGAGGAGTGAAGAGCCATGTATCGAAGAGTTGAGCTGAAAAAAGATTTTGGATTACATGGCAGGACAGATCGATTTTGTCTCTGAAGAAGGAGGATGTATATCTCTACCAAACATGGAATTTGTTCTATTATCAGCTAGAGAAATGGGACTACGCATAGATTTGAATATGACTATTGACTGTTGAAATGAGGAAGATGTTAACCCAGTATATCCGATGTCTTAAATAATTGTTGTTTTTAAAGTTAGATTATAGTGAAAACAATAAAGTTTATTTTTAAAAAAAAGAAAAACGAGGTGTCCTGGCATGTTTTGAATGGTTGGAATGTGTTCAAAATGGACAGAAATGTTGAGCTATGCAGAAAAAGCTACTCAAGGAGGGCCTTTTCAAAATTGCCCTCTTTTCCATGGAACTTTATCCCTGTATTAGGGTTAGGGGAGTGCACCAGGGTAGGGTTGCGAACCTATGGCATGTGTGCCACAGCAGGCAAGCAGAGTCCTCTCTGTTGGCATGCAAGCCAAGTCACCCCCGCACCACCCCAGCAGTGAAGCATCAGGTAACAGCACACATAGGGGCCCTGCGCATGCTCAGAAAGGAGTAGCGGCTCCAGGTGATGATGTCATGAGCTGCGACTCATTAGCCGCGACTCATCTGCGCTTTTGCATGGCCAGTCAGTGCATTGCCAAGGATATATATATATTTGCTCTGACTGACTGTGAGGTGTTTTTTCTACACTAAAACCTCAGCTTTCAGGTTTTATTGTAGTGTTGGCACTTTGGGAAAAATGATTGGCTATTGGGTTACAGTTTGGGCACTCGGTCTCTAAAAGGTTTGCCATCACTGTCTTAGGTTGTCAATGGCCCTTTATTAAAAATGTTCCCTCAGTAATTAGATATTTCATTTTATAACTTTTTATATACTATTTTGCTCTTGATATCTGCAGCCCTTGTTTGTATGTGTAAGCATTTTTCTACTTATTTAAATTTACAATTTTTTTTTTGCATACACCTCACAATGTGTACGGCTGGAATCTATATACACTGACATGAGAGAAAGACTACTTAAACTACATGGTACTTACTTCTGAGGCAACGTAAAAAGGATTGCAGTATAAGAAAGTTCTAAATAATAAATATGTGTCCTGTTATCTGGATTAACAAACTATGTTTTGTAATTGGCCTGCAAGCCAGAATCAGAAACCATAGTCTGATATGAATTTGCGTACCACTGCTTGCATCCACCCTGATGTTATAGAAGGGGTGTCCAGAAAGTAATAACAATTATATTTTTTAAAAAATTGAACAATTTTACAATTGAACATTGTCTCCTTCAAAGTATGCACCTTGTAAGTGTACACAGCCCTCCCAGTGATTTTTCCATTTTTCATAGCATCCCTGGAAGTCTTCCAAGTGGGAAGGCATTCAGATCCTGCATAGTGGCTCTTTGGACATTATCCGCACTTCCAAAATGGTGTCCTTTCAAACCATTCTTCATCTTTGGGAGTATGAACAATTCACAAGGAGCCAAGTTGGGGCTGCAGGGTGGATGAGGAAGAATGGTGATGTGTTTTTAAGCTAAAAACTCTGACAGCCAAAGCACTGTGACTCAGAGCATTGTTGTGATGAAGGATCCAAGTTGAGCTGATCTCAGGATGTACAAGAGAAACTATTTGTCTCAAGTGACCAAGAACTGCCAGGTTAAACCTTTGATTCACAGTTTGACCGGTAGGGACACATTCCTTATGGACTATTCCATGCACTTTTACCCAATTTCACACAAAATTTTATCATGTATCGCTGCTTCAAATTCACTTGCATTATTTGAGGCCCTTGAACAGGGTGTCACAAAAAAGAATGTCTCGACTCTGACAGAGCTGGAATGCAACTGATCAGTGTTGTAATGTATACCTGGCACCCCACCCCAAGTGACCTTGGCCAGCTTTCTCTTCACAGAGCCCTTCTCAAGTGTAGGAACTTCATTCTCATTACTTTCTGGACACACCTTGTATGCTACTATACCAGGAGGCAGGATGGAACAAGAAGCTGAGTGCTAAGAAAATGGAAAGCCAAGGCATATAATTAGTTCTAAGCCCTGGTTGGCCTGCATGTATTTGGAGGCTCAAACAATGTGTGGAGTTCTAAACAAAGGTCAACACAAGCCACTGTTTGTTATGATATCTGAACTGAGCCCCAACTCAATTTGCACAATCTGACCCCTCAAAATGCCCAATTTCATCTGACATTTCTGGTACAATGTATTAATTGGCACACAGTGGAGTACATGGCACCATTACTTAATTTAGGATTCAATTATACTTGGGGGGAAGAGGGGGCTGCAGTAGAAGGGAACATGGGAAGAGCCCCCAAATGGTAGCAAATATTAATGAATGAATGAATGAATGAATGAATGAATGATTCAATGTTTAGACTGCTTCATAGCATAGTTCTGTGAGTAAATGGAAAAAAAACACTGCCAATTATTTCAATTATAGCACAAAAATATAAGATTAACAGATAAATTTCTTTTGGGTACAAAAAATTGATGACCTCCCCCCCACTTGTGGTTGTACCTAGTATCTAGATTCAAGAGGAAATGCTTTGAAATGTGCCTCCTCATGCCTAATCTTGTCAGATAAAGGGAGAAAAAGAAATGAGCTCCCTTTAATCTGGCCAATAATATCTGCATGAGAAAACTATGGACAATTCCAATGTAATGGCAGCAATAGAAAGAAAGCATTTTGTAATGACAGCAAGCAGAAGAAAATGGCAAAGGTGTGCTCAAGTACAGAAATGAATTAGGTGTGGTCTTAGGGCCTGCCTGCCCTCCACACCCTCAGCCAATCCATAAGCAAACCAGTATCAAGTACATGATGAGACAATGGGTAAAGGTAACATTTCTTCAGCTTAACATAATTCACTAAAGTTCAGGTAAGCACCTTCTGAAATAAAACAGTTTTTCCTGGTTCCTAAATGACAGTGGCGAGGAACCTAGGGTGGTGTAAGGCAAGTAGCTGCCTGTCAGCTTTTTACCCAGGAAAGCCAGACAGACTAGAGCAGTGGTGGTGAACCTATGGCATGCGTGCCACAGCGGGCACACAGGGCCCTTTCTGTCGACACGTGTGCCAAGTTGCCCCAGCATCACCCCAGCAGCTGAGCATCAGATAACAGGGCACATAGGGGCCATGCGCATGCTCAGAAAGGAGTAGCGGTGCCAGGCGATGACATCATGAGCCACAACTCATTAGCCACAACTTGTCCGAGCTTTCACATGGCCGGTCAGTGCACTGTCAAGGATATATATATATATATATATATATATATATATATATTTGCTTGGACTGGCTGTGAGTTTTAATACATTCGTTTTTATTAGCTCAAGATTTCAGCTTGCATTAATTGTGCAAAAGCACGCCAAATACAAACTATTATCTTTCAATAAAAAGCTGTTTGTATCATTGAAAGCTCTGTTATTGTGTTTTTCTTTTAAGACAAAAGATGTTAATGTATGAGTTGTTTTTTCTAAACTAAAACCTCAGTATTCAGGTTTTATTACAGTGTTAGCACTTTGCGACAAATAAGTGGGTTTTGGGTTGCAGTTTGGGCACTCAGTCTCTAAAAGGTTTGCCATCACTGGACTAGAGCATGCCAACAACTGGAGGAGCCTCTGAAGCTGATACTTTGTATGCAGAGCCAAACTGCACACAGTGGGGGCCACCACACGAACTGTTCATTGAAAAGAGGAAGTGTCAGTAATCTGTACTTCTCTTCTGCTTTTCTGGATTTCTTTATCATATCCAAATCAGAGGTTCTCACATCTTGGTCTTTTGATGTTGCAACAGCTCTCACATATCCTCTTGGAGAAGGTGCACAAACAACACACACTTCTTCCCACCAACACCCCAGCATTTTGTTTGTATAAAGACACTCTACTCACAGTCTGGGAGCTGTGTCTTTCCTGCAGATTTTACACAGTCTGGTAGTCCTTGAACTGGTTGTGATGTTTCCCCTGGCACTTGTATGACTTGCTTTGGTGACATTCTTATTTCCTGATTCTGCTCCAGAAGGAAGTCATTTGCTACAGACTAAGGAACAAGACAGAATACTGCTTACAGTTGTAGTATTGCTGGCACAGAGCCTAAAACTTGCTCTATCACTTTGGGAGCACTAAAAGTCTGATTTGAGTAGGAGTTAAGTTTAAGTAGACAACACCATTCTGATCTGGAAGATGCCTTTGGTTCCTCCTCCTTCCACTTATCTCACTGTGATGGCTGCATTAAAGTGCAGTTTTATCCCTTCCTGACTCTAATACCAGAAGGGTGCAGTTTCCCCAACCCCCATGCTCTTTATGCATTAATGAGAGTATTTGAGCTGTTCTTTGCTGTCCTAAAATATTTTCTTTTGTCTCTTTGCTTAGAACTTATGCTGAACATTTTGCAGGTAAAGATGATCAAAAACACATAACTTTTAAATGTTTACATCATATCATTCAATACAAGAACACAAATTAGAAATTATGTGTTTGGACTTACTCTTTTTTGGTATAAAAAGCAGATCCACACACCCATAGGGTTGCTCCCAGTGTCTGAGTTCATGACTTTAATTACTAAAAAGGAAGTGTTTTGAAAGCTACACTTCCTCATTCACAGGTTTTGAAGACAGAGGAGGAGATACTGGAAACAACAGTTTAATCCTAACTGGGTATATTCAGCAGAAGTCTCATGGGGCTTACTTCCAGGTAACTGGAGAAAGACTGCAGCCTCAAGCAGACTGACCTGATTGACTTGCGAAAGCTGAAACCATTTGCAATGTAATTGTTCAGGAAGATAAGAATATCTTTCAATAGTGGTAAATGAAAAGAAAATGGTAAAAGTATATTTAGGTATGGAAGTGAAGACATGTGGCTGGGAGGTTCAATTCCTTGAACTAGTGAAGACCACATCTCTTTTAAAATGCTGTAGGTATATATAGCTGTGCTACTCTTCTGCTCTTTTATTTTAAAAAACCTCTTATTTTTCTGTAGTCAAAAAAGATGGAAGAAGGGGAATTGATGCAAACTTGACGTTTTGTGGATAGCCCACAAAAAGTGAGCAAATTAAGTATGGCATTCAACATTCTGCTGAACAGCCACCTATTGAGCATGCTTTAACTTGGGGTTAGACTTAGTGGTTTTATGGTCACCTTTCAACTCTATTATTCTATAATTCTATGATGGGGGGAAGGGTACAAAAACCCCTAGAGTAAGCTATGGGTCGTCGTGCCTTCAAACAAACCACCCTATGAGAACTGGTTTGGGTTTACATGACATAACCCATGATGGGTTGCTATGTCATCAAAGGGTCAATGACTGAACTCAGACAATATGATAACCTACACTCAAGAGTTGACTGTGGTTTGCGTATAGTTTGTAATTGAACTACAAGCAGTTGTTGAAATGTGAGTTATCATGTTGTCTGAACACAATTCTGCTAGCAAACTATGGTTTGTTAACCATGAACAACTTATAAATTGCTCTTGGGTTGTGAAAGGTGGGGTATTCATGGTTAACAAGCCATGATTTTTTTGTGTGGCTGGGTTCAGACAACACAATAACCCAAAATTACCCAGCCAATGAATAAATAATGGAGAAAAGGAGGATGGGTGCTCTGGTACTGCCAATCACTGGCATCCAGACCATTATGGCCCTGGGCAATTTGGCCTTCAGTGGAACTAAAACAATTCCCAATGCCTGGCATATTCTTTTTAACATTGTAAACCATTCTGAGAGAATATGCTGAAGAGAACCATCTATAAAAACCTTCAATAAATAAATTGGCTCTGCTCTGTGTTTGCATTTTTTTTCTCTATTAGTTGCTTTGAGGGGTGAAAGTATATAATTATTTTAAAATAAATAAAAGCGATTTGGACCAAATCTTAACGTCAACGAGGTATGCATCTGAACTATGCATATAAACTGTGGAGAATCAGCTGAGAGAAGAAGAGGAAGAGGAAGCCTGGTGATCTGAGACACAGGCACTCCAAAACTGTTAATAAATACCTCAGAGCATGAAGAGTCCTATCCATGTCATTCTGCCATTCATGTATGAAGTAAGAGTACTTGGAAATAAGCATGTTAGGAATAAGTAACAAACAGTTTTGATCTGTGTTCCAGGCCCATGTGCAAGGCATTTAAGGAAAGGTTTCAAATGCTTACTTTTGCAGGAAGTTCTTTTGCTGGTTGCTGAATTGAAGCTGAAAAAAACCAGAAAAAATAATCTCATGAATGTCAAAACAGATTAACTTTATTTTTGGTTTGTTGTTGATGATGGGAGTTTTCTCAGTTTATAGCTGTTGAACAATCAGATGGCTCATCATTGCTCATTATTCCTCAACTAGCAGTGATGGCAGGATGTTTCTTTAGTATGTTCAGTAGCCACCAGCTACTGAACATACCTAATGACCTGGGTCACAGTGGCTACCAAAATTATGTCCTTCAGTTTAGCCAAAGCAAAGACACAAGCCTATGATGAGTTTGGGCTTCAAGCATATACTGTCTGCTTGTAACAGAACAGTTCTATATGCTAGCACTACAACTGGATGTTACCCACTTCTTCATATCAGCTTGTATATTTGTAAACAAATATTAAAGAAACACCACAGAAATCTCTTCACTATTCATGGGAATGAAAAACTGGACACAATGCATTTGCTTCTCTAAAATGCAATTGTTTTATCAAAACTGTATTCCACTCTGTGTATTTCTTGATGGAACATTAAGGAAAGGAAGGAGTCCCTGAGGATTTTAATCCTCTAGCCAAATGGCTGTAGGGGGCAGCATTCATCTTTTTCCATTATGGGAATTCACTACTTCCCTGCCCCTCCTTGTTGCACTGAAACCAGGCCAAATAGTGAAAAATATATCACTGTTTTACAAAGCAGTGATAGAAAAGGTAGAGTCTGGGATGAGATATAAACCTTCCTGAGGTTCAGTGCAATTCCTACTGCCTTCTCTTGTACATGAAATGTCAGAACTTCGAAAGCCTACTTTTTAGCTAGTCTAAAATGTGGGATGGAGAATCTCTTTTCTCAGTTTTTAGCAAATACCTTGACCTCTTGCTGCTTGCAAACTGTTCCATATGAGTCTGAAAATGGAAGGTGAATTCTGTACCGAGTTCAAAGAACAGGCCAATAATGTGAAACCTTCTGGCTGTTTTACAAACTGTCCCAACAAAATGAAAATGAAACCTTTCCATATGTAGGCCAAAGAAAGAAAAAAAAATATTACAGTGCCAAAGTGGGGGAGGGGAGGAAATTGGGGTATAAATGTAATTGGGAATGGACAGGAGAGTAGTGTTAAAGTGATTTAAGAAGCTACAACTGTTCTCATTTTCATTCTTAACAAAAGCACAAAGTACACCAAAAAGAGATAAAATGCATTAATCTGTCCAGCCAACTCTTGGCAAATGCAAGTCATGATAAATAACTAATTTTGTTGTTGCTTCTTCCTCCTATTTTCTTTTTCCAGCTGATAATGTCCCTTCAAACAAAAGAAATGAAAAGACTTCATTTTTTAGTTCATCAAGTAACAGATTTTCCTGCTTCTAGACAAGATGTTTGATGTACAATTCCTATGCCTTCTTCACATAATTTTACAGAGGGATATCTTCCAATTATAAACCTCCCATGCTTTCTAACCACTTTTTCCATGCTTTTTTTCTTAGTACAGAAAATCTGTTAAAGGGGTAAAACAATAGATAAATAAGTAAAGAGTGAAACAACAGCTGTAACTCTTTGCAGGTATGGACAGAAAAATGTGCAACTGAGGCACAGTGGGAGATTTTGTGTTGGTGAAGATGGATGACACGTTGGGGATGCCCTCCTCTTTCTCTGTCACATGTGTTGTATTTACATTTGTACACCTATTTCATGTCTTGCATTGCCAGCCCTTTCTCCGAAAAAGCTTTGCCTTTTGCCTTCTTTAAGCAACATTCATCCTCCGCTCAAAAATTTATCTGAGTGAATACATCCTAGTGCATTCTAGGGTCTGCATCCACCTCTCAGGGTTAGCAGCTCCTTCATAGCTTCCTAAACCATTTTCAGTAGGAAACAGTTTGTGCTAAAACCCTGCACTGAAACTAAAGGTTCAGTTAGAGAATTAAACTTTGCCAGTGACCTGGTCATGTAATGATTTTATCTCTGTGCAATTCTGAAATAATGTACTGCATTTTGTTTTAATGTCCATGCCTTTTTAGTGCTCTAAAAGAGAATACCTATATTATTTATTTACTTATTTTATACTGTTAATTTTAATTTTATATTATTATGTTTGTAACTCAGTGTATTTTTTGTATTTTTTGTATTTTTGTATTTACTGGTAATTTATTATGTTCTATTGTATTTCAATGTATTTTATTGTGTTGTAAGCCGCCCCGAGGCTTCGGCAAGGGGCGGCATAGAAATGTTATAATAATAATAATAATAATAATAATAATAATAATAATAATAATGTATGCAAATACATGAGGACAGCAATGCCAAAGCTTTTTTTGGTTACACTCAACCCTGAAGATATTTGAAAAATGCAAAAGCCAGGAAAATTCCCATCTCCAAGCTTGGGCCTTAGAAAGCAGGGAGGAAACCCATTTTATATAGCCCTGTTTATTTCTCAGTAAATTACATAATCCTCTTGCTCTGCACTGATGGCACTTGGGTTTGCTTTTGCTTTTTAATTCTAGAATTTTACTACAATGGAACAGAGTAGCTGACTTTTTAATGTAGTCCACAATGCAAAAACTTCTGGTGTCTGTGTAAACATTAGTGGCACTTCAAGGTGGAAGGGTGAAGTAACAGAGAGCTGCAAAAAATGGCTGACAGTTGAAGAGACCCATATTCTGTCATTGCCTGTCAAAGTATGGAAATAAACGGCAGGGCAATTGGGACTGAGTCTTCTTTGTGAACCACATCATAGATGTTGTCCTGGTTCATGTCGGTACACTGCTGTACGCTGATCTCGAGAGAACAGGACATACGAGCAAGCAGCTCCGAGAACCAACCATGGCTGTCCCCCAGAGATCCCATACCCTGGGTAGTAATCATGGCATCAGGAGAGGTGAAAATTTGTTGGGATTCCTCCAAATCTGAATCGGACTGATACTGCAGACTGAAAGAAAAAGAGCTGTCAGGAGACAGTGGTGAATGGGCAAGTGCCGTGGTGGACGTTGATGGAGCATTCCTCGACACTGATTGAAGGGTGGAATGGTGGAGACGTGTTGGCAATGGTGGGTAATAGCCATATGGGGGATAAAAATCCCATGGATAGGGACGATCCATGCATTCAAGTTTGAAATCCCCATAGGGTAAAGGCACCCAGTACTGCAAAAGTTGTGGAGCAGGAGGTTGTGGAGGCAGGAAGGAAGAAGGATGATGCAGGGCCCGTGCAGATCCCTCCGGAGATGAATGGCAGGCAGGAATAGGAGTTGGCAACTTCACAGGTTGTTGTTCAGGTCCTGACCGATGTGGCGATTTACACATTTCTCATCTGTAATAGAGGCTCAAGCCAATGGATCCAATCAGCCGGGACTGGAGTGAGGAGAGATGGTAATCCGCAGAGGCAACAATGGAGGTGTCGCTTGCATGACTGATTGGCAGCCGGAAGGCTCGGTCGGTAGTGAGGCAGATAGATCAATCGGTTCAGTGCGAAGCACCCTGGGAAGTTTTTTGTGCCGACACTCGGTCTTGTCAGATTTGTCTTTCTTGGGGCACTTAGGTATTGTGGCCCCATCGGATCCGACATGCTTTCTCTTCTCCTTATGCTTCTTAGGAGGAGAGCAAGAGGAGCACTTTCCCTTGGGACTGACAGTGTCCCCTTCAGATAGACAAGAGGGGGTGTTCTTCAAAGAACCGGGAGCCGAAGAAGAGTCGGCAGCCGCTGTGACCAGCCTCATAGCCACTAAGGCTTGGTCCCATAACATTTTGTTCAGCTGGTTTTCTCGGTTTTTCCGAGCCTGCCTGGTGAAAGATTGGCAGTGGCTGCACTTATCCATCCTATGTCCCTCTCTTAGGCAGAGGAGACAGAGGGAGTGCAGATCAGGGGGAGACATTTTTGCTCTGCACTGGGTGCACTTGCGAAAAGCCGCCTGCTGTACGAGAGAGAAAAAGGGAAAGAGTATAGCAGTACGGGAAGAGAATGATAGAAGGGTTTTTTAAAAATTATTTTTATTTTTATTTTTGGGAAAGGGGTTGGTTGTGGGGGAAGAAGCAAGTTGTGAATGGGATCAGTAAGGGAGTGAACGACAAGGAAGGAAAGTGTTTGTGAAGGGTAGAAATCTAGAGCAAGTTAGAAGTGATCAGTAATGGAAGAAGCTATCGAGAAAAAAACGACGAGGAGACAAGCAAAAAAAGGCCCGAGGCATAGCGAACAGTGGTCGCAAGCGGACTGGCGAAGGGGCAGGCACTCCGCCCATTTATATTATAGGGGACGGGGGGTGCGGAGTTCCCGCCAAAACTGTTAAAGCTCTTAAATCTTCCCGGCAACAGACACTGCGCAGACACAGCACCCATATATGTGTGATGCACAGAGACCACAACAAAGAAGTGGAGTTTTTCTTCTTCTGATCCCAGCCTTTCCACACTGTGCTACAGAGTGCTAGAGCAGGGGAGGGTGACATGTTTGACTTGCAACTTGCATCATCCCACACCATTAGTAATACTGCCTATTGCTGGTAAGAGTTGTAGGCTAAAATACCTGAAGGACCAAAAGTTGCCCACCTCTACTAGGAGATTCAGATTTAGGGCTGTCTGCCTGTCCTAAATCTGAGTCTTTACAGCTACATAGTAGAGTAAGGGAGGGAGGGACTCTGGAGAACAGCAGTGGGAAAAGGTATCTTTTTAACCTTTTGTTCTTTCTGAAGTGTCTTCCTATAGTATAAAGAGGGGAGGGGGCTTCTTATAGCCTCATAGCACACACTCTCCCTCCCTACTTAGCTTCACAAACAAGCTCTTTTTGCCTTCATATTTTCTTTTCCCTCCCTCTTAAACAACATCCTGATTTTCCACGTCTGACCCAGGGTGCTTCCAGATTTGGCATTTTAGTGTGCCAAGGCCCTGCCTCAGCTGCTGAATATTATGGGAATCCACATGTTGCCAGCTTCCATTTGTAGTTCTCTCATGTTTTCCTACTGCTGCTTCTATCATGTTTCTTAAATAAGAAACGATGGAATGGATTCAGGTCTACTCATTCTTAATCTTGATGAGGGCTGCTATGCAGTCACCCTGACTTATTCACAGAATTTAAAAGGGAGTCCAGACAGTGCCAACTTTCACTATCCTGTAATGATTTCTCACTGTTTCTTCTTTTTTCCTTAGGACTTCTCTACAGGCAACATAAAAACTTTATCAAGGCTGCTTCTACAATGTTCTTCATGAGAAGATGATTAGAGTGTCCTTTGGGGGTTTTCCCCTCTGCCTTTCTGTACGCAGCACAATATGGCACCATGACATAAAGCAGAATTGTGAAAATACACAGGGTTTCTGTAGCAAATAATGAGGTCATCTAGGAAAGTAACAGACTTTACTTGCTCTAAAAAAAAAAAAAAAGCCGCAAAAATGACCAGGAAATTCAGGAGAGACCATGGAGTATGACAATGTAATGATTTAGAGTAGAAAATCTATCAAGGAGGAAAAGGCCAAATAATTGCACTATATTTTTGATCCAGATGGATGGCACTAGTTGATACCCATCAGGAAACACCAAAAATTAATAGATCTACACAATTTGCTGAATTTGTGGTCATTTAGATACCTTCCCTCAACCCCCATGGTAGAAGTAGAGCTGCCCACCGAAAACAAGGGAAAAATTTGGGATTTTACATTCCAGTCCTATTCATGTCAACTGTTTGCTAGTCTGAAACCACAATTAAAAACAACTGCAATTGCAACAATAACAAATAAAACAAAGACTAGAATGGCTTGGGCTGGAAATAGGTAACAACTACTTAAAAGTCTATTTTGGTAGTAGGTACCAGGAAATTACTAGTGGAAGGACATTCCAATTTCAAAGAAGGGCAATACCAAAGAATATTCAAACTACCACACCATTGCACTTATTTCACATGCTAGCAAAGTTAGGCTCAACGTACTACAAGCTAGGCTCCAGCAGTATGTGGACTGAGAACTACCAGAAGTACAGGCAGGATTTCGAAGAGGGAGAGGAACTAGAGATCAAATTGACAACATATGCTGGATCATGGAGAAAGCTAGGGGGTTCCAGAAAAACATCTACTTCTGCTTCATTGACTATGCTAAAGCCTTTGATTGTGTGGATCACAACAAATTGTGGCAAGTTCTTAAAGAGATGGGAGTAGCAGACCATCTTATTTGTCTCTTGAGAAACCTATATGCGGGTCAAGAAGCAACAGTGAGAACTGGACACGGAACCACTGATTGGTTCGAAATTGAGAAAGGAGTTCGGCAAGGCTTATAAGCAAAAGCTTATACTCACGATATGGGCACCAAGGGGAGCTCAGTGTTCTCTGACAAGATGGCTTGACGATTCTCCTTATCAACAACAACATGCAGCCAGCTCCAAAGAAAACAACCAGTGAGCTGAGGACGGACATGAGTCCTGTATGGAAAAAAGAAGCATGTTAGAGATGGTAGGCTGGGAAGGATCTGCAAATAGATGTGGTAAGAAATGAACACAGAAGAGAAGAAAGCACAAAGAGGGTAAGTGCCACAGAAAGCGACTGGCCATTAGAGGGATGATTCCAGAACTTACCTAAGGAACTTGGTTGGTGTGTCACTACATTTAGTGCCTTGCAGCGTGCCTCACAATCTTGTGCATTGCAACTGAAAGATGAAAAGGAGTCTTGGGTTGCATAGGAGCCTTTTTAGGACGTTTTTTAACATTTAGTCTGAATGCTGTGCCCTTTTTATATTGCTTTTATAGATGCTTTAATTCATTGTATTCTAATAGGATTTAATGTGTTTTACTTTGTTAATACGTTTTATGTATTGTAACCCACCTAGGAAGGCCTCAGCAGTTATAGGTGGCCTATAAATACACGTATGTCTAAATAAATAAACAAATAGGAAGAAATAGGTTTATGTGGCACCTATTTTGCTTTCCCTTGAATTTTTTCGGTGAACACTGAGTGTTAAGTTACTCAAGTTATTTAAACTAAGATAATCCTTTAAATGAGTGGAAATAGGCATTAACTTCGCAAACTTGTATGCAAAACTGGCAAAAAATGCCCCTTGAATTTGGTGATCCATAGGTGCATTCCAAGGAAGGATCAGCAGTCAGGAGCAAAAGATGCTTAATCTGCCTTGCAAATGCTACATCATCTCAGAGTCAGCTGAGGTAAGACGTGAGGGGAAAGCTCATTTGCCAGGGAAACTGTCCTGTACTTCTTCCCCACCTCTGCATTTCCCTTATGAGGAAAACATGCCTCTGGAGACCTGAGTTTCTGTCATCATGTGCAGTAAGAATCCTTTTTCTCTACCAGAACACAGTCCAGTTTTTTACAGCAGGAATGGCAATCTTTCTGCCTCTGAGGGCCACATACCAGCACTGAGTGTGGCTGGAATTGGCAGTGGGCAGGGCTTGGCTTCCCAAGCCAGCTTCTGACATCAACAAATCCTTTCCCCCACCACTGACCCACACACACAAACACACACACTCTTTCCCAGCATGCACATAACTTTCCCTGCCCTATTGACGTGCTGAGATCCCAGCACCAATCCACTGAGGACTGTGATACTTCAGGGGCTCCTTAGCTATATCCAACACTAATCTACTGGGCAGTGGGGAGGTTCATGATGAGATTGCAGCAATCTCATCAGGCAGCTCCCCTCACTGCCCAGTGGATTAATGCTGGAAACAGCACAGAAGCACAGCCTTCATCCATTTCCAGCACAACCAAATCAACCAAGGAACCAGGAAGAGAATCAGCTGGAGGAAGTGGGAAGGGTCTTCTGGGCCACACAGAGATCAATGCATGTGGTTCACAGGGAAAACCATATACATTTTACAGGAGTAGACAATAAGATCCCCTACCTGCTGCATGGGGAGCAGTTGCTCTGATCTGTTTGAAGAAAGAATCCATAGTGACACTCACATACTGTGTCACTGAATTCTGTACCTGGGAAGAAAAGAAAATTATTAACAAGAAAGAATATGCCATTCCTGGTTATCCAGGGCTGAATATGTGAACCAGATATCTGTGTCAAGATTTCTTGTGATTTCATAGAAAATTTAGCAACAGCTGTGAGTTGTCACAACCACACTGCAGTGCTAGGGGATGGGGCTTAACTGTTCTCCTCACACACCATGCAGATTTCCTGATTAAAATTACAGAGCCACCTTGAGATGAAAATATGGAAGTACTCAAATACTATGTGTATGTTTTCCATCATGGAACAAATGGCTTCAGGAGTTTGATTACAATAAGAAAACAGAGCTAAGAGGGGCAGATAGAGCTAAACCCTTCCTCTTCTTTCATCAGTAATCTGATTCAGGGCCCATAGGACTGTTATTCTCTCTTTAATAAAATGTAGGAGATCCTTAATCACAGATACCCTGTAGTACATCTAGTTGTGCCCTTTGTGGCAGCAAGGAGTGGGGAAGAGAGTGGATGTCCAAATATAATGGCCATGGAAGAAAGAATTGCTCCATCACATGGATGCATCAGAAAAATCTTTCAAAATGGACTGAGGAACAAAAAAGCAGGACATGTTAGGCAGTTAGAGGATAAGATTAATGGATTAGTGGGTACAGTGAAAAACAATCACTAGGAGAAATTGGTTGCTACAGAGTAATGGTTTTCAGATGCTGATGGACAGAGGTAAAACAAAAACAAGGCATTCCCTGCCTGGGGTGACTACATGCATATATATAAGCTCAGAGATGTGGAAGAATGAAGAAACTTCTTTATAAATTATAAAGATGATAAGATGAAGAAGAATGATGAGGTGGGGAAGGAAAAGGATATGGGCTATCTGCAGAGGGAAGAATGGAAGAAGCAGGAAAAATTCCATGGCAGTCAAGAAGAGGATTTTTAAAAATTAATTATCTATTGAGTTTCACAATTTAAACAAAAATCAAAACCAAGAATCACAGTAGCACTAAAGTACTACTAAATTCTTCAAAGGTTAGAACTTTGCGCTTTCAATAGCCACACAACCGACAGAAATTCAACTCACAACCTTGAATCCCTGTGCTGAGAAAGAATTCATTTGTTGACTATTATTATGCCATAAAAACCTAAAAGAGCCTTTGCTGGATCAGTCCTGCATTCTGTTTCCAAAGCACCCAACCAACTGCCCACAGGAAACCCACAAGCAGGGCATGAGCATAAAGCACTATCCTGCTCAAATTCCCAACAGCTGGTACCCAGAAGCCTACTGCCACCAGTTCTAGATTTAACTATACAGTCATTATGACTACTGACTATTGCTAGCTCCATTAAAACTGTTTAATCATCTGTCCAAGTCAGTGGCTAGCACTACATCTTGCGCTAGAGAATTGCAGAGTTTAACTACACACAAACTGCCACTATTCATCTTCACGGGATGACCCCAGATTTTAGTACTATAAGACTGGGAAAAAATCGCCCCCTTATTAGCCTTCTCCCCAGCAAGCATATTTTATACATCTCTGTCATGCCTCCTATTACATGCCTTTTTTCTGTATGCTAAACAGACCCAGAAACTGCAACCTCTCCTCACTGGGGAATGGCTTCAGCAGCTCCACTGTAACTAAAGTAACTAAATTGGGATTATGAACACATTTCAAGGTAATAAACTTTAAACCTTCCATGGTTCTAGGTATCCAAGGAAGTTGTATGAACCTCTCTTGTATGAACGTCCATGCTCACTCAAAGTCTTTACAAAAGCCTTGCCCCATAGTCTTTGTTGCACTGAGATGAAACTGATCATCATAAAAGACAACAGATTTTCTTCTTCATTATGTAATTTCCTTCCCACACAAAGATTTTTACCCCAGGGGAAAAACACTTTAGGAAAACTGGTTAAAGTATGTTAAGTCTTTGTTGTGGCTCTTCATACACTTTGTTTTGTTTTTGATTTGGTATTGTCGCTGCCACATTTAATTGTGATTTTTCCATGTTAGGCTATATACTCCTTGGAGCAGAGACCTGTCAGAGACCTCTGTGAAGCTGCATTTACATCTGGTGTACTATTATTAGTTCGTTCAATTTCATATTTAATGCTGTTTTGAAAATGCTAAATGGCTGAAAAATGGGGTTTTAAAAACATAAAGCTGGGAAGAAGGAAGGAGAGGACAGAAATGTTGTCAACACACAAAGAGATTGCACCGAAAACAAGCAGCTTTGCTGTAGGGCAGATGATCTGTTTCTGATTAATGGTGGGGCAGTAAAGTCACATTGAGTTTGTCCTGATTTCACTCACAAGTTTTCCTGATTGTTCCATTGTGACAGGCGCTGCAATCTTTGCAGAAGAACTCAGAAGTGTGACTAGTCCGATACTGATTTTCAGCACAGCCACATACAGTATCTTTCTCAGGGGTACAACTGGATAGCACTTTCTGCCCCAAATCTAGCAAGAGAGTTAGGGTGTGGTAGGGTGGGGAGAGAATTGGTTAATTTTACATAGATCATACTGGGCCATCTAGCAACAGAGCAATTGGAACAATACCCAGAGATTCATTCTTTTCTGATACAGCTTTTACTGGTAGGCTATTGATTTTTTAAAGAATGAATTTGTACATCATTAATATGTGTTTGCATTTTGCAAAGCATTTCTATAAATTGCTTAAGGAAAAGCAGTATATAAACATCTATCCAATGTTCCCCCCAAAAATCTTGCATCAGAAAAACTCATATAACATACTTTATGTTGTTCTGCTTCTACCTAGCCACCCTGATTCTAGTTTTGTCCCTGCTCATCCTTCTGTAAATTCCACATACATATATACACTCACTGTTACTTTAACCCCAAATATGAACAGACTTACTTGTATGACAGTGTTGGCACTCAAAACACCTATCCGAGTAATTATCTTCAGGCATGTAGGTACCCGGGTGGCATATTCTGCAAATGGGTGTACTGTTTGATTCTACGCAGTCTCGTTCAACATACATTCCTGCAAAATAATTGGACAACTGTTGATGTCACCTAGAGAGGTAAAAATGCAGAACTGAAGACAGAATGAAATTGTCGGCTTAGGATAATTTTAGGTTGGGGTAAAATAAGAACATCAGAAGAGCCATGCTGTATCAGACCAACAGTCCATCTAGTCCAGTGTTCTGTTCAGAGTGGCCTTCCACGGTTCCCACAAGTAGGACACGAGTGCAAGAGCATCTTCCTGCTCAGGTATGCCAGCAAATGGTACATATAGGCTACTGCCTCTGATACTGCAGATGGTATTTAGCCATCAGAACTAGTAGCCATTGATAGCCTTATCCATGAATTTGCCCAATCCTCCTTAAAAGACACTCAAATGGGTGGCCTCCCCTACATATTCTGCAAGTGAATTCCACCATTTAACTGTGTGTGGAGTACTTCCTTTTATCTGTTCTGAATCATTCCCCAATCAGCTGCATGGGATGACCCTGGCAAAAAGCAAAACATGTCTCCCTCTCCACTTTCTCCACACAGTACATAATACTATATATTTCTATCATGTCTCCCATCACTAGCTGTTCTTCAAAGCTAAACAGTCTCATTGGTTGTAAGCTTTCCTCTTAGGGGACTTGCTCTAACCCTTTGATCATGTTAATTGCCTTTTCTGCATGTTTCCAACTTTGCAATAACCATTATTGTTGTTGTTGTTGTTATGCTGCTGATGATGATGATGCATATATATCCCATTTATCTTCTCCTTGTGAGGAACCCAAGGTGGTTTACATAAAAGGTAAAAGTTTCCCCATGATATTAAAGTCCAGTCATGTCTGACTCTAGGGGGTGGTGCTCATCTCTGTTTCCTAGCCGAGGGAGCCAGTGTTTGTCCGCAGACAGTCTCCATGGTCATGTGGCCAGCATGACTGAACACCAAAGTGCATGGAACACTGTTACCTTCCTACCAAAGTGGTACCTTTTTACTACTTGCATTTGTATGCTTTCGAACTACAAGATTGGCAGGAGCTGGGACAGAATACAGGAGCTCACCCCGTCTGCAGATTCGAACTGTTAACCTTTTGATCAACCAGCCCAGCAGCTCAGTGGTTTAACCCACTGCGCCAGTGCATCCTTTTGGTTTACATAGTTCCACTTTAACCTCAGAACTGCCGTATGAGGTTGGTTAGGCTGAGAGGCAATGACAGGCCCAAGGTCACCCAGTGAGCTTCCTGGCAGAATGGGAAATGGAACAAGGATCTCCCAGGTCCCCAGTCCAACACTCCAGCCACCATACCATGCAGTATTCTAAGTGTAGTCACAGCATAGATTTGTATAGGAGCAGTACGATATTGCTGGTTTTATTTTTAATTCCTTTCTTAATTATGCCTGACATCAAGTTTGCCTTTTCCTTTTTTTGCAAAACTGCACACTGGATTTATATTTCCATTAAGCTGTACACAACAACCTCAAGATCTCTTTCTTGGTTGCACTCTGCTAGCTCAAGATCTTATCAAATGTAGATTGTTGTTAAGGTTTTTTTGCCCAAACATACATTATTTTACTGCTAAGTTTCTCAGGAGTCTTTGGGGAGGTCCCTTGTCCACAGCATTTTGGAAATCCAAGCAAACAATGTCCACCAGATCACTTGGACTTGAAGGTGATCTGGATGCGACATCATCCCATTGATTGCCATGGTTGATTCGGCTGATCTGACTAGCTAGGCAGGTGTCCCCTTCCTTCCTCCCTCACCACTCCATGTGCATCCCTCCCAAAGCTGCACACTCGGTGGAAGAGGACAACCATCACAGAGAGAAGGAGTGTACTGTTCTTTGGTCAAAGGTACATGATAGCCATGCTCCCCTGCTAGAACCCCCAAACAAGCTCTCAAGGTTCATTTGTAGGAGAAGTTCAGAGGCTTATGAGCATTGTGGAGACAATTTATAGGACATGGGGCATATTTCATTTTTTTAGGGTGAAGCCTACCATCCGTTCTCTGAATAAATAAAATATGCTCCTCAAAATATTTTTTGCATCTACTATCTTCTTGGATTTTCTTTGCCAAAGTTTATGTTCCTTTTTACTCTTTTCATTTGGGCAAAAATTCCACTTTGGGGAGGAAAAAACATTTTTAAAAGATTGAATGGCTTCATTAGCCTGCTCATGAAGTATGGTGGGGTCCTCTTGGACTCCTCCTACCTTGACCTTCTGTTATTGTGTTTTTGAATAATCTGCAAGGATTTTTAAGGATTTTAACTCTCTTGACTCCCCATTTCTACTTCATTAAGTAGCAGTCAGATTTAAGTTGCAGCAAAACAGCATAAGGTTCATTTTTTGCATTAGAAAGCATCATGGTGGCACATGGAAATATGAATTGAGTAAGTATCACTCCATTTTATATTCTAGCTTACCTCTGTGGCATTTAAAGCAGCAGTGAGTTCTATTTGGGTGAGGAAAGTATCCTTTCCCACATGACAGCTCCCTCTTCTCTCTTCCATTGGAGTGGTTAATATTCTTTTTGTCTGCAATTATCGCATGCATGGTATTGCGGCTGAAGGCTAACTCCAAGGATTCCCCAGTTGCCATCTGAATCAGGATTAATTTGATCTGCAAAGAAAAACAATACAAATGACCCTTTTTTAAATCAAAGTCTTCATATTGGAGGTATTTTTAACAGCTAAGACCTTCCAGAAAAATTTAGTACAATTATGTATTGAGCAGAATTCTTCTCCATTTATATATATAGATATATATTTTTCTGACTGTTAATGACTGTGCCATTTGCACACAGAATAGAACATCAGAACAAGGAGCAAGTGGCTACATTGCAAATTTGATGTACTAGGTTGTTTCTTTAACTAGGCAAGATTCATTATCTTCTGTACCTGGGATCTTCAACGTGGTGCCTCTTGATGCTCAGAAGATACCCTGATTTGTATAATTATTTTATTTTAAATAAATGGTATGCTGCAAAATGCTGCAAGATATGATGCCAGAAGATGAGCCCCTCAGGTCGGAAGGTGTCCAGTGTGCTACTGCAGAAGAGCAGAGGGCTAGTACTAGTAGCTCAAGAAAGAATGAAGCAACTGGGTCAAAGCTGAAAGGACATTCAGTTGCAGATGTATCTGGTGGTGAAAGGAAAGTCCAATGCTGTGAAGAATTATACTCCATAGGAACCTGGAATGTAAGATCTATGAATCAAGGCAAGCTAGACATGGTCAAACATGAGATGACAGGACTGAACATCAACATCTTAGGAATCAGTGAACTAAAATGGACAGGAATGGGTGAATTTAATTCAGATGACCATCAAGTATACTACTGTGGACAAGAATTCCTCAGAAGAAATTGAGTAGCCTTCACAGTCAATAAAAGAATAGGAAAAGCAGTACTGGGGTACAATGACCATCAAGTATACTACTGTGGGCAAAAATTCCTCAGAAGAAATGGAGTAGCCTTCATAGTCAATAAAAGAGTAGGAAAAGCAGTACTGGGATACAATCTCCAAAATGACAGAATGATCTCTGTTCAAATCCAAGGCAAACCATTCAGCATCAGAGTAGTCCAAGTCTATCCCACAACCACTGATGCTGAAGAGGCTGAAGTTGACCGGTTCTATGAAGGCCTATAACACCTTCTAGAATTAACACCAAAAAATAATGTCCTTATCATCATGGGGGATTGGAATGCTAAAGTAGGAAGCCAAAAGATAACCGGAATGACAGGCAAGTTTGGCCTTGGAGTACAAAATGAAGCAGGGCACAGGTTGGTAAAATTTTGTCAAGAGAATACGATGGTCATAGCAAACACTCTTTTCCAACAACCCAAGAGACAACTCTACACATGTACATCACCAGATGGTCAACACAGAAATCAGATTGACTATGTGCTCTGCAGCCAAAGATGAAGCTCTATACAGTCAGTAAAAACAAGACCAGGAGCTGACTGTGGCTCAGATCATGAGCTTCTTCTTGCAAAATTTAGGCTTAAATTAAAGAAAGTAGGGAAAAGCACTAGGCCACTCAGGTATGACCTAAATCATATTCCTGATGAATATACAGTAGAGGGAACAAATAGATTTAAGGAATTAGATCTGATAGACAGAGTGCCTGAAGAACTATGGAAGTTCACAACATTTTACAAGAGGTAGCAACTAAAACCATCCCAAAGCAACAGAAATGCAAGAAAGCAAAATGGCTGTCTGAAGAAGCTTTACAAATAGCTGAGGAAAGAAGGGAAGTGAAAGGCAAGGGAGTAAAAAAGAGATACACCCAATAGCATGCAGAATTCCAGAGAATAGCCAGAAGAGATAAGAATAGCTTCTTAGATGAATGGTGTGCGCTTAAGTGGACTCCGGGAGATGGTGGAGGACAGGAAGGCCTGGAGGAATGTTGTTCATGGGGTTGTGATGGGTCAGACACAACTTTGCAACTAAGAACAACAACAAATGCTGCAAAATCAAGTGCTGGTCTCCAATGCAAGCTTTATTTCCAGTAATGCCTCTGGCCCACACTTGGGCACCCAACCATTCTCAAAATACAAATCCTTGGGTTTTATCCCTTCCAAATAAAAGTGTTTAATTGTCTTTGCCATTTCTGTAGTTTTTCCTTGTACAAAAATTGATATTATCTGAAATTAAAAGTTCAACTTTGGTAGGAACTATTTGGATCTTCTTCCATATTATTTTATAATTGTCTTGGAATAATGTATTATTATGTCCAGTCACATTTATTCCCAGATACTTAACTGGATTAAAAGTTATTTCACATCCTGAGATTTTTAAATATTTTGTTGTTCCATTAGAAATTTTTAAATTTCTTTTTTGCTTGTTAATTTTATAAGCATAGAAAGATTCAAATTTTCAAATTTTTCAATTTAATCTATTATATGTTGCATTGATAGATGTGGATTTAGGATTATCAATACTATATCATCAGCATAACTTTTCATTTTGTATTCTTCTCAATCTACTTTCAAGCCTTTGATTTTTGGATCTTGTCGTCTTTTGTAGCTAAGATATTCAGTATAAGGATAAACAGGAATGGTGATAATGGATATCCCTTATGTGTTCCTCTATCTATTTGAAGAGCATTAGTCAAAGCTCTTATTTATTCAAATCTCTGCATGTTGTTCTGTATAAATTGCTTGAATCCAATTCATGAATCTTGGACCACAATTTAAATAATGAAAAGTCTTTAATAAAAAAGGGCCAAGGCACATTATCAAATGCTTTTTAGATGCTGAATGCAGGTTTCTCCTTCTTAACAAATTCAACTGCATTAATTAACTTTCATATATCACTTTGGTAGAAAGCCAGTCTGATCTGTACAAATCTGCTTTGTGATCTACTTTCTTAATCTTTCTGACATTATCAACTTTTAAAAAATGGTCATTCATAATTAATAGTGAAAAGATTGTGGCAAAGTAGGTCATTGCCTTCTTTATATATCAGTGTAATATGAGCATCTTGCCATGATGGAAGTAATGATTTCTCTTTACTAATTTATTTCATTACTTTCTGAAGTGGTGTCATTCGTTTTCTTGTGGCCATATTGTAATAGATCATTGTGAAACCATCTGGGCCAGCTGCTTTATCTTTCTTCAGTTTTTTAATAGCTTGTGATATTTCTTGGATAGTAATAATACCATTCAGTATTTCTCTATGAGCTGGTGTAAAATTTTCAGTGTGTGCTTTTTCTATATATTGATCAATTCTATCTTCTAGAACTGGGTCTTTTTGATACAAATTTGAAAAAAGAGGGTAAACTTTCATGTATTTTCTTTTCTATATAGGTAATTCTGTTGCCTTTCTTCACCACTGTTATCATTCTTTCAGTTTCTTTCTTAAGACAGTATGCTAAGAATCTTCCTGGCTTATTTGCATGTCCAAAATGATTCTGTTTTAGAATCTTAATTTCTTCTCTATCTCTTCTATTTCAAGCGTATCACATAGAATCATAGAATTGAAAGGGGCCAGAAGGCCATTGGGTATAACACCCTGCTACTACAGGACATTAAGTTACAGCATCCCACTTGGATGACTCCCCAAATGCTTTCTGAACATCTCCAGCGAGGGAGAGCCCACACGTTCCCCAGATAACAAGTTCCATTATTGTACTGCTCTGGCAGGGAGGAAATTCTTCTTGGTGTCTAATCTAAATCTGGTTTAACTTAAGTTCATTATTCTATGTCCTATACTCTGGAATGAACAAGAAGAGATCTTATCCTTCCTCTTTCTGATAGCCTTTGAGGTATTTGTAGAGTGCTATCATATGACCCCTCAGTCTTCCTGAGGATAAACATGCCTAGTTGTCTCAATCTTTCCTTACAGGGCTTTGCCTCCAGTCCCTGAATCATCCTTGTTGCCCTCCTCTGTACCTTTCCCAGCTTTTCTGCATCTTATTTTACACCAAGGTGCCCAGAACTGGACACAGTACTCCAGGTGAGGTCTTACTAGTGAAGAGCATAGGGGAACCAGTCCTTCATGTGATTTGAAAGTGATGCTTCTATTAATACAGTCCAAAATAGCATTTGCCTTTTTCACCACTGCATCACATTAGAAACACAGAAACATTGTTAGCTCATATTTAGCTAGTGATCTACAGCAACCCTAAGATCATTCTCAAGTGCAGCATTGTTGAGCCAAGTGTTCCCCATCTTGTAGTGGTGCATTTGGTTTCATGTTCCTAAGTGGAGGACTTGGTATTTGTCCCTATTCAATTGCATTCTGTTGCTCTCTGCCCAGCCTCCTAACCTATCAAGATCACTGTGGATCTTATCTCTGTCTTCCAGGGTATTTGCTATTCCACCCAGCTTTGTGTTATCTGGAAATTTAATTATCTGTCTTTGCACTTCCTCATCTAAATCATTAATGCAAATGTTGACAAGTAGTAGTCCTAGGAAAGAATCATCAGACCCTGGAAATTTGAACTCATTTAGCCCAATTAGAAGATCATTGACCATTTGCCTGTCAATGTTGGGCCGCCATCCTTACCCTTCAGCTTGTACTACACCTTTGCCAGGACGGTTGTAGGCTCCTTTAGAGCAACTTTGTTTATCATTGCGCTGAATTTGCTAAAGATAGCTTTTCTGAAATCCATGATGCATGTTTGGCTACATTTATTTTTAGCTTCGTTTATTATTGAGGATTCAAGTGAGGCATGGTCACTTTCCCCTAGAGTTCCCATAGCTGTTACTACATCTTCCCTGTTGGTTAGGATCAAGTTGAGTAAAGCCATACCACTTGTTCCTACTTCTACTTTCTGCTGGATAAGCTAAGTTTAAGCTCAGTTAATATTGATTTAATTATTTTATGGTGTTCCTCTAATATCTGAATTATTTTAAGTTGTTGTGTGTGTTTGTTTTTAGTTTGTTCTAACATTTCCTTTTTCTTCTTGGTGGCTATGGCTATTACGTTTCCTCTCATATATGCTTTGCTGGCTTCCCATATTGTTGCCTTGGGGATGTCACTTGTATTATTAAGTAATTATTCCAAATCCTTTTCACTTTTTCAGAATATCATCTTGTAATCTCCATCTTCTATTTGCATAATTAAGGGGTCCTGAAGTGTATACATGTTCTACTCCTCTAAGAAAGAGTTCTCCATA